GTGGGTGCTGCCCGTGGGTTCTGGGCTCTCCCCATGAGTACCAGACTCTGCCCGTGGGTGCCGAGCGCTGCCCGTGGGCTCTGCCCGTGGGTGCCGGGCTCTGCCCGTGGGTGCTGCCCGTGTGTTCTGGGCTCTGCCCGTGGGTGCCGGGCTCTGCCCGTGGGTGCCGGGCTCTGCCCGTGGGTGCCGGGCTCTACCGTGGGTGCTGAGCTCTGCCCGTGGGCTCTGCCCGTGGGTACCGAACTCTGCCCGTGGGCTCTACCCGTGGGTGCCGAGCTCTGCCCGTGGGCAAGCTCTGCCCGTGGGCTCTGCCCGTGGGCGCTGCCCGTGGGTGCCGGGTTCTGCCCGTGTGTTCTGGGCTCTGCCCGTGGGCGCTGCCCGTGGGTTGTGCCGCCTCCCGCCGGTCCCTCTGCGCACCCTCGGCGGCCGCAGCAGGAAGCGGCGGCCCCGGCGGCGCGGGGGTGACACGCGCGGGGTGACACGCGCTGGGGGACGCGCGGCGACAGCCACCTCTCTGCACCTGCCCGTGAGTGCCGCTCCCTCCTTTTCCCGGGAATTCTCTTCCCCCCCGTGGGCTCCCAGCCCTCCCCACCTGCCGGGGCGGGCCGAGCTCATCCCGCGGAATTCCAGAGGGGGCCCGGGCGGGATCTCGGGTGCCACCCAAAGTGCCACCCAAAGTGCCACCGAGGTGCCACGGGGGGTGCGTGGGGTGGGGAGGTGGCAGGAGGAGGAAGCACCCACGGGGGAGGGAGGTGGTTTTGGTGGGGGAGGGGCGCCGGGTTTTTTCCCAAGAGTTTTGGGAGAAACTTCCTGGTCGTGGCTCGTGCCGGGGACAGTGCCGGGGTGTCACCCGTGGGAAAAGGGGACCACGGGGGTGGGGGTGGGGGTCCGAAGGGACACGCGTGGGGGGGTGGGGGTGGGAGCAGGAAGGGGATGTTGGAGGCGGCGTCGAGGTCTCGGTTTCGTTTCGTGTCGGGGCCGCTCCGGCTCTCGGGGGGGGGCACTTTTGGGGACACTTTTGGGGACACTTTTGGGGCCATCCAATCTCCCCACCCGGGCTGTGTCCCCCCAAAGCCACCCCACGCGGGGCGCTCGGGGTGAGGTTGGGGCGTTGGGGTCCTCGTGGGAAGGATGGGATCGTCCCTCTCGTGTCCCCCCTCCCCACACCGTGGGACTGGGGGGGACAGCGGTGTCCCCTCCGGGGGTGTCCGGGGGGTCCCCAGTCCCCCTGAGGGGGGCGTGGGATTCTCCCTGGGATTCTCCGTGGGATTCTCCGTGGGATTCTCCGTGGAATTCTCCGCGGGGGTGTCCGTGGGATTGCCCGTGGGGTGCTCCGTGGGTTCCCTGAATCCCTGAATCCCACAGCCCTGACCCCAGCGCGGGGACACGGAGGGGACACCCCGGCCCTGGATATCCCGGATATCCCGAATATCCCGAAAATCCTGGGAATGCGGCCGGGAGGGAGCACGAAAACGGAGGGGAAAGATGGGGAGGGGGGAGGAAAAAAAGGCACTAAATGGAAGATTTGGGGAAAATCCCGGGGAATTCCCAAATGTCCCTGGATCGGGGGGATGTCCCCATCCTGCCACCCGCGCGAGGGTCCCCGCGACCCCCAGGGGGGTCCGGGTTTGGGGTTTTTAGTTATTGAATTAAAAATCTCTTTATTTTAATGATTTCTGGGAGGATCCCCGCGACCCCCAGGGGGGTCAATGTTTGGGGTTTTTAGTTATTTAATTTAAAAATATATTTATTTGAATGATTTCTGGGAGGGTCCCCGCGACCCCCAGGGAGGTCCGGGTTTGGGATTTTTAGTTATTTAATTTAAAATATATTTATTTGAATGATTTCTGGGAGGGGACTTCAAGTGACTCTGTGGGGGTCAATGTTTGGGATTTTTAGTTATTTAATTAAACATCTCTTTATTTTAATGATTTCTGGGAGGGTCCCCGCGACCCCCAGGGGTGTCCGGGTTTGGGGTTTTTAGTTATTGAATTAAAAATCTCTTTATTTTAATGATTTCTGGGAGGGTCCCCGCGACCCCCAGGGGGGGTCAATGTTTGGGTTTTTTAGTTATTTAATTAAAAATCTCTTTATTTTAATGATTTCTGGGAGGATCCCCGCGACCCCCAGGGGTGTCAATGTTTGGGGTTTTTAGTTATTTAATTAAAAATCTCTTTATTTTAGATGATTTCTGGGAGGGTCCCCCCGACCCCCAGGGGCGTCCGGGTTTGGTTTTTTTTTAGTTATTTAATCAAAAATCTCTTTATTTTAGGGATTTCCCTCTGAACCCAAGAGGTGTCAGGGTTTGGTTTTTTAGTTATTGAATTAAAAATGTCTTTATTTTAGATATTTCTGGGAGGGTCCCTCCGACCCCCGAAGGTTTCAGGGTTCGACTTTTACCTAATTAATAATAATCATCATCATCATCATCATCATCATCATCATCTCTTTATTTTAGATATTTCTGGGAGGGTCCCTCCGACCCCCCGAAGGTTTCAGGGTTTGATTTTTTAGTTATTTAATAAAAAATCTCTTTATTTTAGGGATTTCTGGGAGGGTCCCCCGACCCCCAAAGATTTTCAGGGTTCGATTTTTATCTATTTAGTAAAAAAAACAAAAAAAAATCTTTATTTTAGGGATTTCCTTCTTACTCCAAGAGGTGTCCGGGTTTGAGTTTTTATCAATTGAATTAAAAATATCTTTATTTTAATGATTTTTGGGAGGGTCCCTCCGACCCCTGAATGTTTCAGACTTTGGTTTTTTTAGTTATTTAATAAAAAATATCTTTAATTTAGTGATTTTTGGGAGGGTGCCTCCAGCCCCCAAAGGTTTCAGGGTTTGGGTTTTTAGTTATTTAATTAAAAATATCTTTAATTTAGGGATTTTTTGGGAGGGTCCCTCCGACCCTCAAAGGTCTCAGAGTTCATTTTTTAGCTAATCAGTAAAAAAATATCTTTATTTTAGGGATTTCCCGCTGACCCCCAGTGGTGTCCGGGCTTGGGGTTTAAATATTTAATTAAAAATGTCTTTATTTTAGATGATTTCTAGGAGGGTCCCCTGACCCCTAAATGTTTCAGGCTTTGGTTTTTAGTTATTTAATCAAAAATATCTTTATTTTAGGGATTTTTGGGAGGGTCCCTCCGACCCCCAGGGGTGTCCGGGTTTGGTTTTTTAGTTATTTAATAAAAAAATCTGTATTTTAGGGATTTCCCTCTGACTCCAAGAGGTGTCCAGGTTTGGGGTTTTAGTTATTTAATCAAAAATATCTTTATTTTAGATATTTCTGGGAGGGTCCCCCTGACCCCCGTAGGTTTCAGAGTTCGATTTTTATCTATTTAGCAAAAAAAAAAAAAATCTTCATTTTAGGGATTTTCCTTCAGACTCCACGAGGTGTCCGGGTTTGGTTTTTTTAGTTATTTAATCAAAAATCTCTTTATTTTAGGGATTTCCTTCTGCCCCCAAGAGGTGTCCGGGTTTGGTTTTTTAGTTATTTAATCAAAAATATCTTTATTTTAGGGATTTTTGGGAGGGTCCCTCCGACCCCAAACGGGTTCAGGCTTCGATTTTTTTCTTTTTTTTCCCCTCTTTGACCCAAAATCTCTTTCGGGGGGGGGAGGAGGCCCCGAGGTGGCCCCGAGGTGGCCCCGGGCGGGGGGGTTGAGCACAGGATGTGGTTGGTGCAAAAGGTGCTCCTTGAGCAAGAGGGGCCAGGAAGGGCCAAAGAAACCCCAAAAAAACCACCCCAAAAAAACCCCAAAACTGGGGGAGGGGGGAACAACTGAGAGGGGGGAGGGGAGGAGGGACCTTAAATCCCATCCCATTCCCGCTATCCCAGGGGATCCAACCTGGCCTGGGACACTGCAGGGATCCAGGGGCAGCCACAGCTTCCCTGGGAATTCCAGCCCAGCCGGGAATCCCTTCCCAATCTCCCACCCCAATCTCCCCTTTCCCAGTGGGAAGCCATTCCCTGTGTCCTGCCATTCCAGGCCCTGATCCCAAATCCCTCTCCAGCTCTCCTGGAGCCCCTGCAGGCTCTGGAAGGGGCTCCCAGCTCTCCCTGGATCCTTCCCTGCTCCAGCCTGGCCATTCCCAGCTCTCCCAGCCTGGATCCAGAGCCTGACATTGGATCCATGCCCAGCCCAACTCCTCTCTGGGAAGGAGTTCCGGGAACAAGGGGGGGTTCCCTGGGAATCTCGGCACTCAGGGAAGGGTCTCCTTTCCCCTTTCCCGCCTTTGCCATCCCCACATTCCATAAAAACCCCTCTGGGTGGATCCTGAGTGTCCTTTATCCTGGAATCCTGGAGTGATTTGGATGGGAAGGGACCTTAAATCCCATCCCATTCCATGTTCAGGGACACCTCCCTCCATCCCAGGGGGATCCAACCCAGCCTGGCACTCCAGGGATCCAGGGGCAGCCACAGCTTCCTTGGGAATTCCAGCTCAGCCCCTCCCAGCCGGGAATCCCTTCCCAATCTCCCACCCCAATCTCCCCTTTCCCAGTGGGAAGCCATTCCCTGTGTCCTGCCATTCCAGGCCCTGATCCCAAATCCCTCTCCAGCTCTCCTGGAGCTCTGGAAGGGGCTCCAAGGGCTCTCCCTGGATCCTTCCCTGGCCATTCCCAGCTCTCCCAGCCCAGTCTCCGGAGGTTCCCCACCCCCGGGGCCTCCCCTGGCACCGCTCCCATCAGCGGTTGGATTAATCATCACACCCCTGGATTAATCACATCGCTTGGATTAATCAGTAACCCGGGGCCGGCTCGGGCTCCGCTCCAGCGGCAGAACCGGCGCATTCCAGAGGCTCCCGATCCCGATCCCAGCCCCACCTTTGCTCCTGGGCCGGGCTTTGAGCTGGGCTCGCCCAGGCCCGGCCCGGCTCGGCCCAGCCCCGCGGCCCCAGGGGGGAACGGGAGGATTTGGGATCCCCTGGGATCACCCACATCGACCCTTCCATGTTTTCCTGGGCGGAGGCAGAACCAGAGCCCCCCCCTGCCCTCCCCGCCCCCTCCCCGGGGACTTTTTTTAAGCAGATTTGGGGCTTTCTTTTGTGTATTTTTCCCTCTAAAATAAAAGAGTAAATTGATAGAAATCGGGACTGGGGGGAGGAGGACGGGACACGGGGGCTGCTCCGGAGGTGACAGGGACGTGGAGAAACCGCCCCGGAGGTGACAGGGACACACAGGTGTTGATATGGAGGTGACAGGGACAGAGGGGTCTGGCTCTGGAGGTGACAAGGACACAGGAGGTGCTGTGGAGGTGACAAGGACAGAGGGGTTTTGTTCGGGAGGTGACAAGGACACACGAGTGTTGCTCTGGGGGTGACTGGGACACAAGTGTTGATATGAAGGTGACAGGGACACACTGATAATGCTCTGGAGGTGACAAGGACACCAAGATATTGCTCTAGGGGTGACAAGGACACAGGAGGTGCTGTGGAGGTGACAAGGACACAGGTGTTGATACAGAGGTGACAAGGACAGAGGGGTCTGGCTCTGGAGGTGACAGGGACACAGGTGTTTATATGGAGGTGACAGGGACACACAGGCTTTGTTCGGGAGGTGACAAGGACACGGGTGTCGATACACAGGTGACAATGACAGAAGGGTCTGGCTCTGGGGGTGACTGGGACACAAGTGTTGATATGAAGGTGACAAGGACACAGGAGATGCTCTGGAGGTGACAAGGACACAGGTGTTGATACAGAGGTGACAAGGACAGAAGGGTCTGGCTCTGGAGGTGTTGGGGACACAGGTGATGCTGTGGAGGTGACAAGGACACCAAGATACTGCTCTAGGGGTGACAAGGACACAGGTGGTGATGTGGAGGTGACAAGGACACCGCGATATTGCTGTGGAGGTGACAAGGACACAGGAGGTGATGTGGAGGTATTGGGGACACAGGAGATGCTCTGGAGGTGACAAGGACACAGGATATGCTCTGGGGGTGACAGAGACAGAGGGGTCTGGCTCTGGAGGTGACAAGGACACACAGGAGGTGCTCTGGAGGTGACAGGGACACACTGATATTGTTGTGGAGGTGACAAGGACACAGGTGTTGATACAGAGGTGACAGGGACAGAAGGGGGTCTGGTTCTGGAGGCGTTGGGGACACAGGAGGTGCTGTGGAGGTGACAGGGACACACTGATATTGCTCTAGAGGTGACAAGGACACCAAGATATTGCTCTAGGGGTGACAAGGACACAGGTGGTGATGTGGAGGTATTGGGGACACAGGAGGTGCTGTGGAGGTGACAGGGACACCAAGATATTGCTCTGGGGGTGACAGGGACAGAGGGATCTGGCTCTGGAGGCGTTGGGGACACAGGAGGTGCTCTGGGGGTGACAAGGACACAGGAGGTGCTGTGGAGGTGACAGGGACACACAGATGTTGCTCTGGAGGTGACAAGGACACACTGATATTGCTCTGGAGGTGACAAGGACACACAGATGTTGCTCTGGAGGTGACAAGGACACAGGTGTTGATACAGAGGTGACAAGGACAGAGGGATCTGGCTCTGGAGGTGTTGGGGACACAGGTGTTGCTGTGGAGGTGACAAGGACACCAAGATATTGCTCTAGGGGTGACAAGGACACAGGAGGTGCTGTGGAGGTGACAGGGACACCCTGATATTGCTCTGGAGGTGACAAGGACACAGGTGGTGCTGTGGAGGTGACAGGGACACCCTGATATTGCTCTGGAGGTGACAAGGACACAGGTGGTGCTGTGGAGGTGACAGGGACACCCTGATATTGCTCTGGAGGTGACAAGGACACAGGTGGTGATGTGGAGGTATTGGGGACACAGGTGGTGCTGTGGAGGTGACAGGGACACCCTGATATTGCTCTGGAGGTGACAGGGACACAGGTGGTGCTGTGGAGGTGACAGGGACACCCTGATATTGCTCTGGAGGTGACAGGGACACACTGATATTGCTCTAGGGGTGACAAGGACACAGGTGGTGCTGTGGAGGTGACAGGGACACAGGAGATGCTGTGGAGGTGACAGGGACACACTGATATTGCTCTAGGGGTGACAAGGACACAGGTGGTGCTGTGGAGGTGACAAGGACACAGATGTTGATACAGAGGTGACAGGGACAGAGGGTGTTGCTGGGGAGGTGTTGGGGACATCCTTTGTCACACTCTCTTTACTTTCTCTCTCCCCCTCCCCCCTTTTCCCTCTGCTTCCTTCTCCTTCCTTCCCCTCCCCCTCTTTTCCCCTTCTTCCCTCCCCTTTTCCCCTTCCTTCCCCTTTTCCCTTCTTTCCCCTTCCTCCCTTTCCCCTTTTCTCCCCTTTTTCCCTCTCCTTCCCCCTTTTCCCTCCTCTCCCTCTCTTTCCTCCGCCCCTTCCTCCCCCTTCCTCCTCCCCCTTTCTCCCCCTCTCTCTTCCCCTTCTCCCCTTTTTCCTCCCTTCCCCCCTTCTCTTCTCCCTTCCTCCTTTTTTCCCCTTTTCCTTCCAAAACCATTTCTTTTCCTCCCCTTCCCTCTTGTCTCCCCTCTTTCACCCCTCCACTCCCCCTTTTCCTTCCCCTTCCTTCCCCTACCCCCTTTCTTCCCCTTCCCCCTCATTTTCCCTTCCCTCCCATTTCCTTCCATGTTCCCTTCCCTTCCCTCTCCCTTCCCTTCCCTTCCCTTCCTCCTTCCTTCTTCCTTCCCTTCCCAAACCTTCCTCAAACCTTCCCAAACCTTCCCTTCCCAAACCTTCCCTTCCCAAACCTTCCCAAACCTTCCCAAACCTTCCCTTCCAAACCTTCCCTTCCCAAACCTTCCCAAACCTTCCCAAACCTTCCCTTCCCAAACCTTCCCTTCCCAAACCTTCCCAAACCTTCCCATTGCATTCCCACCCCATTCCCGTTCCCATTCCCGTTCCCATTCCCTCCCAGGGAAGGGATGTTCCGTCCCTAGCGGCCCGGCCGTGCTCAGCATGACGGCCCTTCCCGAGGCGCCCCTGGACGCGGATCCCCGGCCGGGATCGGGGCCGGGAATGGGGCCGGGATCGGGGCCGGGCTCGGAGCCGGGAGCGGAGGAGGAGACGCGGATCCTCAAGGTTTGCTTCTACAGCAACAGCTTCAACATGGGCAAGAACTTCAAGCTGGTCAAGTGCGCCGTGAGCACCGAGATCCAGGTGCGTCCCGACGGGAGCGGGGCTGGGATCGGGGCTGGGAGCGGGGCTGGGATCGGGGCTGGGATCCGCCGGGATCGGGGCTGGGATCGGGGCTGATCGGGTCTGGGATCCGCCGGGAGCGGGGCTGGGATCGGGGCTGGGTTCCACCGGGAGCGGGGGCCGGTTTCCTCTTCCAACTGCGCTTCCCGCCGAGCGGGAACCCCCCCTTGTTCCCGGAACTCCTTCCCAGAGAGGAGTTGGGCTGGGCATGGATCCAATGTCAGGCTCTGGCTCCAGGCTGGGAGAGCTGGGAATGGCCAGGCTGGAGCAGGGAAGGATCCAGGGAGAGCTGGGAGCCCCTTCCAGAGCCTGCAGGGGCTCCGGGAGAGCTGGAGAGGGATTTGGGATCAGGGAATGCCTGGAATGGCAGGACACAGGGAATGGCTTCCCACTGGGAAAGGGGAGATTGGGGTGGGAGATTGGGAAGGGATTCCCGGCTGGGCTGGAATTCCCAGGGAAGCTGTGGCTGCCCCTGGATCCCTGGAGTGTCCCAGGCCGGGCTGGATCCCTTGGGATAGCGGGAAGTGTCAGGGTTGGGAGGGGCTGAGCTTTGGGGGTCTGTGCCGAGGCCCTCCCGGCCCATCCATGGGGTGTTCCCCGAGCAGGAGGTGATCGACTCGATCCTGCTGAGCGGGCGGCTCGGTCCGGCCGTGCGGCTGCCCCAGTGCTACGGACTGCGCCTGCAGCACCTCAAATCCCAGCAGACACACTGGCTGCACCCGCGCCTCACCGTGGGAGAGGTGCACGACAAGTACGAGTGCCTGCACATGGAGGCAGAGTGGAGGTGCGGACCCAAAACCCCGCCCCGTCCCAAATCCCCGGGCGAAGGGAGGGCTCTTCCAGGCCGTTCCTCGTGGATTTGGGGGCGTACACCCTCCCCACTCCAAATCCCCGGGGGAAGGGGGGCTCCTCCGGGCTGTTCCTCATGGATTGGGGCGGCCACACCCGTCCCAAATCCCGGGATAAGGGAGGGCTCTTCCAGCCCGTTCCTCGTGGATTTGGGGTATTCACCCCCACCCCAAATCCCGGGATAAGGGAGGGCTCCTCCAGGCCATTCCTTGTGGATTTGGGGGTGTCCACCCCTCCTCAAATCCCGGGATGAGGGAGGGCCCTTCCAGCCCGTTCCTCGTGGATTTGGGGGCGTCCACCACCACCCCAAATCCCGGGATTTTGGGACGTCGACCCCCCACACCCCAAGTCCCGGGATAAGGGAGGGCTCTTCCAGCCCGTTCCTCATGGATTTGGGGGCATTCACCCCCACCCCAAATCCCGGGATAAGGGAGGGCTCTTCCAGGCCGTTCCTCGTGGATTTTGGGGCTTTCACCCCCACCCCAAATCATGGATTTTGGGGCTTCCACCCCCACCCTAAATCATGGATTTGGGGGCGTCCACATCCCCCCCCCAAATCCCGGGGTAAGGGAGGGCCCTTCCAGCCCGTTCCTCATGGATTTTGGGGTGTCCACACTCACCCCAAATCATGGATTTTGGGGCATCCACCCCCACCCCAAATCCCGGGATAAGGGAGAGTCCTTCCAGGCCGTTCCTCGTGGATTTGGGGGCGTCCACACCCACTCCGAATCATGGATTTTGGGGCTTCCACCCCCACCCCAAATCATGGATTTTGGGGCGTCCACATCCCCCACCCCAAATCCCGGGATAAGGGAGGGCCCTTCCAGCCCATTCCTCGTGGATTTGGGGGCGTCCACCCTCTCCCCAAATCCCGGGATGAGGGAGGGCTCTTCCAGCTCGTTCCTCGCGGATTTTGGGACATCCACCCCCACCCCAAATCCCGGGATTTTGGGATGTCGACCCCCCTCCCCCCAAATCCCGGGATAAGGGAGGGCTCTTCCAACCCGTTCCTCATGGATTTTGGGGCGTCCACACCCCCCACACCCCAAATCCCGGGATGAGGGAGGGCTCTTCCAGCCCGTTCCCCGTGGATTTTGGGGCGTCCTCTGCCCTCCAGGTACGACCTGCAGATCCGGTACCTGCCCGAGGATTTCCTGGAGCGCTTCCAGGAGGACAGGACCACCCTGCTCTACTTCTACCAGCAGGTCCGGGGGGGGCCGGGGGTTTCCTGTCCCACCCCCCACCCCCATCCCGGAGGGTGTTTCCTCCTCCCGGCCCTAAAAATTGGGATTCCCGAGAGCCCCGAGGGGTTGTCGCGTGGAGGGGGAGGGGACGGGAGGGGACAGGAGGGGACAGGAGGGGAGGGTCCCGTCCCGCTGCTGGGTCTGGGAATGTCCGGGGGAAAAGGAGGGTGTGGGTGCTGCCACCGTCCTGCCTGTCCCCTGCCACTGTCCCTGTCACCGTCCCCTGCCACCGTCCCCTGCCACCGTCCCCTGCCACCATCCCCTGTCACCGTCCCTGTCACCATCCCCTTTGCCACCCTCCCTGCCACCATCCCCTTTGTCACCATCCTCTGCCACTGCTCCTGCCACCACCCTGCCACTCGTCCCCCATCCCCTGCCACCCTCCCTGCCACCATCCCTGTCACCATCCCTACCATCCCCTGCCACCATCCCCTGTCACTATTCCTGCTGCCACCCACCCTGTCACCATCCCTGCCATCCGTGTCACCCTCCCTGCCACCATCCCTGTCACCATCCCTGCCACCATCCCCTTTGTCACCATCCCCTGCCACCATCCCCTGTCACCATCCTTGCCATCCGTGTCACCATTCCTGCCATCCACTATCACCACCCCTGCCACCCTCCCTGCCACCCTCCCTGCCACCATCCCTGTCACAATCCCTGTCACCATCCCTGCCATCCCTGTCACCATCCCTGCCACCCTCCCTGCCACCATCCCCTTTGTCACCACCACTGCCACCCTCCCTGTCACCCTCCCTGCCACCCTCCCTGTCACAATCCCTGCCATCCCCTGCCACCATCCCCTGTCACTATTCCTGCTGCCACCATCCCTGCCACCCTCCCTGTCACCATCACTGCCATCCCCTTTGTCACCATCACTGCCATCCCCTGCCACCATCCCTGCCACCATCCCCTTTGTCACCATCCCTGTCACCATCCCCTTTGTCATCATCCCTGCCACCATCCCTTTTGTCACCCTCCCTGTCACCCTCCCTGTCACCCTCCCTGTCACCATCCCCTGTCACCATCCTTGTCACCATCCTTGCCATCTGTGTCACCATTCCTGCCCTCCACTACCACCATCCCCTGCCACCCTCCCTGCCACCATCCCTGTCACAATCCCTGTCACCATCCCTGCCATCCCCTGCCACCATCCCCTGTCACTATTCCTGCTGCCACCCTCCCTGCCACCCTCCCTGCCACCATCCCCTTTGTCACCCTCCCTGTCACCATCCCCTTTGTCACCATCCCTGCCATCCCCTGCCACCCTCCCTGCCACCCTCCCTGCCACCATCCCTGCCACCATCCCTGCCACCCTCCCTACCACCATCCCCTTTGTCACCTTCCCTGTCACCATGCCCTTTGTCACCCTCCCTGTCACCATCCCCTTTGTCACCATCACTGCCACCCTCCCTGTCACCATCACTGCCACCATCCCCTTTGTCACCATCCCTGCCATCCGTGTCACCCTCCCTGTCACCATCACTGCCACCATCCCCTTTGTCACCCTCCCTGTCACCACCCCCTGTCCACCGTCCTCCCCCGTGCCCTGCCACTGTTCCCACTGCCACCATCCTCTGCCACCGCTCCTGCCACCACCCTGCCACTCGTCCCCCAGCCCCTGCCACTTTTGCCACCTCCCCGTGCCACCATCCCTGTCACCATCCTCCTGCCACCGTCCCCTGGCACTCCTTCACCACTCTGTGTCCCGGGGTGCCCCTGCTGTCCCCACCCGTGTCCCGGAGTGTCCCTGCCCGTATCCTGGGGTGTCCCTGCCCGTGTCCCCGCTGTTCCCGCTGTCCCCACCGTGGCTGAACCGTGTCCCCACTGTCCCTGCCCATGTCCCGGAGTGTCCCTGCCCATGTCCAGGGGTGTCCCTGCCCGTGTCCTGGGGTGTCCCTGATGTCCCTGCCCGTGTCCTGGGGTGTCCCTGCCCGTGTCCCCACTGTCCCCACCCGTGTCCCCACTGTTCCTGCTGTCCCCACCCGTGTCCCGGGGTGTCCCTGCCCTTATCCCGGGGTGTCCCTGCCCATGTCCCGGGGTGTCCCTGCCCATGTCCCCTGCCCTGTCCCGGTGTCCCCGCGCGGCTGAGCCGTGTCCCCACTGTCCCTGCCCGTGTCCCGGGGTGTCCCTGCTCGTGTCCCGGGGTGTCCCTGCCCATGTCCCCTGCCCTGTCCCGGTGTCCCCGCGCGGCTGAGCCGTGTCCCCTCAGCTCCGCAGTGAGTACATGCAGCACTACGCCAGCAAGGTGAGCGAGGGGATGGCCCTGCAGCTCGGCTGCCTCGAGCTCAGGTACGGCCACCGGCCCTCCGTGTGTCCCCAGTGCCCCTCTGTGCCCCCTCGTGTGTCCCCAGTGTCCCTCTGTGTCCCCCCGTGTGTCCCCAGTGTCCTCCTCGTGTCCCTCCGTGTGTCCCCAGTGCCCCTCTGTGCCCCTCCGTGTGTCCCCAGTGCCCCTCTGTGCCCCTCCGTGTGTCCCCAGTGTCCCTCTGTGTCCCCCCATGTGTCCCCCAGTGTCCTCTGTGTCCCTTCGTGTCCCCAGTGTCCCTCTGTGTCCTCCCGTGTGTCCCCAGTGTCCCTCTGTGTCCCCCCGTGTGTCCCCAGTGTCCTCCTCTTGTCCCCCCCGTGTCCCTCCTTCCCTCTGTCCCCCACCAGGTCCATCCCCCCGTGTCCCTTCATGTCCCCTCTGTCCCCTGCCCCTCCATCTCTCCTTCCTTCTGTCCCCTGCCAGGTACGTCTCTCCTGTCCCTTCTTGTCCCCTCTGTCCCTCTGTCCCCTCCCAGGTCTGTCCCTCTGTCCCCTGCCAGGTCTGTCTGTCCCTGTGTCCCCTCTGCCGCCGTGGGGAGGGCTGTGGGGGCTGAGGTCTGGGACCTAGGCGGAGGAGGGACATTCCAGCTCTTCCAGAGGTGCCGCAGGTCTGTGGCAGTGTCAGGGGTCCTGTTTGATATCCCTGTCCTGGGGTCCCTGTTTGATGTCCCTGTCCTGGGGGGTCCTGTTTGGTGTCCTGTCCTGGGGACCCTGTTTGGTGTCACCTGTCCTGGGGGTCCCTGTTTGATGTCCCCGATCCTGTGGTGGGGTCAGGGGGTCCCTGTTTGATGTCCCCATCCTGGGGGTCAGGGGGTCCCTGTTTGGTGTCCCTGTCCTGGGAGGGTCATGGTTGTGTCCTTGTTTGGTGTCCCTGTCCTGGGGGGTCAGAGGGGGGTCCCTGTTTGATGTTCCTGTCCTGGGTGGGGGGTCATGGGTGTCCCTGTTTGGTGTCCCTGTCCTGGGGGGTCAGAGGGGTCCCTGTTTGATGTCCCTGTCCTAGGGCATGGGGTCCCTGTTTGATATCCCTGTCCTGGGGGGGTCATGGGGGTCCCTGTTTGGTGTCCCTGTCCTGGGGGGTCAGAGGGGTCCCTGTTTGGTGTCCCTGTCCTGGGGGTCAGGGGGTCCCTGTTTGACGTCCCTGTCCTGGTGGGGTCAGGGGGTCCCTGTTTGATGTCCCTGTCCTGGGGGGTCAGAGGGGTCCCTGTTTGATGTCCCTGTCCTGGGGGGTCCCTGTTGATGTCCCTGTCCTGGGGGTCAGAGGGGGTCCCTGTTTGATATCCCTGTCCTGGGGGGGGTCAGGAGGGTCCCTGTTTGGTGTCCCTGTCCTGGGGGGGTCAGGAGGGTCCCTGTTTGGTGTCCCTGTCCTGGGGGTCATGAGGGGGGTCCCTGTTTGACGTCCCTGTCCTGGGGGTCCCTGTTGGTGTCCCTGTCCTGGGAGGGTCAGGGTTGTCCTTGTTTGGTGTCCCTGTCCTGGGGGGTCAGGGGGTTCCCTGTTTGATGTCCCCATCCTGGAGGGTCAGGGGGGTCCCTGTTTGATATCCCTGTCCTGGGGGGGTCATGGGGGTCCCTGTTTGGTGTCCCTGTCCTGGGGGGTCAGAGGGGTCCCTGTTTGGTGTCCCTGTCCTGGGGGTGTCAGAGGGGTCCCTGTTGATGTCCCTGTCCTGGGGGGTCAGGAGGGTCCCTGTTTGATGTCCCTGTCCTGGGGGTGTCAGAGGGGTCCCTGTTGATGTCCCTGTCCTGGGGGTCCCTGTTGATGTCCCTGTCCCCCCTCCCACAGGAGGTTCTACAAGGACATGCCCCACAACGCTCTGGACAAGAAATCCAACTTCGAGTTCCTGGAGTGAGTCCATCCCTGGATCCCTCAGCCCATCCCAGCCGTCCTGGGGGGGCTGGGAATGTGCCCCTTGGCCTTCCTCAGCCTCCTGCTCCTCCTCCTCCTCCTCCCAGGGAGCCTACTCTGCTCTTCATCCTCCTCATCCTCTGGCAGTAACTCAGCCTCCCTCTGCTCTTCATCCTCCTCATCCTCCCACTGCTCTTCATCCTCCTCATCCTCCCATGACTCTTCATCCTCCCCATCCTCCCTCACCTCCTCATCCTCCCACAATTCCTCATCCTCCTCATCCTCCCACAGCTCTTCATCTTCCTCATCCTCCCACAGCTCATCCTCCCACAATTCCTCATCCTCCTCATCCTCCCACAACTCTTCATCCTCCTCATCCTCTGGCAGCAACTCAGCCTCCCTCTGCTCTTCATCCTCCCTCGGAGCCTCCTCAGCTCCTCATCCTCCCACAGCTCCTCATCCTCCTCATCCTCCCACTGCTCTTCATCTTCCTCATCCTCCCACAGCTCATCCTCCCACAATTCCTCATCCTCCTCATCCTCCCATGACTCTTCATCCTCCTCATCCTCCCTCAGCTCCTCATCCTCCCACAGCTCCTCATCCTCCCCATCCTCCCACAGTTCCTCATCTTCCTCATCCTCCCTCACCTCCTCATCCTCCTCATCCTCCCACTGCTCTTCATCCTCCCCATCCTCCCACAGCTCCTCACCCTCCTCATCCTCCTCATCCTTCTCATCCTCCTCATCCTCCCACAGCTCTTCATTCTCCTCATCCTCCCACAGCTCTTTATCCTCCCCATCCTCCCCCTTCTCCTCCTCCCCATCCTCCCCCATCTCCTCCCCCTCCTCCTCGGAGGGCACTGAGCCCCTTCCCCCCTCCCCTTCCCCCTCCCCCTTCCCTCGGTGCCCCCCATCCCATCCCCTCCCGGTGACATTCCCGGGATTCTCTGCTCCCCAGGAAGGAGGTGGGGCTGGACCTGTTCTTCCCCAGCCAGATGCAGGAGAACCTCAAGGTGAGGGACACGCGTGTCACACGTGTGTGTGTGTGTGTGTGTGTGTGTCTGATCCCTGTCCCCTCCTCTCTCCCTGATCCCTCTCCACTGTGTGATCCCTCTGTGCTCCCCGATCCCTCTGTGCTGTGTGATCCCTCCCCACTCCCGCTCCCTCTCCGCTGTGTGATCCCTATCTGATCCCTGTCCCTTCCCGATCCCTCTCTCTCCCTGATCCCTCTCCACTGTGTGATCCCTCTGTGCTCCCTGATCCCTCTGTGCTGTGCGACCCCTTCCCACTCCCGCTCCCTCTCCGCGGTGTGATCCCTCCCCGCTCCCCGCTCCCTCTCCGCTGTGTGATCCTTCTCCGATCCCTGTCCCTCCCCGATCCCTCCCTGCTCGCGATCCCTCCCTGCTCCCAATCCCTCTGTGCTCCCCAGTCCCTCTCCGCTGTGTGATCCCCCTGTGCTCCCTGATTCCTCCCTGCTCCCGATCCCTCCCCGCTCCTGATTCCTCTCTGCTGTGTGATCCCTCCCCGCTGTGTCGCTCTCCACTGTGTGATCCCTCTGTGCTCCCCAATCCCTCTGTGCTCCCTGATCCCTCCCTGCTCCCGATCCCTCCCCGCTCTCCCATCCTTCTCCGCTGTGTGATCCCTCCCCACTCCCCGATCCTTCTGTGCTCCCCGCTCCCTCTCCGCTGTGTGATCCCTCTCCAATCCCTGTCCCTTCCCGCTCCTTCTCCGCTCCCCAATCCCTCTGTGCTCCCCGATCCCTCTCCGCTGTGTGATCCCTCCCCACTCCCTCTCCCTCCCCACTCCTGATCCCTCTCCGCTGTGTGATCCCTCCCCGCTCCCTGTCCCTCCCCGATCCCTCCCCACTCCCTGTCCCTCCCCGATCCCTCCCCTCTCCCTCTCCCTCCCCGATCCCTCCCTGCTCCCTGATCCTTCTCCGCGGTGCGATCCCTCCCCACTCCCTGTCCCTCCCCACTCCTGATCCCTCTCCGCGGTGCGATCCCTCCCCACTCCCTGTCCCTCCCCGATCCCTCCCCACTCCCTGTCCCTCCGCTCCTGTCCTCCCCGATCCCTCCTGCTCCCTGATCCTTCTCCGCTGGTGCGATCCCTCCCCGCTCCCTGTCCCTCCCCGCTCTCTGTCCCTCCCCGATCCCTGTCCCTCCCCGCTCCCTGTCCCTCCCCGATCCCTGTCCCTCCCCGATCCCTGTCCCTCCCCACTCCCTGTCCCTCCCCGATCCCTCCCCATTCCCTGTCCCTCCCCGCTCCCGCTGCGTTTCGGCGCGCTGTGTGCGATGTGAGCGCTGTGTGCGGTCCCGGCAGCCGCGGCAGCTGCGGAGGATGATCCAGCAGACGTTCCAGCAGTACGCGCTGCTGCGGGAGGAGGAGTGCGTGCTCAAATTCCTGCACACCCTGGGCACCATCGCCCCCATCGGGCAGGAGACCTTCCAGTGCCAGCTCGTCGTGCGTCCCAATGGGGGGCGGGATATGGGATATGGGATATGGGATATGGGATATGGGATATGGGATAGGGAGTGCGTGCTCAAATTCCTGCACACCCTGGGCACCATCGCCCCCATCGGCCAGGAGACCTTCCAGTGCCAGCTCGTCGTGCGTCCCCAGGGATATGGGATATGGGATATGGGATGTGGGATGTGGGATAGGGGGTATGGGATACGGGATAGGGGATGTGGGATGTGGGATATGGGATAGGGAGTGCGTGCTCAAATTCCTGCACACCCTGGGCACCATCGCCCCCATCGGGCAGGAGACCTTCCAGTGCCAGCTCGTCGTGCGTCCCAATGGGGATCTGGGATGTGGGATGTGGGATATGGGATATGGGATATGGGATATGGGATATGGGATAGGGAGTGCGTGCTCAAATTCCTGCACACCCTGGGCACCATCGCCCCCATCGGCCAGGAGACCTTCCAGTGCCAGCTCGTCGTGCGTCCCCACGGGATGTGGGATATGGGATGTGGGATATGGGATGTGGGATATGGGATATGGGATCTGGGATGTGGGATATGGGATGTGGGATGTGGGATGTGGGATACAGGGTGCGTGCTCAAATTCCTGCACACCCTGGGCACCATCGCCCCCATCGGCCAGGAGACCTTCCAGTGCCAGCTCGTCGTGCGTCCCCACAGGGATATGGGATACGGGATATGGGATATGGGATATGGGATGTGGGATATGGGATACGGGATAGGGGATATGGGATATGGGATAGGGGATATGGGATAGGGAGTGCGTGCTCAAATTCCTGCACACCTTGGGCACCATCGCCCCCATCGGGCAGGAGACCTTCCAGTGCCAGCTCGTCGTGCGTCCCCACGGGATGTGGGATATGGGATGTGGGATACGGGATAGGGGATGTGGGATGTGGGATGTGGGATATGGGATACAGGATGTGGGATAGGGGATAGGAGATGTGGGATGTGGGATATGGGATAGGAGATGTGGGATGTGGGATATGGGATATGGGATGTGGGATACTGGATGGGGATGGGATGGGATGGCACGGGATGGGATGGGATGGAAGGTATGGATGGGATGGAATGATGGGATGGAATGGGATACAGGGATGGGATGGGATAGGATGGGATGGGATATTATGGGATGGGAAGGGATGGGATATTATGGGATGGGAAGGGATGGGATGGGATGGGATGGGATGGGATGGGATGGGATAGGATGGGATGGGAAGGGATGGGAAGGGATGGGATGGGATGAGGGATGGGATGGGATGGGATATATGGATGGGATGGGATGGAATGGGATGGGATGGGATGGGATGGGAAGGATGGATATTATGGGATGGGAAGGGATGGGATATGGGATGGGAAGGATGGGATGGGATGGGATATTATGGGATGGGATGGGATGGGATACAGGGATGGGATGGGATGGGATGGGATGGGCATGCGATGGGATGGGATGGGATGGGATGGGATGGGATACAGGATGGATGGGATGGGATGGGATGGGATTATGGGATATTATGGATGGGAAGGGATGGAAGGATGGGATGGGATGGGATGGGATGGGATATTATGGGATATTATGGGATGGGAAGGGAAGGGAAGGGATGGGATGGGATGGGAAGGGATATTATGGGATAGGAAGGGATGGGATGAGAAGGGATGGGATATTATGGGATGGGAAGGGATATTATGGGATGGGAAGGGATGGGATGGGATATTATGGGAAGGGATGGGATATTATGGGATGGGATGGGATATTATGGGATGGGAAGGGATGGGGTGTCTCCGGGCATGCCCCTGACCCCCACGTGCCCCCGCAGCAAGGGTGGAACATCGCGGTGGATCTGGTGATCGGCCCCCAGGGCATCCGGCAGGTCACCGGCAAGGACACCAAGGTGGGGGCGCCGGGATCGCCGGGGCATTCCTGGGATTCCTGCTCCGGAACCGGGGCCTGAATCCCACCCTGGGGCTCTGCCCCCCCGTCCCCAGCCCACGGTCCTGGCGGAATTCCGGAACATCACGTCCATCCGCTGCTCCAGGGCCGAGGAGGGGCGGGCGCTGCTGCACCTGGGGCTCAGCGGGACCCCCTCGGTGAGCACAGGGGATACCGGGAATGGGGGGAGGATGGGGATACCGGAAATGGGGGAGGATTGGGGATAGCGGGAATGGTGGGAGGATTGGGGATACCGGGAATGGGGGAGGATGGGGATACCGGGAATGGTGGGAGGATTGGGGATACCGGGAATGGGGGGAGGATTGGGGATACCGGGAATGGGGGGAGGATTGGGGATACCGGGAATGGTGGGAGGGATTGGGGATAGCGGGAATGGCGGGAGGATTGGGGATACCGGAATGGTGGGAGGATGGGGATACCGGAATGGTGGAGGATTGGGGATACCTGGGAATGGTGGAGGATTGGGGATACCGGGAATGGCGGGAGGATTGGGGATACTGGGAATGGTGGGAGGGATTGGGGATACCGGGAATGATGGGAGGGATTGGGGATACCGGGAATGATGGGAGGATGGGGGATACCGGGAATGATGGGAGGGATTGGGGATACCAGGAATGATGGGAGGATTGGGGATACCAGGAATGATGGGAGGATTGGGGATACTGGGAATGGCAGGAGGATTGGGGATACCAGGAATGGTGGGAGGATTGGGGATACCGGAAATGATGGGAGGGATTGGGGATACCGGAATGATGGGAGGGATTGGGGATACTGGGAATGGCGGGAGGGATGGGGATCCTGGGAATGATGGGAAGGATTGGGGATACCGGGAATGCCGGGAGGATTGGGGATACCTGGGAATGGTGGGAGGATTGGGGATACCGGGAATGATGGGAAGGATTGGGGATACCGGGAATGGTGGGAGGATTGGGGATCCCGGGAATGGTGGGAGGGATTGGGGATCCTGGGAATGATGGGAGGGATTGGGGATACCGGGAATGGTGGGGGGATTGGGGATACCGGGAATGATGGGAGGGATTGGGGATACCGGGAATGATGGGAGGGATTGGGGATACCGGGAATGGTGGGAGGGATTGGGGATACTGGGAATGCCGGGGGGACTGGGGATACCGGGAATGATGGGAGGATTGGGGATACCGGGAATGGCGGGAGGGATGGGGGATACCGGGAATGGGGGGAGGATGGGGGATACCGGGAATGGTGGGAGGGATTGGGGATCCTGGGAATGCCGGGCGGGAGTGCAGGGATTGGGGGTCCCCCGGTGAGGATAGGGGGATCCCGGGAATGCCGTGTCGCCCTGGGAATGCCGGGATGCGGGAAGGGAAATGCCCTCGGGATGAGGGTGGGAAAAGCGGGATGGGGAGAGCTGCTGCTCACCCTGCCTGCCCTGGGATGGGGTGGGATGGAATGCAGGGATGGGATGGGATGGGATGGGATGGAATGGGATGGGATGGGATGGGATGTCATGGGGATGGAGTGGGATAGAGTTGGGTGGGATGTTATGGGAATGAAGTGGGATATATGGGGATGGGATATATGGGATGGGATTGATTGGGATGGGATGGGATGGATTGGATTGGGATGGGATGGGATGGATTGGGATGAGATGGGGTTGGGTAGGATGGGATGGGATGGGATAGGATGGGATGGGATGGATGGGATGGGATGGGATGGGGTTGGGTGGATGGCATGGGATGGGATTGGGTGGGATGTCATGGGGATGGGTGGGATGGGATTGGGATGGGATGAGGGTGGGATGATTAGGTGGGGATGGGATGGATTGGGATGGGATGGGGTTGAGTGGGATGTCATGGGGATGGGGTGGGATGGGCTGAAGGTGGATGGGATGGGATGTGGGTTTGGTGGATGAGATGGCTGGGTGGGATGGGATGAGGTTGGGTGATGTTATGGGGATGGGATGGATGGGATGGGATGGGATGGGATGGGATGGGATGGGATTGGGTGGGATGTTATGGGGATTGGGTGGGATGGGATGGGATGGTTTGGGTAATGTGATGGGATGGATGGGGTTGGGTGGATGTCATGGGATGGGGTGGGATGGGGCTGGGTGGGATGTTACAGGGCTCATCCGTGCCCCCATTCCCGCTGTCCCAGTCCCTGAGCATCCAGACGGCGTCGGTGGCCGAGGCGGAGAACATGGCCGAGCTCATCGACGGCTACTGCCGCATCCAGGGGGGCTCCCACGGCTCCCTCCTGCTCTGCCCCGGGAAAGGTGGGGACACAGAGACCCCACGGAACAACGGGACACGGAATGGGAATGGCGTGGGATGGGGTGGGGTGGGATGGGATACAGGGATGGGATGGGATGGGATGGGATGGGATGGGATGGGATGGGATGGGATACAGGATGGGATGGGATGGGATGCAGGATGGGATACAGGGATGGGATGGGATGGGATGGGATACGATGGGATGGGATACAGGGATGGGATGGGATGGATAGGATGGGATACAGGGATGGGATGGGATGGATACAGGGATGGGATGGGGATAGGATGGGATGGGATGGGATGGGATGGGATGGGATGGGATACAGGATGGGATGGGATGGGATGGGATGGGATACAGGATGGGATGGATACAGGGATGAGATGGGATGGGATGGGATGGGATAGGATGGGATGGGATAGGATGGGATGGGATGGGATGAGGGATGGGATGGATGGATGGGATGGGATGGATGGGATGGGATGGGATTGGAATAACAGGATGGGGATGGATGGAGGAATGGAGATGGGATGAGGATGGAAGATAGTGGATGGATGCAATGGAGTGGAATGAGCGTGGGATGGTGATGGAATGGGATGAAGTGACATGGGAGATAGGGATTGGGCTGTAGGATGAGGCTGGGATGGAGATGGATGGGATGGGATAGGATGGATGGGATGGAGATGGGATGGATGGATGCAGTTGAATGAGCACATGGATGGGATGGGATGCAGTGACATGGAGATGAGGATTGGGCTGGGATGAGGCTGGGATGCAATGGATGGATGGATGAGGCTGGGATGGGGGATGGATGGGATGGGATGGGATGGGATGGGATGGGGATGGGATGGGATGAGGGCTGGGATGGGGATGGAGTGTCTCCCCCCAGTGCTCCCCCCCAGCCCTTTTCCAGTCTCTCCACGGCCACCATTCCCACTTAGATCCACCCTCCACTCCACCCTGGGGGGCCCCTAGACCCCCAAATCCCCCCCTGCCGCTGTTCCCAAGGCTCTGGGGGGCGCCCAGCCCCGGGTGTGGGGTGTGGGGGGTGTGACAGGTCCGTGTCCCCTCCGCAGAGCGGGAGAAGAGGATGAGCCTCCCGCAGCTCCCGGCTCCGTGAGTGATCCCAGCCCCTTTCCCGGCATTCCCAGAGCCCCGCTGTGGGGCCGGGAACGCCCTTCCCGACCCCCCCCTTCCCGCCCCACAGGCCCCTGGGGGACAGGCGTTCCACGCAGTCCGACAGCCTCGGAGGGGGTGAGTCCGGGGGGGGACAGGAAAAGATCCCTGAGGATCCCCGGAGTGAGGATGGGGGGCATGGAAAAGATCTGAGGACCTCCGGGGAAGAGAGGGTGGGCCAAGGGAATCCCGGCATCCTGACTGCCTGGGAATGCTGGAAGATCCTCCCCCCCAAACCCATCCCATCCCCACCGAGCTTCCCAACCCCCTTTTTTTTCCCGGGTTTTCCCCCCCAGATTCCGACATTTACGCCGAAATCCTGGATGAGTCCTCGGGGTCCAGGTCTGCAGGTGGGTCCTGTCCCGGGGGGTCCATCAGGAAATCCCCCTGCCCATTCCCAGATTCCCAGCCCATCCACAGAAACCCCCTCTGGAAGCTCCTGAGGGAGCAGGGATGGATCCCGTGGGAGCATCCATAGGGCAGGATCCAGGGATCCCCTTGATCCAGGGATGGATCCCATGGGAGCATCTGTGGGGCAGAATCCATGGATCTCCTTGATCCAGGGATGGATCCCATGGGAGCATCCATAGGGCAGGATCCAGGGCAGGATCCCCTCGATCCAGGAGTAGATCCCACGGCCCCCGGGGCAGGATCCACGACCCCTTGAAGGGTTGGTGAGCAGGGATAAATCCTGCTTATCCCGGGGGCTGTTTCCCATGGAAAGGGCCAGGATTTGGGGATCTGGCTCAGCCCCCCATTCCCCTCTCCCGGGTGGGATTTGGGGATCTGGCTCCGCCCCCCATTCCCCATCTCCCGTGTGGGATTTGGGGATCTGGAATGGCCCCCCATTCCCCTCTCCCGAGTGGGATTTGGGGATCTGGCTCCGCCCCCCATTCCCCTCTCCCACGTTCCCCATGGAAGGGGGCCGGGATTTTGGCCAGGATTTGGGGCTCTGGAATGGCCCCCCATTCCTCTCTCCCACTTTCCCCATGGAAGGGGAAGGGGCCGGGATTTGGGGATCCGCATTCCTCCGGTCCCACGTCCCATGGAAGGAAGGGCCGATCTGGGCCCGATTCGCTCTGGCTCTGCCTCCATCCCCCTGTCCTCTCCCATGGAAGGGGAGGGCTGGGATTTGGGCAGGATTTGGGGCTCTGGAATGGCCCCCCATTCCTCTCTCCCACGTCCCCCATGGAAGGGACAGGGATTTGGGCCGGGATTTGGGGCTCTGGCTCGGCCCCCCATTCCCCTCCCCCGTGTGGGATTTGGGGCTCTGGCTCTGCCCCCCATTCCTCTCTCCCACGTCCCCATGGAAGGGAGGACAGGGACTGGGGCTCTGGCTCGCCCCATCCTCCTGTGGGATTTGGGGATCTGGCTCCGCCCCCCATTCCCCTCTCCCGCGTTCCCCATGGAAGGGGAAGGGGCCGGGATTTGGGGATCTGGCTCTGCCCCCCATTCCTCTCTCCCACGTCCCCCATGGAAGGGACAGGGGCCGGGATCTGGGCCGGGATTCAGGGCTCTGGCTCTGCCCCCCATTTCCCTGTCCCTCGTTCCTCATGGAAGGGAATGGGGCCAGGATCTGGGCCGGGATTCGGGGCTCTGGCTCTGCCCCCATCCCCCCGTGCCGCGTTCCCGGCAGGGCAGTGCGGGATCCGTCGGGAGGCGGTGACGCTGGGCAGGATCCTGGGGGAAGGATTCTTTGGAGAGGTCTACGAGGGGCTCTACAACACCCCGGTGAGACCCCCAGCCCTCCCGGCGCTGGGAAAACCCGGGATCAGCATTCCCGAGCCTTCTCCCCGTCCCCGGGATGAGCATTCCCGACCCTTCTCCCTGCCCTCGGGATCAGCATTCCCGACCCTTCTCCCCGCCCCCGGCATGAGCATTCCCGACCCTTCTCCCCGACCCCGGGATGAGCATTCCCTGCCCCGGGATGAGCATTCCCACCCCCGGGATGAGCATTCCCGACCCCGGGATGAGCATTCCCTGCTCCCGGGATGAGCATTCCCGATCCTCCTCCCCGCCGCACGCAGGACGGGGAGCGGCTCAGCGTGGCGGTGAAGACCTGCAAGCAGGACTGCAGCCCGGAAAACAGGGAGAAATTCCTGAGAGAAGCAGGTATCCCGGGAATGCCGCCGCCCTGAGCCTCGGGAAGAGCCGCGGCGTTCCCCAGGGATCACCCCTCTCGGGGGGGCTGGTGGAGATCCCTAAAAACCAGGAGCTCCTTGGGGGATATCCTAGGGAATTCCTCCTGCTCTGTCTCCAACCCCAGGGATGGGGATTGGGAATCACCCTGGGATGGGGATTGGGGATCACCCTGGGATTGGGATTGAGAATCACCCTGGGATGGGGATTGGGGAACACTCCTGGATTGGGATTGGGGATCACCCCTGGGATGGGGATTGGGGATCACCCCGGGATTGGGGATCACCCTGGGATGGGGATTGGGGATCACCATGGGATTGGGATTGGGAATCACCCTGGGAGTGGGATTGGGAATCACCCTTGGAGTGGGATTGGGAATCACCCTGGAATTGGGATTATGGGATCAGCCATGGATGGGGATTGGGGATCACTCCAGGATTGAGATTGGGAATCACGCTGGGATTGGGATTAGGAGTCACCCAAGGATGGGGATTGGGGATCACCCTGGGATTGGGATTGGGGATCACCCTGGGATGGGGATTGGGGATCACCCTGGGATTGGGATTGGGATCACTCTGGAATTGGGAATCACCCTGGGACTGGGATTTGGGATCACCCTGGGATGGGGATTGGGGATCACTCTGGAACTGGGAATCACCCCAGGATAAGGATTTGAGGTTCACCCCGGGATGAGGATTGGGGATCACCCCGGGATGGGTATTGGGGATCACCCCAGGATAGGGATTGGGGTTCACTCCAGGACAGGGATTGGGGATCACCCTGGGATGGGGATTGGGGTTCACCCTGGGATGGGGATTTGGGGATCACCCCGGGACGGGCTGTGGGGTCCCCGGACGTGCCCCCATCCGTCCCCGTGCCCCGCAGTGCTGATGAAGAAGCTGGACCACCCGCACATCGTGAGGCTCATCGGCATCGCCGAGGACGAGCCCACCTGGATCGTCATGGAGCTCTATCCCTACGGGGAGGTGGGTGGGGCACCCCAACCCCCCCAATCCCCCGTTTTTGGGGCCCACGCCGGTCCCTGATCCCGGTGGGAATGCTGTGTCACAGCTGGGGCGGTACCTGGAGCAGAACCGGCCGTGCCTGGCGGTGCCCACGCTGGTGCTCTACGCCCTGCAGGTCAGCAAGGCCATGGCCTACCTGGAGGCCATGAGCTGCGTCCACAGGTGGGTGCCGTGGGGTGGGATCCATGGGAATGGGCTGGGATCCATGGGAATGGGCTGGGATCCATGGGAATGGGCAGGGAGCTGCTGGGATGGGCTGGGATCCAAGGGATGATGGGCCATGGCCTACCTGGAGGCCAGCAGCTGTGTCCACAGGTGGGTGCTGTGGGGTGGGATCCATGGGAATGGGCTGGGATCCAGGGGATGGGCTGGGATCCACCAGGATGGGCTGGGATCAACGGAATGGGCTGGGATCCATGGGGAATGGGCTGGGAGCTGTTGGGATGGGCTGGGATCCAGGGGATGATGGACCATGGCCTACTGGAAGCCATGAGCTGCGTCCACAGGTGGGTGCCGGGGGATTGGATCCATGGGATGGGCTGGGATCCAGGGGGATGGGCTGGGATCCAGGGGATGGGCTGGGATCCACCGGATGGGCTGGGATCCAGGGGAATGGGCTGGGATCCATGGGAATGGGCTGGGATCCACTGGGATGGGCTGGGGTCCACAGGGATGGGCTGGGATCCAGGGGGAGATGGATTGGGATCCATGGGAATGGGCTGGGAGCTGCTGGGATGGGCTGGGATCCAGGGGATGGGCTGGGAGCTGCTGGGATGGGCTGGGATCCAGGGGATGGGCTGGGAGCTGTTGGGATGGGCTGGGATCCAGGGGATGATGGGCCATGGCCTACCTGGAGGCCATGAGCTGCGTCCACAGGTGGGTGCTGTGGGGTGGGATCCATGGGAATGGGCTGGGATCCATGGGAATGGGCTGGGATCCAGGGGGAATGGACTGGGAGCTGTTGGGATGGGCTGGGATCCAGGGGATGATGGGCCATGGCCTACCTGGAGGCCATGAGCTGTGTCCACAGGTGGGTGCTGGGGGGTGGGATCCATGGGAATGGGCTGGGATCCATGGGAATGGGCTGGGATCCAGGGGATGGGCTGGGATCCACCAGGAATGGGCTGGGATCCATGGGAATGGGATGGGATCCACCAGGGAAATGGGCTGGGATCCAGGGGATGATGGGTCATGGCCTACCTGGAGGCCAGCAACTTCATCCACAGGTGGGTGCCGTGGGATTGGAGCTGCTGGGATCCATGGGAATGGGTTGGGATCCACAGGAATGGGCTGGGAGCTGCTGGGATGGGCTGGGATCCAGGGGATGGGCGGGGATCCACGGGGATGGGCCATGGCCTACTGGAAGCCATGAGCTGCGTCCACAGGTGGGTGCCGGGGGATTGGATCCATGGGAATAGGCTGGGATCCACGGGGATGGGCTGGGATCCACGGGAATGGGCTGGGATCCATGGGAATGGGCTGGGATCCATGGGAATGGGCTGGGATCCACAGGAAATGGGCTGGGAGCTGCTGGGATGAGCTGGGATTCACTGGGATGGGCTGGGATCCAGGGAATGGACTGGGATCCAGGGGATGGGATGGGATCCACTGGGATGGGCTGGGATCCACAGGGATGGGCTGGGATCCAGGGGATGGGCTGGGCTGGGCTGGGATCCACAAGGATGGGCTGGGATCCACAGGGATGGGCTGGGATCCAGGGGATGGCTTGGGATTTAGGGGGATGATGGGCTGGGATCTAGAGGGAGATGGGTTAGGATCCAGGGGGAGAAGGTGAGTGGGAGGAGCTGTGGGGCCCTGGGGTGATGGGAGAGGGGGGTGTCCAGGGGTGGGATCTCCTTCTCCTCCATCCCCTTCTCCAGCATCCCCTTATCCTCCATCCCTTTCTCCTCCATCCCTTTCTCCTCCATCCCTTCTCCTCCATCCCCTTCTCCTCCATCCCCTTCTCCTTCTCTTCTCTATCCCCTTCTCTGTCCCTTCATCCCCTTCTCCATCCCTTCTCCACCCGTTCTCCATCATCCCCTCCCTATCCCTTCCCTATCCCTTTTCCGTCCCTTCTCCATCCCCTTCTTTATCCTTTTCCCACCCCTTCTCCCCATTCCAGGCTCTCTCTCCTCACTCCCGCTGTTATCCCGGTTATCTGGGTGTGCCCCTCCCTTTCCATCCCTCCCCCTGTCCCTCCCAGCCTCTCCCTCCTCACTCCCGCTGTTATCCCGGCTATCCCGGTGTGTCCCCTCCCTCTCCCTGCTCACTCCCGCCGTTATCCCGGTTATCCAGGCGTGTTCCCTCCCTCTCCCTGCTCACTCCCGCCGTTATCCCGGCTCTCCGGGCGTGTTCCCTCCCTCTCCCTGCTCACTCCCGCGGTTATCCCGGCTCTCCGGGCGTGTTCCCTCCCTCTCCCTGCTCACTCCCGCTGTTATCCCGGTTATCCAGGCGTGTTCCCTCCCTCTCCCTGCTCACTCCCGCCGTTATCCCGGCTATCCGGGTGTGTTCCCAGTCTCTCCCTGCTCACTCCCGCGGTTATCCCGGCTCTCCGGGCGTGTTCCCTCCCTCTCCCTGCTCAATCCCGCGGTTATCCCGGCTCTCCGGGTGTTCCCTCCCTCTCCCTGCTCACTCCCGCGGTTATCCCGGCTCTCCGGGTGTTCCCTCCCTCTCCCTGCTCACTCCCGCCGTTATCCCGGCTCTCTGGGCGTGTTCCCTCCCTCTCCCTGCTCACTCCCGCCGTTATCCCGGCTCTCCGGGCGTGTTCCCTCCCTCTCCCTGCTCACTCACACCGTTATCCCGGCTCTCTGGGCGTGTTCCCTCCCTCTCCCTGCTCACTCACGCCGTTGTCCCGGCTCTCTGGGCGTGTTCCCTCCCTCTCCCTGCTCACTCACGCCGTTGTCCCGGCTCTCCGGGCGTGTCCCCTCCCTCTCCCTGTCCCTCCCAGTCCCTCCCTGTCCCTCCCAGTCTCTCTCTGCTCACTCCCGCGGTTATCCCGGCTCTCCGGGCGTGTTCCCGCAGGGACATCGCGGTGCGGAACATCCTGGTGGCCTCTCCCGACTGCGTCAAGCTGGGAGACTTCGGCCTCTCCCGCTACATCGAGGATGAGGAGTATTACAAAGGTAGGGGGGCGCTGGAGCCGGGAATGCCTTCCCTGGAACCGGGAATGCCTTCCCTGGAACCGGGAATGTCTGCCCGCGGAGATCCCTTCCCTGGGAGCCGGGAATGCCTTCCCTGGGAGCCGGGAATCCTGTCCCGCTTTCCTTCCTGCTGGAGCCAGGAATGCCTTCCCTGGGAGCTGGGAATCCCTTCCAAGGGGACCAGGAATCCTGTCCCACTGGGAGCTGGGAATCCCTTCCCTGGGAGCTGGGAATCCCTTCCCGGGGGAACTGGGAATCCCTTCCAAGGGGACCAGGAATCCCATCCCACTGGAGCTGGGAATCCCTTCCTGCTGGAGCTGGGAATGCCTTCCCTGGGAGCTGGGAATCCCTTCCAAGGGGACCAGGGATCCCTTCCCGCTGGGAACTGGGAATCCCTTCCAAGGGGACCAGGAATCTTGTCCCACTGGGAGCTGGGAATCCCTTCCCTGAGAGCTGGGAATCCCTTCCCGCTGGAGCTGGGAATCCCTTCCCTGGGAGCCGGGAATCCCGTCCTGCTGGAGCTGGGAATGCCTTCCCTGGGAGCTGGGAATCCCGTCCCTCTGGAGCCAGGAATCCCGTCCCGCTGGAGCCGGGGTTGTCCCCTCCCTCCCCAACCCCTTCCCATCCCTTTCCAGCCTCCGTGTCCCGCCTGCCCATCAAGTGGATGTCTCCCGAATCCATCAACTTCCGACGCTTCACCACGGCCAGCGACGTCTGGATGTTCGGTGAGGGTGGGAAACCGGGATGCTGGGATGGGCTGGGATGCTGGGAGCCCTCCTGCCAGGAATGGGGACAGATCCTGCTCTGGAATGGGGGGTTATCCCAACCTTATCCCGGGGGGAGCCACCCTGGGGAAGGGCTTCCAGTCCACCAGCCCTGGGGGCTTCCTGATCCTCCTTCTCCAGGGAATTTCGGGAAGTTTTGGGGCTGAGTTGAACCCCATTCCCTGTGAATATCCATCCACCCATTCCCTGTGGATATCCATCCAGCCATTCCCTGGAAATATCCATCCACCCATTCCCTGTGAATATCCATCCACCCATTCCCTGTGAATATCCATCCACCCATTCCCTGTGATTATCCATCCAGCCATTCCCTGTGGATATCCATCCACCCATTCCCTGTGGATATCCATCCACCCATTCCCTGAGGATTTCCATCCACCCATTCCCTGTGGATATCCATACAGCCATTCCCTGTGAATATCCATCCACCCATTCCCTGTGAATATCCATCCACCCATTCCCTGTGAATATCCATCCACCCATTCCCTGTGGATATCCATCCACTCATTCCCTGTGGATATCCATCCACCCATTCCCTGTGGATATCCATCCAGACATTCCCTGTGGATATCCATCCATCCATTCCCTGTGAATATCCATCCACCCATTCCCTGTGGATATCATCCACCCATTCCCTGTGAATATCCATCCACCCATTCCCTGTGGATATCCATCCACCCATTCCCTGTGGATATCCATCCACCCATTCCTGTGGATATCCATCCACCCATTCCCTGTGGATATCCACCCAGCCATTCCCTGTGGATATCCATCCACCCATTCCCCTGGAAAGATCCATCCACCCATTCCCTGGAAATATCCATCCACCCATTCCCTGTGGATATCCATCCACCCATTCCCTGTGGGTATCCATGCACCCGTTCCCTGTGGATATCCATCCAGCCATTCCCTGGAAATATCCATCCACCCATTCCCTGTGGATATCATCCACCCCTTCCCTGTGGATATCATCCACCCATTCCCTGTGGATATCATCCACCCCTTCCCTGTGAATATCCATCCACCATTCCCTGTGGATATCCATCCACCCATTCCCCTAGGGAAGGGCTTCCATTGAACCACCATTGGGTGCTTCCTGCTCCTTCTTCTCCAGGGAATTTTGGGAAGTTTTGGGGCTGAGTTGAACCCCATTCCCTGTGGATATCCATCCACCCATTCCCCGAGGATTTCCACCCACCCATTCCCGTGGCTTCTGGAGCTCTTTTCCCACTGTGTCCGTCCCTAAAATCCTGCTCTGCAGTGGCAGGTTATCCCAGACTTATCCTGGTAGAAGCCACCCTAGGGAAGGGCTTCCATTGAACCACCATTGGGTGCTTCCTGCTCCTTCTTCTCCAGGGAATTTCGGGAAGTTTTGGGGCTGAGTTAAACCCCATTCCCTGGAAATATCCATCTCCTTGTCCATCCACCCATTCCCCTAGGGAAGGGCTTCCATTGAACCACCATTGGGTGCTTCCAGCTCCTTCTTCTCCAGGGAATTTTGGGAAGTTTTGGGGCTGAGTTGAACCCCATTCCCTATGGATATCCATCTATCCATTCCCCTAGGAAAGGGCTTCCATTGAACCACCATTGGGTGCTTCCTGCTCCTTCTTCTCCAGGGAATTTCGGGAAGTTTTGGGGCTGAGTTAAACCCCATTCCCTGTGGATATCCATCCACCCATTCCCGTGGCTTCTGGAGCTCTTTTCCCACTGTGTCCATCCCTAAAATCCTGCTCTACAGTGGCAGGTTATCCCAAAGTTATCCTGTAGAAGCCACCCTAGGGAAGGGCTTCCACTGAACCACCATTGGGTGCTTCCAGCTCCTCCTTCTCCAGGGAATTTTGGAAAGCTTTGGGGCTGAGTTAAACCCCATTCCCTGGAAATATCCATCTCCTTGTCCATCCACCCATTCCCCTAGGGAAGGGCTTCCATTGAACCACCATTGGGTGCTTCCTGCTCCTTCTTCTCCAGGGAATTTCGGGAAGTTTTGGGGCTGAGTTAAACCCCAATCTCTGGAAATCCCCATCCCCACTCTCCACCCTCCCATTCCCGTGGCCTCTGGCTCTCCCCTTCCCCCCTTCCGCATCCCTAAAATCCCTCTCCCCGGAGCTCCTCCCCCCTCCCTTCCCTCTGCCCTTCTCCCCGGGGGAATCCCAAAAGCCCCGCCCTTCATCCCGGACGATCCGTGGGATGACGATGCACGCCCTGGGCTGGCAGGGGTGTGCGTGTGGGAGATCCTGAGCTTCGGGAAGCAGCCCTTCTTCTGGCTGGAGAACCGCGAGGTGATCGCGGTGCTGGAGAGGGGCGACCGCCTGCCCAAGCCCCAGCCCTGCCCGCCCGTGCTCTACACCCTCCTCACCCGCTGCTGGGACTACGACCCACGGGAGAGGCCCACCTTCAAGGACCTGGTGTGCAGCCTCAGGTGGGCGGCAGATCCCGGGGGAAAGGGAGGGAAAAAGGGGAGGGAAAAGGGGGAGGGGGAAAAACTGAGGCGGGAAGGGGTGGGGAGGGACGGTGGTTTGGATCGTGGAGGGGTTGGAGATCACGGGGGAGCATTTGGTGGTGGGGCAGGGGGTGGGAGGGAAGTGCTTGGCTTCCTGGGAAAGGGTCCTGATCCCACATTTCCTGGGATCGTCCCTGGGGATGCTGGGGTGGATCAGGCTGTGTCCTCCCGATCCTTTCCCTCGGCTCTTCCCACCCCTCCCTCGTGTTTTCCCACCCTTTCCTCGTGCTCCCTCGTGTTTTCCTGGGGTGGAATTGAAGTGCTTGCCTTCCTGGGAAAGAGTCCTGATCCCACATTTCCCTGGGATCATCCCTGGGGATGCTGGGGTGGATTAGGATGTGTCCTCCCAATCCTTTCCCTTGGCTCTTCCCACTCCTCCCTTCTGTTTTCCCACCCCTCCCTCTGCTTCCTCGTGTTTTCCCACCCTTTCCTTGTGCTCCCTCGTGTTTTCCCGGGGTGGGATGGAAGAGCTTGGCCTCCTGGGAAAGGTTCTGATCCCACATTTCCCTGGGATCGTCCCTGGGAATGCTGGGGTGGACCAGGTTGTGTCCTACCGGTCCTTTCCCTTGGCTTTTCCCATCTCTCCCTGTGTTCCCTCGTGTTTTCCCACCCTTTCTTTGTGCTCCCTTGTGTTTTCCTGTGGTGGAATTGAAGTGCTTGGCTTCCTGGGAAAGAGTCCTGATCCCACATTTCCCTGGGATCATCCCTGGGGATGCTGGGGTGGATCAGGCTGTGTCCTACCGGTCCTTTCCTTTGGCTTTTCCCATCTCTCCCTGTGTTCTCCCACGCTTTCCCGCGCTTTCTTTGTGTTTTCCTGTGGTGGAATTGAAGTGCTTGGCTTCCTGGGAAAGATCCTGATCCCACATTTCCCTGGGATCATCCCTGGGAATGCTGGGGTGGATCAGGCTGTGTCCTCCCGATCCTTTCCCTCGGCTCTTCCCACTCCCTCCCTTCTGTTTTCCCACCCTTTCCTTGTGCTCCCTCGTGTTTTCCTGGGGTGGGATGGAAGTGCTTGGCTTCCTGGGAAAGGGTCCTGATCCCACATTTCCCTGGGATTATCCCTGGGAATGCTGGGGTGGACCAGGCTGTGTCCTCCTGGTCCTTTCCTTTGGCTCTTCCCACTCCTCCCTTCTGTTTTCCTACCCCTCCCTCTGCTCCCTCGTGTTTTCCCACCCTTTCCTTGTTCTCCCTCGTGTTTTCCTGGGGTGGGATTGAAGTGCTTGGCTTCCTGGGAAAGGTTCTGATCCCACATTTCCCTGGGATCGTCCCTGGGAATGCTGGGGTGGACCAGGTTGTGTCCTCCCGATCCTTTCCCTTGGCTTTTCCCATCTCTCCCTGTGTTCCCTCGTGTTTTCCCACCCTTTCTTTGTGCTCCCTTGTGTTTTCCTGTGGTGGAATTGAAGTGCTTGCCTTCCTGGGAAAGATCCTGATCCCACATTTCCTGGGATCATCCCTGGGAATGCTGGGGTGGATCAGGATGTGTCTTCCCAATCCTTTCCCTTGGCTCTTCCCAACCCTCCTTGTTCTCCCTCGTGTTTTCCCACCCTTTCCTTCTGCTCCCTCGTGTTTTCCCACTCTTTCTTTGTGTTTTCCTGGGGTGGAATTGAAGTGCTTGGCTTCCTGGGAAAGGGTCCTGATCCCACATTTCCCTGGGATCATCCCTGGGGATGCTGGGGTGGATCAGGCTGTGTCCTCCCGATCCTTTCCCTCGGTTCTTCCCACCCCTCCCTCTGCTCCACGGTGTTTCCCAAGGCCCATCCCTCCCCCATCCCGCTCCCTGGGCCGTGGGGCCGCGGGAATTCCCCATCCCCCGGGATTGTCACCCTCCCTGTGCCCCTCCAGCGACATTTACCTGATGGAGAAGGAGCTGGCCGAGGAGCAGGAGCGGAACCACCGGCACCGGCCCCCCAAAATCACGGAGCCCCCGGCCCTCCAGGAGCCGCCTCCCAAGGTGGGGATGGATCAGGAATTCCCCCCCCTCCGCGGGCGGGAGGGACACGGAGGTGGCACCTCCTGGGGCCGTTCCCTTCCTGACTTGTGCCGGTCCTGCCCTTCCCACAGCCCAGCCGGCCCGTGTACAAACCGCCCTCCCAGAACAACCTGCTGGCTCCCAACCTGCAATTCCAGGTGAGGTCCCGCCGGGAAGCCCCTCCCGGAGATGGAGAACAGGTCCTGGGGGGTGTTTGGGGGCCCTGAGGGGCTCCGGGGCCACCACCGAGGCCCATCCCGTCCCGCCGAGCTGGGGGAGGGATCAGGGAACCACGGGGTGGCTCAGGCTGGAAAATCCCTGCGGGATCCTGGAGTCCAACCCTCCCCCCCAGCACTGCCCAGGCCAGCCCTGCCCCTGTCCCCAAGGGCCACATCCCCGGGGACTGGGAATCCCTGCAGGGATGGCGACTCCAGCCCTGCCCTGGGAGCTTCATTCCAGTGTTTAAACACCATTTCCAGGCGGGAATTGTTCCCGATATCCCACCTACCCCTCCCCCGGCACAACTGGAGGCCATTCCCTCTTCTCCTGGCCCTCGTTCCCTGGGAACTGGGGACATCTCTCCCCTCCTGGCAGGGAGTTGTGGGGCAGGAAAAGGTCCCTCCTGATCCTTCTTTTCTCCGGGATGAGCCCCCCCGGCTCCCTCAGCCATTCCAGGTTCTCCAGCCCCTTCCCGGCTCCCTCATCCGCTCCCCGCGGACCGGGATGATCCCTCCACACCCCGCTGGGAGCCGGAGCTCTCCAGGCTCAATTCCCCCATCCCACATTCCAGCCGAGGTCTCTCCAATCCCCCCGGCACGTCCCACTCTGCCCCGGCCTCTCCCGGCCCCGCTCCCGCTGCCCCCCACCCCGCGCTGTCCATCCCCGTGTCCGTCCGTGTGTCCGCACTGACCCCCCCGCTCCGTGTGCCGTGTCCCCCTCCCCGCGCTGCCCCCGTGCCAGGTTCCCGAGGGTCTCTGTGCCAGCTCCCCCGCGCTCGCCGGCCCCGGCCCCGCCGAGTACCAGAGCCCCGGCCCGGGGGGGCCCCTGCGCACGCCGCCCCCCCAGCGCCACGGCAGCGCCTTCAAGCGCCGCAGCATGAGGGTAAGACCGGCATGCCTGGGGTCCCCCGCCTTCTCTCTGGAGTGCCCGGTGTCCCCCAGCCTGCCTGGTGTCCCCTGCCTTCCCTCTGGAGTGCCCGGTGTCCCCTACCTTCTCCCCAACCTGCCCAGTGTCCCCTGTCTTCCTCAGGCACTGCCCAGTGTGTCCCCCAGCCTGCCTGGTGTCCCTGCCTTCCCTCGGGAGTGCCCGGTGTCCCCCAGCCTGCCCAGTGTCCCTGCCTTCCCTCTGGAGTGCCTTGTGTCCCCCGTCTTCCTCAGCCACTACCCGGTGTCTCCCGCCTTCCGTCTGGAGTGCCTCGTGTTCCCCACCTTCCTCAGGCACTGCCTGGTGTCCCCCACCTTCCCCCTGGAATGCCTGGTGTCCCTGCCATCCCCCTGGAGTGCCCGGTGTCCCCTTCCTTCCCTGGGCACTGCCTGGTGTCCCCCACCTTCCCTCTGGAGTGCCCGGTGTCCCTGCCTTCCCTGGGCACTGCCCGGTGTCCCCCACCTTCCCTCTGGAGTGCCCGGTGTCCCCCAGCCTGCCCGGTGTCCCCTGCCTTCCCCTGGGCGCCCGGTGTCCCCCTGCCTGTGTCCCTGCCTGCCCGGTGTCCCCAGCCTGCCCGGTGTCCCCTGCCTTCCCTCTGGAGTGCCCAGTGTCCCCCGCCTTCCCCTCGGGACTGCCCGGTGTCCCCCGCCTTCCCCAGCCCTGCCTGGTGTCCCCCCGCCTTCCCTCTGGAGTGCCCGGTGTCCCCCCGCCTGTCCAGTGTCCCCTGCCTTCCCTCTGGAGTGCCCGGTGTCCCCTGCCTTCCCGTGTACCCTGCCTGGTGTCCCTGCCCACCTGTCGGTGTCCCCCACCTTCCTCAAGCACTACCTGGTGTCCCCTTCCTTCCCTGGGCACTGCCTGGTGTCCCCCACCTTCCCTCTGGAGTGCCCGGTGTCCCCCAGCCTGCCCGGTGTCCTCTGCCTTCCTCCGAACTTGCCTTGTGTCCCCTGCCTTCCCCCCGCCTGCCCGGTGTCCCCCACCTTCCCCCTGTGGTGATCCTGGTGGTGATCCCGGTGTTGGTCCCAGTGTTGTTCCCGGTGGTGATCCCTGTCATGATCCTGGTGTTGGTCCCAGTGGTGATCCCAGTGGTGATCCTGGTGTTGGTCCCAGTGGTGATCCCAGTGGTGACCCAGTGTTGGTCCCAGTGTTGGTCCCGGTGTTGGTCCCAAGCAAATGTTTGGGTTTAAAGTGATTCTGGTTTGGCCATTGGGGTTTGGTCCTTTGGGTTTGGGGTTTTACCCTTTGGGTTTAGGATTTGGCCATTGGAGTTTGGCCCTTTGGGTTTGGGGTTTGGCCATTGGGGTTTTATCCATTGGGATTTTGTTCACTGGGGTTTTGTCCATATGGGTTTTATCCAGTGGGGTTTTATCCATTGGGGTTTGATGTTCCCAAAAAGAGCTGGGAAATAGGGCTGGGGCTCCTTGGGAATTTGGAGTGGTTCCTTGGGATTTAGGGCAGTTCCTCAGGGGATTGGGGCAGTTCCTTGGGAATTTGGGGCAGTTCCTCGGGAATTTGGGGCAGTTCTTCGGGAGTTTGGGGCAGTTCCTTGGGATTTTAGGCTGGTTCCTTGGGAATTTGGGGCGGTTCTTTGGGATTTTAGGGCAGTTCCTCAGGAGTTTGGGGCAGTTTCTCCGGAATTTGAGGCAGTTCCCTGGGAATTTGGGGCAGTTCCTCCAAAATCTGGAGCTGTTCCTCGGGATTTTAGGGCAGTTCCTCGGGACTTTGGGACAGTTCCTTGGGGGTTTGGGGTGGTTCCTGGGGACTTTAGGGCAGTTCCTCAGGAATTTGGGGCAGTTCCTCAGAACTTTAGGGCATTCCCTCGGGACTTTGGGGCAGTTCCTCGGTGATTTGGGACGCTCCCTCGGGTTTTTTCACAGCCCCTCGGGACTTTGGGATGGTCCCTCGGTAATTTGGGGTGGTCCCTCAGGACTTTAGGGGCGGTCCCTCGGGACTTTAGGACTGTTCCTCGCGACTTCGGGATGGTCCCTCAGGAATCTGGGACGGCCCCTCGGGACTTTGAGGTGGTTCTTTGGGACTTTGGGGCGGTTCTTTTGGACTTTGGGGCAGTTCCTCGGGATTTTGGGACGCTCCCCCGGTACTTTGGGACGCTCCCTCGGTACTTTGGGGCGCTCCTTCGGGACTTTAGGGCAGTTCCTCGGGATTTCTGGGGCACTCCCTCGTGATTTTGGGACACTCCTCCGATACTTTGGGGCGCTCCCTCGGTAATTTGGGGCGCTCCCCCGGGACTTTGGGGCAGTTCCTCGGGACTTTGGGGCGCTCCCCCGGTACTCAGGGGCTGTCCCCCGGTAGTCTGGGGCTGTCCCCCGGGATTTTGGGACGCTCCCCCGGTGGTCCGGGTCTGTCCCCCGGGCGTGCCGGAGCTGACGCCGCCCGTGCCGGTGCAGGAGGAGGATTTCCTGCGGCCGAGCAGCCGGGAGGAGGCGCAGCGGCTGCTGCAGGCGGAGCGGCTCAAGGTGGAGCGGGTGATGGAGCGGCAGCAGCGGGAGATGCTGGAGGACGATCGGTGGCTGCGGCAGGAGGTGGAGAGCCTGGTGAGAGAGAGGGGGAGACAGCCCGGGAATGCGGGAATGTGGGAATGCGGGAATGGGGGAATGCGGGAATGCGGGAATCTGGGAATGCGGGAATGGGGAATGCAGGAATGGGGGCCTTGGAGATCGGCCCGTTCTGTCCCGGAGACCTCCCCTGTCCCAGGGGATCCAACCCGGCCTGGGACACTGCAGGGATCCAGGGGCAGCCACAGCTTCCCTGGGAATTCCAGCCCAGCCGGGAATCCCTTCCCAATCTCCCACCCCAATCTCCCCTTTCCCAGTGGGAAGCCATTCCCTGTGTCCTGCCATTCCAGGCCCTGAGCCCAAATCCCTCTCCAGCTCTCCTGGAGCCCCTGCAGGCTCTGGAAGGGGCTCCCAGCTCTCCCTGGATCCTTCCCTGCTCCAGCCTGGCCATTCCCAGCTCTCCCAGCCTGGATCCAGAGCCTGACATTGGATCCATCCCCAGCCCAACTCCTCTCTGGGAAGGAGTTTTAAGGAACTTTTTAAGCCCTTTTGGAATTATCTGATACAAAGCAAAGTTTGGCTCCCTCTGGATCCCTGGGAATGAAGCCCCTTCCCCTCCCACCTTCCCAGACCCTGCTGGAATCCCCTCCTGTCCTGTGTTCCAGGTGTATCCCAAAAATAAGGAAAATCCCCTTTTTCCTCCCCTATTTTTCTCCCCCTTTTCCTCCCTTTTTTCTCCCCCTTTCTCCCTCCTTGCCCCCCTTTTTTCCCATCTTCCCCCCTTTTTTTCTCCTGTTTTTTTCCTCCTCTTTTTTCCCCTCCTATTTTTCTTTTCACTCTCTTTCTCCCCTTTTTTCCACTTTCTCCCTTTTTTTTTCCCTTTCCCACCATTTTTTCCCTTCTTTTTTTGGCCCCTATTTTATCCCCCTTTTTATTACCTTTTTTAATCCCCTTTTTTTCTCCCCTTTTTTCTCCCCTTTCCCCTCCATTTTTTCCTCCTTTCCCCTCCTTTCTTATCTCCCCTTTTTTCCTCCCCTTTTTATTTTCCCCTTTTTTCCCCTCTTCCCCTCTTTTTCCCCTTTCCCCCCTTTTCCCCTTTTTTCCCATTTTTCACCTCTCCCCCCTTTGTTTTCCCATTTTCCCCCTTTCCATCCTTTTCCCCCTATTTTTCCCCCTTTCTCCCCTTTTTCCCCTCTTTTCTCCTCTCTTTTTCCTCCTTCCACCCCTTTTTCCTTCTTTTTTTCCTCCTTTCCCCTTTTCTCCTCTTTCACCCCTTTTCTCCCCTTTTTCTCCCCTTTTTGTCTCCCCTTTTGTCTCCCTTTTTTTCTCCCCTTTTTCTCCTCTTTTCCCTCCTTCCCCCCTTTTCCTTTCCCCCTTTTCCCCTTTTCCTCCTTTTCCCCCTTGTTCCCCTTTTCCCCTCTTTCCCCCTCCTTCTCTCCTATTTCCCCTTTTTTCCCCTCTTTGTTTTTCTTTTTCCCCTTTCCCACACCTTTTTCCTTCTTTTTTTTTCTCCTTTCCCCTCCTTTTCTCCTTTTCCCCCTCTTTTATCTCCTTTTTCTCCCTTTTTTCTCCTTTTTTTATCTCCTTTTTCTCCCCTTTTTCTCCCCTTTTTATCTCCCTTTTTTCCTCCCCCTTTTTCCCGTTTTTCCCCCTTTTCCCCCTATTTTTCCCTTTTTTTCCCCACCCCCTTTTCCTTCTTTCTTTCCTCCTTTTCCCCCTTTTTTTCCTCCTTTTCCCCCTTTTTTCCCTTCCCCCTTTCCCCCCCTTTTCCCCGCCTTTTTCCCCCCTTTTCCCCCCCTTTCCCCCTCCTTTTTCCCCCCTTTTCCCGGGTCTCTCACCGAGTTTCTGCCCTCGCAGGACCCCACGGTGTTCATGAACAACAACAACCTCCCCCCGGTGAGTGATCCCAGCCCCGGCCAAATCCCGGCATGGGGAGATGATGGGAATTGGACTCCGCCCCTTTTTTTTGGGATCTCCTTCCCCTTCCCTCGCCCGGGGAGGGGTCGAACATTTCCCCATTTCCCCCTCACTTTGGGGAAAAAAAACACCTGAAAATGAAAATCCTGGGAAATGCTGGGGGACGTTGGGGGGGGTTGGAGCCTCCCAGGAAGTTCCAGGAGGGATTGGCGATGCCTCTTCCCTCTTTTCCCGCCCCCAGCCAGGATTTGGTGCCTCTAATTCCCTATTTTTCCCCCCAATCCGCAGCTGCTCCCGGAGAAGGAGACGGATTACAGTGAGTTCCCGGGGTTTTCCAGGGATCCCCCCTGGATCCCCCCACTCTGGGGCCGGGAGGAGCCTCGGGAATGGGATTTGGGATCCTCCCGGCTTTGGAGCATCCCGGGAAAGGGGATCCCGGGGGGAAGGCGGGACGGCTGGGATGGGACAGGGACACGCTGCTCCGGGAGGGGGGGGGATGGAATTCCAGGGGGTCCCGCAGCATTCCAAGGGCTCCCACAGCATTCCCAGGGCTCCTGCAGTGGTCCCAGGGGTCCCAGGGGTCCCACAGCATTCCAAGGGGTTCTGAGCATTCCCAGAGGTCCCGCAGCATTCCCAGGGGTTCTGCAGCATTCCCAGGGGTCCCTGCAGCATTCCAAGGGGTCCTTCAGCATTCCCAGGGGTTCTGCAGCATTCCAAGGGGTCCTTCAGCATTCCCAGGGCTCCTGCAGCATTCCCAGGGGTTCTGCAGCATTCCAAGGGGTCCTTCAGCATTCCCAGGGCTCCTGCAGCATTCCCAGGGGTTCTGCAGCATTCCCAAGGATCCTGCAGCGTTCCCAAGGATCCTTCAGCATTCCCAGCGGTCCCGCAGCATTCCCAGGGGTTCTGCGGCATTCCAAGGGTTCCTGCAGCATTCCCAGGGGTCCCGCAGCATTCCCAGGGGTCCCGCAGCATTCCAAGGGGTCCTGCAGCGTTCCCCAGGATTCTGCAGCGTTCCCAGCGGTCCTGCAACATTCCCAGGGGTCCCAGGTGTCCTGCAGAATTCCCAAGGGTCCCACATCATTCCCAAGGATCTTGTAGCATTCCCAGGGCTCCTGCAACATTCCCAGGAGTCCCAGGGCTCTTGCAGCATTCCCAGGGGTCCTGCAGCATTCCCAGGGGTTCTGCAGCATTCCCAGAGGTCCTGCAGCATTCCCACAGGTCCCAAGGGTCCTTCAGAATTCCCACAGGTCCTACAGCATTCCCTGGTGTCCCGCGGCATTCCCAGAGGTCCCACAGCATTCCCAGGGGTCCCGCAGCATTCCCAGGGGTCCCGCAGCATTCCCAGGGTTCTGTGGGAGCCGCTGGACTGACTGTCCTTCCTTCCTTCCTTCCTTCCTTCCTTCCCTCCCTCCCCTCCCTGCGGATCCAGCGCAGTTCACGGGACCCCCCCAGAAGCCTCCGAGACTCGGGGCACAGGTGAGACCCCCCTGGATCGGGATTGGGACACCCTGATCCTCATCCTGATCCTCATCCTCATCCTGATCCTGCAGCCCAGCCCCTCTTCCCCCTGTGATCCCACTATTCCCTGTGCATCCCTGTGATCCTGCTGTTCATGCTCCTGTTCCCATTGTGATCCCGCTGTTCCCCCTGTGATCCCGCTGTTCCCCCTGTGATCCCGCTGGTTCCCCTGTGATCCCGCTGGTTCCCCCTGTGATCCCACTGTTCCCCCGGTAATTCCACTGTTCCCTGTGCATCCCTGTGATCCCGCTGTTCACGCTGTTCCCTGTTCCCATTCGCAGCCTGGATCACATCCGGACTGTGGGGATGACGCCGTGTACGGCCACGTGACGGGGCTGGTTCCCTGTTCCCTGTTCCCTCTGTGATCCCGCTGTTCCCTGTTCCCATTCCCAGCCTGGATCACCCCCGGATCGGGGGGATGACGCCGTGTACGGCCACGTGACGGGGCTGGTTCCCTGTTCCCTGTTCCCATTTTAATCCAGCTGTTCCCTGTTCCCTGTTCCCATTTTAATCCATCTGTTCCCTGTTCCCATTCCCAGCCTGGATCACCCCCGGATCGGGGGGATGACGCCGTGTACGGCCACGTGACGGGGCTGGTTCCCTGTTCCCTGTTCCCATTTTAATCCATCTGTTCCCATTCCCAGCCTGGATCACCCCCGGATCGGGGGGATGACGCCGTGTACGGCCACGTGACGGGGCTGGTTCCGTGTTCCCTATTCCCATTTTAATCCCGCTGTTCCCTGTTCCCATTTTAATCCCGCTGTTCCCATTCCCGCAGGTAGCACCCCTGGATCGGGGGGATGACGCCGTGTACGGCCACGTGACGGGGCTGGTGCGGGCGGTGCTGCAGCTCAAGAACGACGTCAGCCTCCTGCCCCCCCAGGAGTACATCCTGGCCGTCAAGGTGGGATGGAATTCCACGGCACACCGCGCCGGGAAGCGGGAATGAGCCTTCCTGGGGAGCGGGGGGGGCTCGTGGGTACAGGAGGGAGCATTCCCAGCTCCTCCCTTGGATCCTGGGGTCAGTGGTGGGAGAGGTTTCAACATTCCCAGCTCTTCCATTGGATGCTGGGGTCAATGGTGGGAGAGATTCCGACATTCCCAGCTCCTCCCTTGGATCCTGGGGTCAATGGTGGGAGAGATTCCAACATTCCCAGCTCCTCCATTGGATCCTGGGGTCAATGGTGGGAACAATTCCAGCATTCCCAGCTCCTCCATTGGATCCTGGGGTCAATGCTGGGAGAGTTCCCGACATTCCCATCTCCTCCATTGGATCCTGGGGTCTATGGTGGGAGAGATTCCAGCATTCCCAGCTCCTCCATTGGATCCTGGGGTCAATGGTGGGAACAATTCCAGCATTCCCAGCATTCCAGCTCCTCCTTTGGGTCAATGGTGGGAGAGATTCCAACATTCCCAGCTCCTCCTTTGGGTCAGTGGTGGGAGAGATTCCAACATTCCCAGCTCCTCCATTGTATCCTGGGGTCAATGCTGGGACCGATTCCAACATTCCCAGCTCCTCCATTGGGTCAATGGTGGGAGAGATTCCAACATTCCCAGCTCCTCCCTTGGGTCCTGGGGTCAATGGTGGGAACGATTCCAGCATTCCCAGCTCCTCAGTTGGGATCAATGATAGGAAAGATTCCAACATTCCCAACTCCTCCTTTGGATCCTGGGGTCAATGGTGGGAGAGATTCCAACATTCCCAGCTCCTCCTTTGGGTCAATGCTGGGAGAGATTCCAACATTCCCAGCTCCTCCGTTGGATCCTGGGGTCAATGGTGGGAACAATTCCAACATTCCCAGCTCCTCTGTTGGGTCCTGGGGTCAATGGTGGGAACAATTCCAACATTCCCAGCTCCTCCTTTGGGTCCTGGGGTCAACGAGGCTCTCCCACCACCCCCCCATCCCCCTTTCCCAGTGGGATCCCTTCCTGAGGGACACGAACCATTCCCACACCCTGCCCCGGGGCTGACTCCCTGGGATCCCTCCCGCCTCTGGATCCATGCCAGCCCCGAATCCACGGTCTCCCTCCCGCAGAACGTGGGCCTGGCCCTGCGGAAGCTCATCGGGAGCGTCGATGAGATCCTGCCCGCCCTGCCCGCTGCCTCCCGCACTGAGGTAGGGACGGCCCCAGCCGGGATCCTGCGACATTCCCAGGGATCCCACAGGTCCTGCAGCATTCCCAGGGTCCCGCAGCATTCCCAGGGATCCTGCAGCATTCCCAGGGATCCTGCAGCATTCCCAGGGATCCTGCAGCATTCCCAGGCGTCTTGCAGCATTCCCAGGGCTCTTGCACCATTCCCAGGTGTTCCAGGCCTCCCTCAGCATTCCCAGGGCTCCTGCAGTGTTCCCAGGTGTCTCACAGGTCCTGCAGCATTCCCAGGGATCCTGCACCATTCCCAGGGATCCTGCAGCATTCCCAGGGTCCCGCAGCATTCCCAGGGATCCTGCACCATTCCCAGGGCTCCCGCACCATTCCCAGGGCTCCTTCAACATTCCCAGGGCTCCTTCAGCATTCCCAGGTCTCATGCAGCGTTCCCAGGTGTCCCACAGGTCCCACAGCATTCCCAAGGGTCCCACAGCATTCCCAGGGCTCCTGCAGCATTCCCAGTGCTCCTGCAGCATTCCCAGGGATCCTGCACCATTCCCAGGTGTTCCAGGGCTCACTCAGCATTCCCAGGGCTCCCACAGCATTCCCAGGGATCCTGCACCATTCCCAGGGCTCCCACAGCATTCCCAGGGCTCCCACAGCATTCCCAGGTGCTCCTGCACCATTCCCAGGGAGCCTGCACCATTCTCCAGAGTTCCCACAGCATTCCCAGAGCTTTCACAGCATTCCCAGGACTCCTGCACCATTCCCAGGTGTCCCACAGGTCCCACAGCATTCCCAAGGGTCCCACAGCATTCCCAGGGCTCCCACAGCATTCCCAGGGCTCCTGCACCATTTCCAGGTATCCCATAGGTCTTGCAGCATTCCCAAGGGTCCCGCAGCCTTCCCAGGGGTCCTGCAGCATTCCCAGGTTTTCCAGGGCTCCCTCAGCATTCCCAGGGCTCCCTCAGCATTTCCAGGGCTCCCTCAGCATTCCCAGGGCTCCTTCAGCTGCTCCTGCAGCATTTCCAGGGCTCCTTCAGCATTCCCAGGGCTCCCTCAGCATTCCCAGGGCTCCCTCAGCATTCCCAGGGCTCCCTCAGCATTTCCAGGGCTCCCTCAGCATTCCCAGGGCTCCCTCAGCATTTCCAGGGCTCCTTCAGCATTTCCAGGGCTCCCTCAGCATTCCCAGGGCTCCTGCAACGTTCCCAGGTGTCTCACAAGTCCCGCAGCATTCCCAGGGCTCCTTCAGCATTCCCAGTGCTCCTACAGCATTTCCAGGGCTCCTGCAGCATTCCCAGGACTCCTGCACCATTCCCAGGGAGCCTGCACCATTCTCCAGAGTTCCTGCAGCATTCCCAGGTGTCCCGGGTGTCCTGCAGTGTTCCCAGGGCTCCCGCAGCATTCCTGGGGGTCCTGCAGCATTCCCAGGTGCTCCAGGGCTTCTTCAGCATTCCCAGGGCTCCTTCAGCATTCCCAGGTGTCCCACAGGTCCCGCAGCATTCCCAAGGGTCCCGCAGCCTTCCCAGGGGTCCTGCAGCATTCCCAGGTGTTCCAGGGCTCCCTCAGCATTCCCAGGTCTCCTGCAGCATTCCCAGGTGTTCCAGGGCTCCCTCAGCATTCCCAGGGCTTCTTCAGCATTCTCAGGGCTTCTTCGGCATTCTCAGAGCTCCTTCAGCATTCCCAGGGCTCCTGAAGCATTCTCAGAGCTCCTTCAGCATTCCCAGGGCTCCTTCAGCATTCCCAGGTGTCCCACAGGTCCCGCAGCATTCCCAGGGCTCCTGCAGCATTCCCAGGGAGCGTGCACCATTCTCCAGAGTTCCCGCAGCATTCCCAGGGCTTCTTCACCATTCCCAGGGCTCCTGCAGCATTCCCAGGTGTCCCAGGGCTCCTGCAGCATTCCCAGGTGTCCCAGGTGTCCTGCAGTGTTCCCAGGGCTCCTGCAGCATTCCCAGGGTTCCAGGGGTCCTGCAGCATTCTCGGGGTCCTTCAGCATTCCCAGAGGCCCTTCAGCATTCCCCTCCTACCTTTGGGAAGCGCCAAACCGAGCCCCTTTTCCACGCCGAAATTCCTGCCGGGAATTCCAACCCCCCGGGGGGAAGCCCAATCCCCTCAAACCCCCGGAGTGCTCCCGCCCTCACCTCCCTTCCTTCCCTCTGCTTCCCAATCCCCCCCCCACTTCCCAAACCCCCGGCTCGGGGTTTGGATCCACAGCCAAAAACCTCGGGGTTTGGACCCGCGGCCATCCCGTGTTTTTTCCTCTCCCCTTCCCCCCCTCTCTCGGGGTTTGGATCCGCGGCCATCCCGTGGTTTTTCCCCCGTGTTTTTTCCCCTCCCCTTCCCCGCCCTCTCTCGGGGTTTGGATTCGCGGCCATCCCGTGGTTTTTCCTTCCCCTTCCCCCTCGCTCGGGGTTTGGATCCGCGGTTTTTTCCCCCGTGTTTTTTCCTTCCCCTTCCCCCTCACTCCGGATTTGGATCCGCGGCCATCCTGTGATTTTTTTCCCCCGTGTTTTTTCCCTCCCCTTCCCCCCCTCACTCGGGGTTTGGATCCACGGCCAAAAACCTCGGGGTTTGGACCCGCGGCCATCCCGTGTTTTTTCCCCCGTGTTTTTCCCTTCCCTTCCCCCCCTCGCTCGGGGTTTGGACCCGCGGCCATCCCGTGTTTTTTCCCCTGTGTTTTTCCCTCCCCTTCCCCCTCGCTCGGGGTTTGGATCCTCGGCCATCCCATTTTTCCCTTTTGTTTTTTCCCTCCCCTTCCCCCTCGCTCGGGGTTTGGATCTGTGACCATCCCGTGGTTTTTTCCCCCGTGTTTTTTCCCTCCCCTTCCCCCTCGCTCGGGGTTTGGATCTGCGGTTTTTTCCCCCGTGTTTTTTCCCTCCCCTTCCCCCTCTCTCGGGGTTTGGATCCACGGCCATCCCGTTTTTCCCTTTTGTTTTTTCCCTCCCCTTCCCCCTCGCTCGGAGTTTGGACCCGTGGTTTTTTCCCCGTGTTTTTTCCCTCCCCTTCCCTCTCTCTCGGGGTTTGGATCCGCGGTTTTTCCCCCCGTGTTTTTTCCCTCCCCCTCCCCCTCACTCGGGGTTTGGATCCGCAGCCATCCCGTGTTTTTTCCCGTGTTTCCTCTCCCCTCTCTCGGTGTTTGGACCCTGGCCATCCGTTTTTTCCCCGGTTTCCCTTCCTCGCTCGGGGTTTGGATCCGCAGCCATCCCCGTGTTTTTCCCTTCCCCCTCTCTCGGTGTTTGGACCCGCAGCCACCCCGTGTTTTTTCCCCGCGTGTTTTTTCCCTCCCCTTCCCCCCCTCTCTCAGGGTTTGGACCCGCGGCCACGCCGTGTTTTTTCCCCGCGTGTTTTCCCCCGCAGATCGAGGGCACGCAGCGGCTGCTGAACAAGGACCTGGCGGCGCTGATCGCCAAGATGCGGCTGGCGCAGCAGAACGCGCACACCTCGCTGGGCCCCGAGTGCCGCCGCCAGCTCCTCGCCGCCTCCCACGCGCTGGCCGTGGACGCCAAGAACCTGCTGGACGCCGTGGACCAGGCCCGGCTCCACGCGCGGCCGTGCCCGGAGTGAGGGGCGGGAGGAGCCGCCGCAAAATCGGCTTTTTTTTTTTTTTTTTTTCGCGCGTGTCCGTGTCCGTCCCCTCCCTCTCTCCCTCCCTCCCTCCCCGCGCTCCGCTCGTGTCTTTTTTGGCGTGGTCTCGTCGCGCTCTTCGCAAGGAAGGGGGGGGCACGCGGTGGTTTTATCCCTGGAAAAGGCTTTGGGGGGGATCAGGGAAAGGAAAGGGATGGAGCTGGAGATCCCTGGGATCCGCCCCTCTGGGTGTGTCCGGCGGAGCCACCCTCACCCCACCCACCCACCCACCCACCCTGCGAGGACGGGGCGGCCGCGGGCGGCGCGTCGGGAACGGGACTGGGACCGGGATTGGGACCGGGATTGGGAACGGAACGGTGCTGGGAGCACGGGGAGTGGGATGCGGGGGAGCTGGAATCCCAGGAAGGGGGGTGGGACACACCGGGGGATCCTGGACCGTGCTGGAATCCCGGGATGAGGGGTGGGACACAGGGGATGGAATCCTGGACCGTGCTGGAATCCCGAGAAGGGGATCCTGGATGGCACTGGAATCCCGGGAAGGGTGTGGGACACACAGAGAGGGGGATCCTGGATGGCTCTGGAATCCCGGGACGGGAATCCTGGATGGCGCTGGAATCCCGGGAAGGGGGTGGGACACAAAGAGAGGACGGGGATCCTGGACCCTGGCGCTGGAATCCCGGGATGAGGGGTGGGACACACGAGGGACAGGGATCCTGGACCGTGCCGGAATCCCGGGAAGGGGATCCTGGATGGCACTGGAATCCCGGGAAGGGGGTGGGACACACGGAGAGGGGGATCCTGGATGGCGCTGGAATCCCGGGAAGGGTGTGGGACACACGGAGAGGGGGATCCTGGATGGCGCTGGAATCCCGGGAAGGGGGTGGGACACACGGAGAGGGGGATCCTGGATGGCGCTGGAATCCCGGGAAGGGGGGGATGGCAGAGGGGCTGTTGTTGCACATTGTACAGAAGAGTTTATTTAATAATGACGCGAAGCGGAGCCCGGGCCGCGCTTCCAGAGCGCTCCCGGCCCCAGATCCCGGTGGATCTGGACACGGAGCGGGAGGACGGTGCCTCCTCCAGCTGGAATTTCGCTCGGTACAAGCGGCGCCGGCAAAAGCCGAGGCTCGGTCGGGTTTTGTGCTTCCAGCTGGGAATTCTTGGCTTTTCCCCAGCAAATTCCCCACCGCGCTGTTCTTCCCACATAAACCCTGAGCAAATCCCGCCTGCGCCTGTCCCTGCCTGTCACCCCCCGGACAATCCATCGGCCACCGGAGCCGGGAAGGGGCTGGAGAACCGGGAATGGCTGAGGGAGCCGGGAAGGGGCTGGAGCAGCGGGAATGGCTGAGGGAGCCGGGAAGGGGCTGGAGAACCGGGAATGACTGAAGGGAGCTGGAGGGGGGGGGGCCTCATCCCAGAGAAAAGGGGGATCAGAAGGGACCTTTTCCCGCCCCACAATTCCCTGCCAGGAGGGGGGAGCCGGGGGGGTGTCCCCAATTCCCAGGGAACAGGGCCAGGAGGAGAGGGAACGGCCTCCAGCTGGGCCAGGGCAGGGGCAGGTGGGATATCGGGAACAATTCCCACCTGGAAATGGTGGTTAAACACTGGAATGAACCTCCCAGGGCAGGGCTGGATTCCCCATCCCTGCAGGGATTCCCAATCCCTGGGGATGTGGCCGCTGGGGACACAGGGCAGGCAGCGCTGGGTCGGACTCGACGCTCTCCAAAGGCTTTTCCAGCCGGAACGATTCCCCAGCTCCCCGATCCCACCCGCCGGGCAGTGCGCTTCCCAAAATCCCTCCAACCCCACTCCCGGCCGCTCCCCGCAAGGAAAACGCGGCGGGGAGGAATTCCCCGAGTCTCCCGGGGCCTGGAAAAGCGGGAGCAGGGAGGGGAAGGTGGGATTGCACAGCGGGATTGCGGCGGGAAACGGAGCCGGGAGGGCTGGGATTTGGGAAGGGGGCGCGGGAAGAGGGGGATTTGGGACGGGGAGGAGAGAGGATTTGGGAAGGAGGAGAGAGGGGATTTGGAAGGAGGAGAGACGATTGGGAAGGAGCGAGGAGAGAGGGATTTGGGAAGGGGGTGCGGGGAGAGGGGGATTTGGGAAGGGGAGGGAGAGAGGGATTTGGGAAGGGGGCGCGAGGAGAGGGGGATTTGCTTGGGATGGACCTCGAAAGGGCAGGTTCTCCCCGAGCTCCCGGGTCCGTGGGCACCTCCTGGGTGGGTTTTTCATCCCAAACCCTTCCCACTTTTCCAGGCCAGCCCTTCCCATCTCCCCCCGGAGCTCGAGTGTGGGACGGGGATGGATCCCTGAGCTCCCGGGTCCGTGGGCACCCCCTGGGTGGGTTTTTCCCTCCCAAACCCTCCCACTTTTCCAGGCCAGCCCTTCCCATCTCCCCCCGCCCCGGGAGCTCCAGAGTGGGATGGGCTGGAACAAACCCCCGGCTCCGGTGGGTTGTGGGGACCCCACGCCGAGCCACGAGGGTGGGCCGGGATCTCCCGGGATCGCGGGGATCGCGGGATCGCTGCCAGGACCCTCCCGCGCTGCCCCTCCCTGGCCGTGCCACCCCCTCCGGGGCTCCCCGCGGTGTCCCCCACCCCTCCTCCGCCCTCCCCCCGGAGTCTCCGTCCCCGCCGGGTTCCCGCCGTTCCCGGGGCGTTCCCGAGGGCTCCCTTAGATCATTCCCGCCAGGTAGGGCGGCAGGAAGAGCCCCGCGGTGCCCAGCAGGCAGACGATGATGAACATCCAGAGGAAGATGCGGTCGATCACCATGGCCACGTATTTCCAGTCCTCCTTCACCTGCCGGGGGCAACGCGGGGGAGGGAGGGCTCAACCCGGGGGATGGGATCCATCCCACCGTTCCCTCGCCCTTCCCGAGGATTCCTGGGCATCGGGAGACCACCCCGGGGCTTCCCAAGTGTGGAGTTATCCCGTGTCTTAGGAAATTCTTGGAATGTCAGGGCTTGGGGCTGTGGGGGTGGGAGGAGGATCCTTCCCTCTGTCTGTGAGGATTCCTTGGGATTGGGAGACCACTCGGAGCTTTCAGGGCAAGGAGAGCCCCCCCCCTGGCTTGGGAAACCCCTGGAATGTCGGGGCTTGGAGGTGAGTGTGGGATCCCAGCACCGATCCCTCGGGGAGGATCCAGGGAATCAGCCGTGGATCCCAGCACTGATCCCTCGGGGAGGTTCCAGGGATCCCAACACTGATCCCTCAGGGATGATTCCAGGGATCCCAACACTGATCCCTCAGGGAGATTCCAGGGATCCCAGCACTGATCCCTCAGGGAGATTCCAGGGATCCCAGCACTGATCCCTCAGGGAGATTCCAGGGATCCCAGCACTGATCCCTCAGGGAGATTCCAGGGATCCCAACACTGATCCCTCAGGGATGTTCCAGGGATCCCAACACTGATCCCTCAGGGAGATTCCAGGGATCCCAGCACTGATCCCTCAGGGATGTTCCGGAGAAACAACCACGGATCCCACTATGGATCGCTCAGGGAGATTCCAGGCATCCCACCAAGGATCCCTCCTGGAGTTGGGGAGCAGAACCCAGGGGCGGGGTCCCCCAGCCCCCATTCCAGGGGTCCCCACTCCCGGAGCAGTCCCCACCCACGGAGCAGTCCCCACTCCTGGAGTAGTCCCCACTCCCGGAGCAGTCCCCACTCCCAAGGAAGTCTCCACTAACTCCTGGAGCAGTCCCCACACACGAAGTCCCCACTCTCAGAGGTCCTCCCCGTGGAGCAGTCCTCACCCGTGTAGCAGTCCCCACCCGTGTAGTAGTCCCCACTCCTGGATCACTCCCACTCCCGGAGCAGTCCCCACCCGTGGAGCAGTCCCCACTCACTCCCGGAGCAGTCTCCACTTCCAAAGCAGTCCCCACTCGTGGAACAGTCCCCACCCACGGAGCAGTCCCCACTCCCGGAGCAGTCCCCACTCCCAGAGCAGTCCCCACTCGTGGAGCAGTCCCCACCCCCAGAGCAGTCCCCACTCCCAGAGCAGTCCCCACCCGTGGAGCAGTCACCACTCACTCCCAGAGCAGTCCCCACTCCCAGAGCAGTCCCCACTTCCGAAGCAGTCCCCACTCGTGGAGCAGTCCCCACCCACGGAGCAGTCCCCACCCACGGAGCAGTCCCCACTCGTGGAGCAGTCCCCACCCACGGAGCAGTCCCCACTCGTGTAGCAGTCCCCACTCACTCCCAGAGCAGTCCCCACCCGTGTAGCAGTCCCCACTCCCAGAGCAGTCCCCACTCGTGGAGCAGTCCCCACCCACGAAGCAGTCCCCACCCACTGATCACTCCCCACCCACGGAGCAGTCCCCACTCACTCCCAGAGCAGTCCCCACTCCTGGAGCAGTCCCCACCCACAGAGCAGTCCCCACTCACTCCCAGAGCAGCCCCCGCTGCCAGAGCAGTCCCCACTCCTGGAGCAGTCCCCACTCACTCACAGAGCAGCCCCCACCCGTGTAGCAGTCCCCACTCCCAGAGCAGTCCTCAATCGTGGCACAGTCCCCACCCACGAAGCAGTCCCCACCCACGGATCACTCCCCACCCACAGAGCAGTCCCCACTCCCAGAGCAGTCCCCACCCGTGTAGCAGTCCCCACGCGTGGAGCAGTCCCCACTCCTGGATCACTGCCCACCCACAGAGCAGTCCCCACTCCCAGAGCAGTCCTCACTCGTGGCACACTCCCCACCCACGGATCACTCCCCACCCACGGAGCAGTCCCCACCCACGGAGCAGTCCCCACTCACTCCCGGAGCAGTCCCCACCCACGGAGCAGTCCCCACTCACGAAGTCCCCCCGCGTGGATCACTCCGCCCCCCCCTCCACGCGTGTCTCAGCCCCCACTCACAGCTCCGTCGGCGTCCTCGGCCCGCAGATGGTCGGCGATGTACTGCACCCCCTCCAGCGCCCGCAGCATCGCGGGCGACAGCGCCGGGCCCCGCCCCGCCCCTTCCTCCTCCTCCTCCTCCTCCTCCTCCTCCTGCTGCTGCTGCCGCTTCTCCTCCTTCCCCCGCGGGGCGGAACCCCCCGAGGAGCCCTTCCCGCAGCGCGCGCGGGGCTCCATCACGGGTGGGGCGCGGCCGGGAAACGCCTTCTGGGGTGGGGAGACCCGGCCGGGAAACGCCTTTTGGGGTGGGGGGACCCGGCCGGGAAACGCCTTTTGGGGTGGGGAGAACCCGGCCGGGAAACGCCTTTTGGGGTGGGGGGACCCGGCCGGGAAACGCCTTCCCCTCCTCTCCTCCCTCCTCCTCCTCCTCGTCCTCATCCCACTTGTCATCCACGTCGGTCTCGAGCCAGCACCGGGAGGAGCTGAGCGGCTCTCGGGGCGGCGGTGCCAGCGGTGTTGGTGACGGTGACAGAGGTGACAGCGGTGACGGTGACAGAGGCGGCACCGGCGGTGGCCGCCCCATGCCCAGCCAGCGCGGCACGCGGCGCAGGAAGACGGCGCGCACCCAGCCCGGCATGGCGTGGGTGCCGGGCGAGCGGTGGTGCACGTTGAGCACGAAGACCGTGATGACGATGGAGAGCGTGACGAAGATCATGGTGAAGAGCAGGTACTCGCCGATGAGCGGGATGACGAGCGAGGTGGAGGGGATGATCTCGGTGATGAGCAGCAGGAAGACGGTGAGCGACAGCAGCACCGAGATGCACAGCGTGATCTTCTCGCCGCAGTCCGAGGGCAGGTAGAAGACGAGCACGGTGAGGCAGGAGATGAGCAGGCAGGGCACGATGAGGTTGATGGTGTAGAAGAGCGGCAGGCGGCGGATGACGAAGCAGAAGGTGATGTCGGGGTAGATCTCGGTGCAGCAGTCGTACTTCTTGGAGTTGTAGGTGCCCGTGGCGTCGATGATGGCCCACTCGCCGCTCTCCCAGTAGTCCTTGAGGTCCACCTGGTGGTCCATGTTCTCCAGGTCGATCTTGGCCTTGTCGTAGGTCCAGGAGCCGAACTTCATCTTGCAGTTCTGCTGGTCGAAGGGGAAGAAGGTGACGTCGATGCTGCAGGAGCTCTTGTAGATGGCGGGGGGCACCCACTGCACCCGCCCGTCCCAGAACAGGTGGGCCTTGGTCATGTGCGTCACCGCGAACTCCCCGTCGGCACTGCGGGGAAACAGGGACTGGGTTAGGGTACAGCTATTCCAACAGGGAATTCTGGAGATGGGATGGGATACAGGGATGGGATGGGATGGTGTCCCAGAACAGGTGGGCCTTGGTCATGTGCGTCACCGCGAACTCCCCGTCAGCACTGCGGGGACACAGGGATCAGGGGCATTCCAACAGGGAATGGGATGGGATACAGGGATGGGATGGGATGGGATGGGATGGGATGGGATGGGATGGGATGGGATGGGATGGGATGGGATGGGATGGATGGGATGGGATGGGATGGGATGGGATGGTGTCCCAGAACAGGTGGGCCTTGGTCATGTGCGTCACCACGAACTCCCCGTCGGCACTGCGGGGACATGGAATGGGTTAGGGTACAGCTATTCCAACAGGGAATTCTGGAGATGGGATGGGATGGGATGGGATGGGATGGATGGGATGGGATGGGATGGATGGGATGGTGTCCCAGAACAGGTGGGCCTTGGTCATGTGCGTCACCGCGAACTCCCCGTCGGCACTGCGGGGAAACAGGGATCAGGGGCATTCCAACAGGGAATGGGATGGGATGGGATGGGATGGGATACAGGGATGGGATGGGATGGATGGGATGGGATGGGATGGGATGGGATGGGATGGGATGGGATGGGATGGGATGGGATAGGATGGGATGGTGTCCCAGAACAGGTGGGCCTTGGTCATGTGCGTCACCGCGAACTCCCCGTCGGCACTGCGGGGAAACAGGGACTGGGTTAGGGTACAGCTATTCCAACAGGGAATTCTGGAGATGGGATGGGATGGGATGGGATACAGGGATGGGATGGGATGGGATGGGGTGGGATGGGATGGGATGGGATGGGATGGGATGGGATGGGATGGGATGGGATGGGATGGGATGGGGAGAGCTGCAGGGATGGGATGGGACAGGATGAGCTGCAGAGATAGGATGAGCTGCAGGGATGGGATGAGCTGCAGGGATGGACCAGGATGCAGGGCTGGGCCGGGATGCAGGGATGGGCTGGGATGATATGCAGGGATGGCCCGGGATGCAGGGCTGGGATTGTGGAGCTGCTGGAGCTGCTGGAGGGTCCTCACTTGTTGTAGAGGACGATGTCTGGGATCCAGATCATCTCCGAGGGCACCCGGATGGAGGTGACGTTGTCGAACTCGGCCGGGTCCCAGCGCAGTTTGTAATCGCTCCACTCCTGGGGGGGACACGCGTGGGGTGGGACGGGACGGGATGGGGCCGCCTCCCCCCTCCCCCCCGGCAGCATTCCCGCTGGGAACAGCTCATGGACACACCCCCGGCAGCATTCCAGCTGGGAACGGCTCATGGACACACCCCCGGCAGCATTCCCGCTGGGAACGGCACACCCCCCAGGCAGTATTCCCGCTGGGAACGGCTCATGGAGACATCCCCCAGGCAGCATTCCCGCTGGGAACGGCTCATGGACACACCCGCCAGGAAGCATTCCCGCTGGGAACGGCTCATGGACACACCCCCATCCCCCAGGCAGCATTCCCAATGGGAATGGCTCATGGACACACCCCCATCCCCCAGGCAGCATTCCCGCTGGGAACAGCTCATGGACACACCCCCATCCCCGCGGCAGCATTCCCACTGGGAACGGCTCATGGACACACCCCCCACACGGCAGCATTCCCGCTGGGAACGGCTCATGGACACCCCCCCCGGCAGCATTCCCGCTGGGAACGGCTCATGGACACACCCCCATCCCCCCCAGGCAGCATTCCCGCTGGGAAAGGCTCATGGACACACCCCCCAGCAGCATTCCCGCTGGGAACGGCTCCTGGACACACCCCCCAGGCAGCATTCCCGCTGGGAACGGCTCCTGGACACACCCCCCAGGCAGCATTCCCGCTGGGAACAGCACACCCCCCAGGCAGCATTCCCGCTGGGAACGGCTCATGGACACACCCCCATCCCCCCCAGGCAGCATTCCCGCTGGGAAAGGCTCATGGACACACCCCCATCCCCCCCGGCAGCATTCCCGCTGGGAACAGCACACCCCCCAGGCAGCATTCCCGCTGGGAACGGCTCCTGGAGACGCCCCGGGAAGGGTGTGGGTGTCTCCCAAAGCCGGCCCCTCCCCGTGCCGGGATTTGGGGTGCGGGGGGGGCTCCGCACCTGCTTCAGCCACACGTTCGTGGTCATCATCTGGTTCTTCTCGTCCTGCGTGGCGTGGGCAGAGAGGGGGGGAAGAGGGATGAGGGCTGGGGGCACATCCCGGGATTCCCGAGTCACGGTTTGGCGCTCCCCGCCGCGGGAATTCGGCTCCCGGAGCGGGGTTTTCCCGGGATTTGTGGTCAGCAGGTGGCGGCAGGGAATTGCTCTGGGCAGGGAACGGGGATGGAGGGAGGGAGGGAAAGAGGGAGGGAGGAAGGGAGGGATGAGGGAATAAGGGGACAGATGGAGCGGGGATAGCAGGGCAAGGGGATCGATGGATGGGGATAAATGGCTTGGAGCAACCTGGGATGGAGGGAGGTGTCCCTGAACATGGAATGGGATGGGCTTTGAGGTTTTCCCACCCAAACCAGTCTGGGATTCCAGGATAAAGGACACTCAGGATCCATTCAGAGGGGTTTTTATGGAATCAGAGGATGGCAAAGGGAGGAAGGGGGAAGGGAGACCCTTCCCTGAGTGCCGAGATTCCCAGGGAACCCCCCCTTGTTCCCGGAACTCCTTCCCAGAGAGGAGTTGGGCTGGGCATGGATCCAATGTCAGGCTCTGGATCCAGGCTAGGAGAGCTGGGAATGGCCAGGCTGGAGCAGGGAAGGATCCAGGGAGAGCTGGGAGCCCCTTCCAGAGCCTGCAGGGGCTCCAGGAGAGCTGGAGAGGGATTTGGGATCAGGGCCTGGAATGGCAGGACACAGGGAATGGCTTCCCACTGGGAAAGGGGAGATTGGGGTGGGAGATTGGGAAGGGATTCCCGGCTGGGCTGGAATTCCCAGGAAGCTGTGGCTGCCCCTGCATCCCTGGAGTGTCCCAGGATCCCCTGGGACAGCGGGAGGTGCCGGGATTGGCCCTGGGAGCTCTTCCCACCCCTTCCCGGGGCAGGCAGCATTCCCGGCGTTGGGAATTCCCGGCAGGCACTCACCACGTCGATGAGCTGTGCGATGGAGAGCCCGAAGCGCACGATCACCACGTCCGACGTGTTGGGCACGGGCCGCGACCAGCGGTTGTAGGCGGAGAAAAGGCGCTGGAACAGCCGCTCCTCCGCGTGGCTCCCGCGCGCCCCGCAGCCTGGAATTCCCGGGAATTACGGCCCGTCCCGGGAACGGCAGCCGGGATCCCGGGAATTACACCCTATCCCGGGGGGGAACGGCAGCCGGGATCTCGGGAATTACAGCCCAAACAGGGAGGGAACAACCACTGGGATTCTGGGAATTACACCCCATCCCGGAGGGGGAACGGCTCCCGGGATCCCGGGGATTAGAGCCCATCCCAGGGGGGGAACAGTAGCCTGAATCCCGGGAATTACAGCCCATCCCGGGTAGGAATAGCTGCCGGAATCCCAGGAATTACAGTCCAGACAGGGAGGGAACAACCGCTGGGATTCTGGGAATTACACCCCATCCCGGAGGGGGAACGGCTCCTGATCCCGGGGGATTAGAGCTCATCCCCAGGGGGGAACAGCAGCCTGAATCCCGGGAATTACAGCCCATCCCGGGGGGGAATAGCTGCCGGAATCCCAGGAATTACAGTCCAGACAGGGAGGGAACAACCGCTGGGATTCTGGGAATTACACCCCATCCCGGAGGGGGAACGGCTCCCGGGATCCCGGGGGTTACACCCCATCCCAGGGGGGAACAGCAGCTGGGATCCCGGGAATTACACCCTATCCCGGGGGGGAACAGCAGCCTGAATCCCGGGAATTACAGCCCATCCCGGGGGGGAACAGCAGCCTGAATCCCGGGAATTACAGCCCATCCCGGGGGGGAACAGCAGCCTGAATCCCTGGAATTACAGCCCATCCCGAGCAGGAACAGTAGTTGGGATTCTAGGAATTACACCCACCCGGGCGACTCATCCAAATCCCCCAGCCCCTGAGCTCCAGGTGGGAGATTCCCGCTGAAAAGGGTTTGATCCTGGGGATTTTTTCGGGGAAGGGACTGGGATGGGGAGGGGACTGGGATTTGGATTGTGATTTGGATTAGGATTGGTGTTGGGATTAGGATTAGGATTAGGATTATGATTGTTATTAGAATTAGGATTAATATTATAATTGGTGTTGGGATTATTATTTATATTAGGATTAGGATTGGGATTAGGATTAGGATTAGGATTAGGATTAGGATTAGGAGTAGGACTGGAATGTTAGGATTGGGATTGGGATTGGGATTAGGATTAGGATTAGGATTAGGATTAGGATTAGGATTAGGATTAGGATTAGGATTGGGATTAGGATTGGGATTAGGATTAGGATTAGGATTAGGATATGGATGGTAGGGGACTGGGATCTGGAGAGGACTGGAACTGGGGTAGGAATGGGATCCAGAGACGATTGGCATCCAGAGAGGATCTGGAGAGACTGGGATTGGCAGAGCGCTGGGATTGGGGTAGGATTGACAGAGAGTTGGGATTGGGATAGGATTGGGATGGCAGAGAGTTGGGATTGGGATAGGATTGGGATGGCAGAGGGTTGGGATTGGCAGAGGTTTGGGATCCTTGAAGGACTGGGTGGGGACAGGAATGGGATTGGGATGGGGACAGGAATGGGATTGGGATTGGGTCAATTGTGCCGAATGGGATTGGGATTGGGTCAATTGTGCCAATTGGGATTGGCTCTGCCCTGGAGTAGGACTGGGATGCGGCTCCAAGCACATCCCAAACAACCCCCCCGCTGTCAGGAGACCCCAGGAAGGACCCTGGGGATCGTGGGTTTAAATCCCAAATGAATTGGAATTCGAATTGGGGAATTCACCCCTGGGGGTGTGGGGAAGGGACAGCCGAGATTCCCGGCTCGTGGAATGCCGTGTGGTGGCGGCAGGTGGAAGCAAATTCCATGGGTTTTTCCACCACAATTCCAACATTCTGAGCTGGAATTCAGGATCCCAGAGGCGCATCCCTGTGGGAATGACCCCGAGCAGATCCCGAAGAGGGCGGGGGAGGGGAGGTGACCTGGAATTCCCAGCCTGGAATGGGGGTGAAAAGTGGGACACGGCCGGTTTTTCCCTGCTCGTTCCCCACTCCTTCCCTCCCCCTTCTCCCAAAGTCCCCCCTCTCCCGAATCCCGGGGGTGGATCCCGCGGGGAGCCGGGGCTGGGGAGGAGGGGTCTGGGATCCCGCCGGGAATTCCGGAGCCGTCCTTACCCGCCGGGAATGTGAGGAAGCACCACAGCAGGAGCGCGGCGGCGCCGCGGGAAAAACTCCCCGCGCTCGGCATTCCCGACGGATCCTTCCCCTGGAGCGGCCCGGGAATCCCTCCCGGGATAAAGCAGAGGGAGCCGCGGGCCGGGATGGGGGTGGAGAGGAGGCTCAGAAGGGAAAAAACTCCCCTTGGAATGCGGGCCGAGCTGTCCTGGAATGCGGCGGCCGCGGATGGGGCCGGGATGCGGCTGGATCGGGATGCGGTTGGATCGGGATGTGCCCGGATCGGGATGCTCTGCCTGCTCACCTGGCCCGGCTTCCAGCCCTGGGAAGAGAGCAGAGAGCGGGAATGTCCCCGGGAATGTCCCCTGGAATGTCCCCAGGAATGTCACCCTGGAGCGGCCCCGATCCCGTCCCGGCTCCTGGGGTTGATCCCACGGGAAAAGGGCCCCCAAAATCCACTTCCCAAGTCCCGGGAAACAGGGAATGGGAAGGATCAGGGATTGGATGGGGTTGGTTTTTCCAGGGATCGTCCTTTCGTCCCCCACCCTCGCCCTTCCTCCCAGCCATCCATGGACGCCTTTGATCCCCTCTCCCAGCATCCCAAACCCCTGGAAAAGGCAGGAATCTCCTCCTCTCCTGACCCCCACCCCCACCCCAAAATCTCCTCCTGCTTCCAAGGTGACTCCTCCAAACTCGTGCCCTTCCCAGGAGCCGAATTCCCTTTCCAGGAGTCAGAATTCCATTCCCAGGAGCAGAATTCCCTTCCCCAGAGCTCCAGTCCCTTCACAGAGGGCAGAATTCCCTTTCCAAGAGGCCCCATTCCCTTTCCAAGAGGCAGAATTCCCTTTCCAGGAGTCAGAATTCCCTTTCCAGGAGTCAGAATTCCCTTTCCAAGAGGCCCCATTCCCTTCCCAGGAGTCAGAATTCCCTTTCCTAGGGCCACCATTCCCTTTCCAGGAGTCAGAATTCCCTTTCCAAGAGGCCCCATCCCCTTCCCAGGAGTCAGAATTCCCTTTTCCAGGAGGAGAATTCCCTTTCCAGGGGCTGGGGCAACTTCCCACCCCCAAAAAGAAGGATCCGTGGAAATCCTGGAATTCCCAGCTCCTTCCACAGGAACGGGAAACTTCCACTCCCCTTTTCCCACCCCTCGGGAATGCTGGGGGTTAAATTCCTGCCGGGAGCAGGAAAACCTTGGAGTCTCCCTAATCCATCAGCCCTTGGATCCAAGGAGAGCCGAGAGGGGGAGGGGAAAAAACCGCCGGAAAAAGCAAAGCAGGGGGAAAAATTTGGGATGTGCCGCTCCCGGAGGAGACATTCCCGCATTCCCACATTCCCACATTCCAGGGAGCATTCCCGGGGGTGGGCAGGGAGCTGTTCCCGCTCCAGGGCCTTTTCCAGGGCCTTTTCCAAGCTCTGCAGGAGGAGGGAACGGGAAAGGAGGGGCCGGGGGGAGGAGAGGGGATGGAAAAATGGGATTTGTGGGGGGAAAAGTGGGATTTGTGGGGGGAAAGTGGGATTTGTGGGGGGAAAAGTGGGATTTGGGGGTAGGGGAAGCGGGATTTGGGGAGATAAAGGTGGGATTCGGGAGGGAAATGGGATTTGGGGGGATCAAAGTGGGATTTGGGGGATAAAAGTGGGATTTTTTGGGGGGGAAATGGGATTTTGGGGGGATCAAAGTGGGATTTGGGGGGATCAAAGTGGGATTCGGGGGATAAAAGTGGGATCTGGAAGGAGATAAAAGTGGAATTTTGGGGGGAATAAATTGGAATTTTGGGTGGATCAAAGTGGAATTTTGAGGGAGGATAAAGGTGGGATTTGGGGGGGATAAAGTGGAATTTTGGGGGGATCAAAGTGGAATTTTGGGGGGGATAAAGTGGAATTTTCGGGGGATAAAGTGGAATTTTGGGGGGATAAAGTGGAATTTTAGGGGGATCAAAGTGGAATTTGGGGATAAAATGGAATTTGGGGATAAAAAAGGAATTTTTGGGGGAAAATTGGAATTTGGGGGAGGATCCAAGTGGAATTTTGGGGGATAGGGATGGAGAGGAGCCCCCGGGGAATGTGCATCCATGGATAGTGGGATCGGGAATGGATGGAGGGGTGGGAATTGGGATGAGGGGAGGGGGTGGGAGACCCCAAGGACACCCCCACAGGACACCCCGGGGGCTGTGGATCCCAAATCCATGGGGGAACTTCCCTCTGGATCCCTCTCCATCCCTCGCCAAGGTTTTATCCCCCTCGGGGCTTCTCCAGGGCTTTTTCCAGGGCTTTTTCCAGGGCTTTTTCCAGGGTTTCTCCATGTCCTTCTCCGGGTCCTTCTCCGGGGTTTTTCCAGGTCCTTCTCCAGGGATTTTTCCATGTCTTTCTCCAGGTCCTTCTCCGGGTCCTTTTCCGGGGCTTTTCTGGGCCTTCTCCAGAGCTTTTCCAGGGCTTTTCCAGGGTTTTTTTTAGGGCTTCCCTGGGGTTTCTCCCCGGTTTTGCCGGCATTTTCTGCTCCTTCTCCGGGTCCTTCTCCAGGTCCTTCTCCAGGGGCTTCTCCAAGGTTTTTCCAGAGCTTCTCCAGGGGCTTTTCCAGGGGCTTCTCCAGCTCCTTCTCCACGGCTTTTCCAGGAGCTCCTCCAGGTTCTTCCCCGGGGCTTCTCCAGGGGCTTTTTTGGGAGGGCTTTTCCAGGGGGGGCTTTTCCAGGTTTTTGGGTTTTTTCCAGGGCTTTTCCAGCGCTTTTCCAGCGGGGTCGGGCAGCACCGGCCGATCCCAAACGCTCCCGGCATCCAAACCCTTTCCCTGCTGGATTCCCAGCCCCGGGAAGGCTCCTCCGCGCCTGGAAAACGCCCTTCCCGGAGGGAATGTGGGAATCCAACCCTGCCCCGGGAGCGCCTGGAAAAGCCCCCGATTTGTGGGATTTGTGGGCGGAAAGAGAAGGAATTTTGAGGGGGGGGGGCGAGAACTTCCCGCCCAGCTGGAAAACTTTCCCTGCCCGTGGCTGCCCGAGCCGGGAGCAGCTTCCATCCTGGAGCAGCTTCCATCCTGGATATTCCCGTGGGAAAAGCGGCCGCTCTGCTTCCCGCCCCGCCTGGATCCCGGGAATCTCCTTACCTGGAGCCGGGAGAGCGGCGAGGGGTCCCCCAGCACCCCATTCCGGCTACCGGGATTCCGGGATCGGGAGAGGAACGGGATTGGAGAGGGATGGGACCGGGAGAGGGATGGGATCGGGATCGGGAGAGGACTGGGATAGGGAGAGGACCGGGAAAGGACAGGGATCGGCAGAGGGATGGGATCGGGAGAGAACTGGGATCGAGAGAGGACTGGGATCGGGAGAGAACTGGGATCGGGAGAGGGGTGGGACCGGGAGAGGGATGGGATCGGGAGAGGACTGGAATCGGCAGAGGGATGGGATCGGGAGAGGGAGAGGACCGGGAGAGGGATGAGATCAGGAGAGGACTGGGATCAGGAGAGGACCGGGATTGGGAAAAGACTGGGATCGGCAGAGGGATGAGATCGGGAGAGGGATGGGATCGGGAGAGGACTGGGATAGGGATCGGGAGAGGACTGGGATAGGGAGAGTACCGGGAAAGGACAGGGATCGGCAGAGGACTGGGATAGGGATCGGGAGAGGACTGGGATAGGGAGAGTACCGGGAAAGGACAGGGATCGGCAGAGGGATGGGATCGGGAGAGAACTGGGATCGAGAGAGGACTGGGATCGGCAGAGGGATGGAATCGAGAGAGGAGCGGGATAGGGAGAGGACCGGGATAAGGACAGGACCTGGAAAAGACTGGGATCGGGAGAGGGACCGGGAAAAGCCTGGGATCGGGAGAGGGACCTGGAAAAGACTGGGATCGGGAGAGGACCGGGATAGGGAGAGGACCGGGAAAAGCCTGGGATCGGGAGAGGGGCGGCTCTGCTCTGGCTCCGAGCGGGCGGTGACGCCAGGGATTGGGGGAGGAGGAAAAGCTTGGGAAGGAGGGAGGATGCGGAGGGCTGAGCGGGAGGGAAGGGATCGGGAAAGCTTCCCGAGGCTTGGGAAGAAGGTTGGGATTGCCGGGGGTCCCTTCCCTGAAAGGAACGGGAATGGGGGAGAGGGAAGGGGAGGGGGCGGGATCCGGGGGTGAGGAGGGAGAGGGAAGAGCAGGAGCCGGGAAATGGGGATTTGTGGGATGTGTTCCTTGGGATATCGCAGGGAATCCCAGGGAAAATTCCAGGGCACATCCCAGAGCTCCAGGACCTTCTCCCAGGATGTGTTCCTTGGGATATCGCAGGGGATCCCAGGGAACATTCCCTGGAACATCCCAAAGCTCCGGGACCTTCTCCCAGGATGTTTTCCTTGGGATATCGCAGGGAATATCCCAGGGAACATTCCAGGGCACATCCCAAAGCTCCGGGACCTTCTCCCAGGATGTTTTCCTTGGGATATCGCAGGGAATATCCCAGGGAACATTCCAGGGCACATCCCAAAGCACCAGGACCTTCTCCCAGGATGTTTTCCTTGGGATATTTCAGGGGATCCCAGGGAACATTCCAGGGCACATCCCAAAGCTCCAGGACCTTGTTCCAGGATGTTTTCCCTGGGATATTGCAGGGGATCCCGGGGAACATTCCAGGGCACATCCCAAAGCTCCAGGACCTTGTTCCAGGATGTTTTCCTTGGGATATCGCAGGGGATCCCAGGGAACACCCCGGGGAACATCCCAAGACTCCAGGATCTCTTCCCAGAGCGGGAAAACGGAAGGGTTTTTTATCCCATTCCCCACCAGACCAGGAATCTCCCACTTTTCCCACAACCCCCCGGGGGAACTCCAGGGATTGGGAATGTTCCCTGCTCCGGGAAAAACCGGGAGCACGGGATTGAGTTGTTTATCCCCATAAAACCCTTCCAAGGGGACCGGGTTTTCCCAAAATCGGGAAAAGGAAGGCGGGGGGGGGAGGGGGGGGATCTCCAGCGGCAAATCCCACCCCGAGGGGCCTTCCCGCTCCTCTTCCCGGTGTTCCCATCCAGGGGGGACACCTCGGGACACGGGGGAGAACGGGGATACCTTGGGAATGGCAGGAGGGGACACCAAGGGATGGGAACGGGGATGTTTTGGGAATGGGGAGGGGGTTTTCCCACTGGGAGACACCGAGGGGATGGGGACAGGGATATTTTGGGAATGGGAGGGGTTTTACCCCCAGGAAACACGGAGGGGATGGGAACAGGGATATTTTGGGAATGGGGAGGAGGCTTTCCCACTGGAAGACACCGAGGGGATGGGAACAGGGATGGGAAGAGGGATATTTTGGGAATGGGGAGGGGGTTTTCCCACTGGAAGACAGGGAGGGGATGGGGACAGGGATATGAACTGGCACATTCTGGGAATGCGGCCCGGGGTCCTTCCGCTGGGAGACACCGAGGGGGTGGGGACAGGGAGGAAGGAGCAGATTCCCACCAGGATCCAGCGGCCGGGAATCCACAGGATGGATGGAATTGGGAAGGGAAAAACAGCCCCAGTTTGGAAGAGCAAAATTCTCCCATAAAAAAAACCCCAAACAACCTCCGGTGTTTTTCCGTCCTGGGATGTGAGATTTGGGATTGGACGATCCACAGGGAAAGGGGGGAATTTTCCTGAACCCCCCTCAAGTTTGGAAGAGCAAAATTCCCTCCGAAACTCCCTCGTTTTTCCATCCTGGGATTTAGGATTTAGGATTTTTGGGTATTGTATCCCGCTCTTCCCGTCCTATTGATGATCCATAGGGAAGGGGGACCCCCAAAATTCCCTAATTTTCCCATCCTGCCTGCCGGGATTTGGGACTTGGGGGATCATATCCCGCTCTTCCCACCCTATGGATGATCCACAGGGAAGGGGGACCCCCAAAATCCCTCATTTTCCCATCCTGCCTGCCGGGATTTGGGATTTGGGTGGATTGTATCCCGCTCTTCCCACCCTATGGATGATCCGCCCCTTTCCCTTCCCCTCCTCCTCCTCACAGTGCCCGTCTCTGGGGTCTCTGGGGCTCAGGGAGGTTCCCCAGCCCCGTTTTGAGGCGAAACCCCCCGATTTCGGGCAAACTCCGCGGGGCGGGCGGCGCTAGGACCCAGCCCTGGGAAGGGGGCGTGGCCACACTCAGGGGGCGTGGCCACACCAGGGGGGGCGTGGCCTGGCTCTGGGTCAAGGGTGAGGCCGCGGGTTCGAGTCCCGGCCTGGGCGGCCATGGCGCGGCGGGTCGTGCTCTCCGGCCTCGGCGGGGTCCTCCTGGAGCCGAGCCTGCAGCAGTGCCTGGAATCCTGCGAGCGGGAATTCGGCCTTCCCAGGTACCGCTGGGCACGGCTCGGAGCGGAGCGGAACGGCCCTGCCCGGCCCGGCACGGCCTTAAACCGAGTTTCACCCGCCCGAGCGCCACCGAGTCAGTGCTGGGCCGGAGAGCCAGAGAAACAAAGCGCTAATGCCGTGTGTGACGGCGCCGCCCGCGCGCCCTTCGCGGGAGCGGGCCCCCATTGGGGAGGGGTGGATTTTGGGGAGGGGAGGGGGGAGGAAGGAAAGTTTGGGATTGAGGAATCATTTGGGATCCCTGGGAATAGGTGGGAATATCCTGGGGTGCTGGAAAAGCAGGGGCGCCTGTCCTGAGGGGGAGGGGGGGGTGGGGCAGAGGGAATTTGGGGGACAGGGCAGGGGGGTCAAAGTTAATCCCTGGAGGAGGGGGCGGAGTTTTCCATAGGGAATGTTGGAAGAGGCGGGGAGGGAGGGCGGTTAATAATTAGTGAATTAATTAGTGATTGATTAATCGTTAAGCCCGTCCCAGGACACGACTCGGGTGGGGCCAAAAAACTTCCCCCCCTCAAAAAAAAAAAACAAACCAACAAATCCCAAATCCCCTCTGGAGCCCCCGCGCACCCTTTTTTTCCATGGAAAATTTGGGACGCGATCTGGGTGCCAGGAGCTCCCAGGCAGGTTCTTCCTGTCCGCGGGGCTGTTACAAAACCGCGGGCAGTTACAAAATAAAGTCGAATATGAAGGAACTGTAAAACCCCTGCAGGACCCGGAGCGATAAATTGTTTGGTATTTTATTTTATTTTATTTTTTGGGGGCTCATCCAGCGATTTTTATTCCCGAGGCTCTTCCATGAATCACGGGAGTGACGGGAACAGGCTGAGCTGGGTTTTATCGATCCCCCCCAAGGGAGGGAGGGGTCGCTTCTCCCCGAGCTGCCGCTCCCAAAAGTCCTCGCTCATCACATCCTTGGGGTTGTTTTTTATTTTTGGTTGTTTATTCCTGGCGGAATTCCCGGCTGGAGGAGGCGCGGGGGGAGAGAGGGAATTGGAGCTGCCAGCGGGAATAAATGGCTGGAAGTGTCCCGGGAATGAGGGATGGAGCTCTGAGTCCTTGGCACGAATGATCCCCCCTTTTCCAAAAAAAATCCCCCCAAAAAAAGGTGACTTTGGCGTCTTTTCCCGGCAGGAATTTCCTGCGGAACGCGCTGTTTTCCGGGGGGTCCCGAAGCCCGTATTCCCAAATCCTGAGGGGAGAGATCACCCTGAGCCAGGTGAGCCCCCAAATCCCGCCCCTGGGGCCGGCGCGGGGAAGCAGGGAAGGGATCACGGGTGTTTTTTTGGGAATATTCCAAGGACGTTATGGGAGGTTATCCCGGGAAAAGGGCAGGGAGGGACCCGATCCCGACCGGCTTCGGTGCCATCCAAGCCGCTAAAAGCGCTCCTGTAAATCCAGTCAAGGAGAGCGAAGGAGAACGGCCCTTCCAGGGATTGCTGGGCTGGGATACCGGGAACGATTCCCTGGGGAAAAGGGGCTCGGGAATGACCAGTGGGATCCCAGCCCCGCAGGGGTTTCCAAATCCCTGGGAATGTGGCACTTGGGGATCGGGGTGGGGGTTTTCCATGAATCCAGGAGGGGTGCGGGGGATCCCAACCCTCAGGATGGAGCATCCCGAGGGCTTTTCCGATGGGAATGACCCCTCTGGGATCACTGGGATGGGGGATGACCCCCCCCCCCGGGGATCCCGGGGCTTTTCCAATGGGAATGACCCCCAGGGATCACCGGGATGGGCAATCCCCCCCTAGGGATCCCAGGACACCCCGGGATGGGCTTTTCCAAGGGGATTGACCCCCCTGGGGATCCCGGGACACCCCGGGAGTATCCCGAGGGCTTTTCCCATGGGAATGACCCCCTGGGATCACTGGGATGGGGAATCTCCCCCCCCCCCCGGGGATCCTGGGATCATCCCGAGGGCTTTTCCAATGGGAATGACCCCCTGGGATCACTGGGATGGGGAATGACCCCCTTGGGAATCCCGGGACCCCCCGGGATCATCCCGAGGGCTTTTCCAAGGGCAATGACCCCCAGGGATCACCGGGATGGGCAGGAATCCCTCCCTGGGGATCCCGGGAGCATCCCAAGGGCTTTTCCAAGGGGAATGAGCCCCCTGGGGATCCCGGGAGCACCCCAAGGGCTTTTCCAATGGGAATGAGCCCCAGGGATCACCGGGATGGGCAGGAATTACCCCCCTGGGGATCCCAGGACACCCCGGGATGGGCTTTTCCAATGGAAATGACCCCCTGGGATCGGACCTGGGACTCGAGGGCTTTACAAGGGAATGACCCCTGGGATCACTGGGATGGGAATAACCCTGGGATCGGGATCCCGAGGCCTCCCGGGAGCTTAGGGAATGAGCCCTGGGATCACGGGATGGGCAGGAATTCCCCCATGGGGATCCCAGGACGGGATGGGCTTTTCAATGGGAATGACCCCGGGGATCACCAGGATCAAATCCCCACCTCGGGATCGGGATCATCGAGGCTTTTCCAATGGGAATGACCCCCTGGGATCACAGGGATGGAAAATCTCCCCTGGGGATCCCAGGACACCCGGGATGGGCTTTTCCAAGGGAATGAGCCCCAGGGATCACCGCATGGGCATGACCCCAGGGATCCTGGGATCATCCTGAGGGCTTTTACAAGGGGAATGACCCCCTGGGATCACTGGGATGGGGAATAACCCCCCTGGGGATCCCGGGACCCCCCGGGAGCCTCCCGAGGGCTTTTCCAAGGGGAATGAGCCCCTGGGATCACCGGGATGGGCAGGAATTCCCCCCCTGGGGATCCCAGGACACCCCGGGATGGGCTTTTCCAATGGGAATGACCCCCGGGGATCACCGGGATGGGGAATCCCACCTCGGGATCCCGGGATCATCCCGAGGGCTTTTCCAATGGGAATGACCCCCTGGGATCACCGGGATGGGAAATCTCCCCCTGGGGATCCCAGGACACCCCGGGATGGGCTTTTCCAAGGGGAATGAGCCCCAGGGATCACCGGGATGGGCAGGAATCCCCCCCCGGGGATCCTGGGATCATCCTGAGGGCTTTTCCAATGGGAATGACCCCCCGGGGATCACTGGGATGGGGAATCCCCCCCCCCTGGGGATCCCAGGGCACCCCGGGATGGGCTTTTCTATTGGGAATGAACCCCCTGGGGATCCCGGGACACCCTGGGAGCATCCCGAGGGCTTTTCCAATGGGAATGACCCCCAGAGATCACCGGGATGGGGAATGATCCCCATGGGAGCCTCCCGAGGGCTTTTCCAAGGGGAATGGCCCCCCTGGGGATCCCGGGACACACTGGAAGCATCCCGAGGGCTTTTCCAATGGGAATGACCCCCCTGGGATCATCAGGATGGGGAATCCCCCACCTCGGGATCCTGGGATCATCCCGAGGGCTTTTCCAATGGGAATGACCCCTAGGGATCACCGGGATGGACAGGAATCCCTTCCTGGGGATCCCGGGATCATCCCGAGGGCTTTTCCAAGGGGAATGAGCCCCCTGGGGATCCCAGGACATCCCGGGAGCATCCCGAGGGCTTTTCCCATGGGAATGACCCCCCTGGGGATCCCGGGACACCCTGGGATCATCCCGAGGGCTTTTCCAAGGGGAATGACCCCCTGGGATCACCAGGATGGGGAATCCCCCACCTCGGGATCCCGGGATCATCCCGAGGGCTTTTCCAAGGGGAATGAGCCCCGGGGATCACGGGGATGGGCAGAATCCCCCGGGGATCCCAGGACACCCCGGGATGGGCTTTTCCATTGGGAATGACCCCCCTGGGGATCCCGGGACACCCTAGGAGCATCCCGAGGGCTTTTCCAATGGGAATGACCCCCAGGGATCACTGGGATGGGGAATGACCCCCCCTGGGGATCCCAGGATCATCCCGAGGGCTTTTCCAATGGGAATGACCCCCTGGGATCACTGGGATGGGGAATCCCCGGGGATCCTGGGATCATCCCGAGGGCTTTTCCAATGGGAATGACCCCCTGGGATCACTGGGATGGGCAGGAATCCCCCCCCTGGGGATCCCGGGAGCCTCCCGAGGGCTTTTCCAATGGCAATGACCCCCAGGGATTACTGGGATGGGCAGGAATCCCTCCCTGGGGATCCCGGAAGCCTCCCGAGGGCTTTTCCAATGGGAATGACCCCCAGAGATCACTGGGATGGGCAGGAATTTCCCTCCCCTGGGGATCCCGGGAGCATCCCAGGGGCTTTTCCAAGGGGAATGACCCCCAGGGATCACCGGGATGGGAAATCCCCCCCTGGGGATCCCAGAACACCCCGGGATGGGCTTTTCCAATGGGAATGACCCCCCCTGGGAATCCCGGGACCCCCCGAGAGCATCCCGAGGGCTTTTCCAATGGGAATGACCCCCTGGGGATCCCGGGACACCCTGGGAGCCTCCCGAGGGCTTTTCCAAGGGGAATGAGCCCCCTGGGATCACCAGGATGGGCAGGAATCCCTCCCTGGGGATCCCGGGATCATCCCGAGGGCTTTTCCAAGGGGAATGAGCCCCCTGGGAATCCTGAGACACCCCGGGATCATCCCGAGGGCTTTTCCAATGGGGAATGACCCCCCTGGGGATCCCGGGACCCCCCCGGGAGCCTCCCGAGGGCTTTTCCCGAGGGAATGTGGTCCGTTCCCTCCCCAGCTGTGCTCGGAGGTGGACGAGGGCTGCAGGAGAGAGGCCTCATCCTCGGGAATGGCCCTTCCCGCCTCCTTCTCCGTGGGAAGAGCGTTCCAGGCCCTGGTGGAGCAGGAAAGGAGCCGGGAGAGCTTCCCGAGGGCGGCGGCGGCGCTGAGGGACAGCGGTGGGGCTGGGACAGGGAGGGATCGGGAATGTGGGGTGGGAGGAGGGCAGGGAATGAGGGAGGGGGTGGGAGGGTCGGGAATGAGGGGTGGGAGGGGAGGGGTGGGAATGCGGGATGGGAGGGGAGGGGTCGGGAATGTGGGATGGGAGGAGGGATCGGAATGAGGGGTGGGAGGGGTGGGAATGAGGGACGGAGGGAATGGGGGATGGAGTGGGAGGGGATGAGGGGCAGGAGGGATGGGAGGGGTCGGGAATGAGGGGTGGGAGGGCAGGAATGAGGGGCGGGAAGGGAGGGGAATGAGGGGCGGGAGGGGATGGAATCCTGGCCATTCCCACCCTGGAATCCTGGCCATTCCCACCCTGGAATCCCGCCCAATCCCAGCACAGATTCCCAGCTGATCCCCCAGGGTTCCTGTTCATTCCCACCCTGGAATCCTGACCATTCCCACCCTGGAATCCCAACCATTCCCACTATGAAATCCCGGCCATTCCCAATCTGGAATCCTGGCCATTCCCACCCTGGAATCCCAACCATTCCCACCCTGGAATCCTGGTCATTAGCCCCATGGAATCCTGCCCATTCCCACCCTGGAATCCTGGCCATTCCCACCCTGGAATCCCAGCCATTCCCACCCTGGAATCCTGGTCATTACCCCCATGGAATCCTGACCATTCCCAGCCTGGAATTCCGGCCATTCCCACTCTGGAATCCCAGCCATTCCCACCCTGGAATCCTGCCCATTCCCACCCTGGAATCCTGCCCATTCCCACCCTGGAATCCCGCCCAATCCCAGCACAGATTCCCAGCTGATCCCCCTCGGGTTCCTGGCCATTCCCACCATGGAATCCTGGCCATTCCCACCATGGAATCCTGGTCATTCCCACCATGGAATCCTGGCCAATCCCAGCACAGATTCCCAGTTGATCCCCCTCGGGTTCCTGGCTATTCCCACCATGGAATCCTGGCTATTCCCACCATGGAATCCTGGCCATTCCCACCCTGAGATCCTGGCCATTCCCACCCTAGAATCCTGACCATTCCTGCCCTGGAATCCTGGCCATTCCCACCCTGGAATCCTTCTCAATCCCAGCACAGATTCCCAGTTGATCCCCCTGATGCCCCCTCCCCTCTCCGGCATTCCCAATCTCCACCTCCCATCCCCCTTCCTCAGGATCCTCCAACCTGGAATTCCCAACCCCTGTGCCCTCCCACTCCCGAGGGACCCTCGGAATCCCAAATTCCAGAATGCCAAATCCCTAAAAAACCCGACAAAATCCCTAAAAAAATCCGACAAAATCCCTAAAAAACCCTGACAAAATCCCTAAAAAACCCGACAAAATCCCTAAAAAACCCGACAAAATCCCTAAAAAAACCCGACAAAATCCCTAAAAAACCCGACAAAATCCCTAAAAAAAACCCGACAAAATCCCTAAAAACCCTGACAAAATCCCTAAAAACCTGACAAAATCCCTAAAAACCCGACAAAATCCCTAAAAACCCGACAAAATCCCTAAAAAAAACCCGACAAAATCCCTAAAAGAACCCGACAAAATCCCTAAAAAAACCGACAAAATCCCTAAAAAAACCCGACAAAATCCCTAAAAAAACCGACAAAATCCCTAAAAAAACGACCAAATCCCTAAAAACCCCCGTGCGGGAGAAGGGATGGGAGGGCCGGGAGGGCGGGGAGGGGGAATTCCAACGGGAAGCGCGCATTTTTTCCCAGGATTCCGGACCTGCCTCCTGGCCAGCCCGCGGCCGGAGGACGGCGCGGGGCGGCTCCGTCGGGAATTCCCGGCGGGGCTGGAATTCTGCCGGCTCGGGAAGCACCAACCGGAGCCAGGGATTTATTCCCACACCCCGCGGGCCCGGCCGGACCAGGTGCCCACCACCAGAATTCCCAAAAAAAAAAAAACAACCCCACCCCTTGGGATATTCCCGGGCTGATTCCTGGGATCATCCCAGGCCATCCTGGTGGATGTGCCGGAGGAGAGCCGGGAGATGGGAATGGGCACAGAACTGCCACGGGACACGGACACAGCTCTGGGGTGTCCAGAGGGATTTCCGGGATTCCTGAGGGAGCTGGAGCAGCTCTGGGCTGTCCAGATGATTCCTGGGATTCCTGAGGGAACTCCATTGGTTCTCCGGGGTCCAGGTGGGGGTTTCTGGGATTTCTGAGGGAGCTGGAGCAGCTTTCAGGGGTCCAGGTGGGATTCCTTGGATTCCTGAGGGAGCTCGAGCAGCTCTGGGGTGTCCAGGTGGGATTCCTGGGATTTCTGGGATTCCTGAGGGAGCTGGAGCAGCTCGCAGGGCTCCAGGTGTGGATTTTCCCCATCCCCTGGGATTTCTGGGATTCCTGAGGGAGCTGGAGCAGCTCTTTGGGTCCAGGTGGGGATTCCACCCATCCCCTGGGATTCCTGAGGGAGCTCCAGCGGCTCTTGGGGATCCAGTTGGGGATTCCTGGGATTCCTGAGGGAGCTGGAGCAGCTCTGGGGTGTCCAGGTGGGGTTCCTGGGATTCCTGGGATTCCTGAGGGAGCTGGAAGCAGCTTGCAGGGATCCAGATGATTCCTGGGATTCCTGAACAAACTGGAGGTGTCCAGGTGGGGATTCCCTCCCATCCCCTGGGATTTCTGGGATTCCTGAGGGAGCTGGAACAGCTTTGGGGTGTCCAGATGATTCCTGGGATTCCTGAGGGAGCTGGAGGTGTCCAGGTGGGGATTCCCCATCCCCTGGGATTCCTGGGATTCCTGAGGGAGCTGGAGCAGCTCGAAGGGCTCCAGGTGGGGATTCCCTCCATCCCCTGGGATTCCTGGGATTCCTGAGGGAGCTGGAGCAGCTCCTTGGGTCCAGGTGGGGATTCCCTCCATCCCCTGGGATTCCTGGGATTCCTGAGGGAGCTGGAGCAGCTCGAAGGGCTCCAGGTGGGGATTCCCTGGGATTCCTGAGGGAGCTGGAGCAGCTCCTTGGGTCCAGGTGGGGATTCCCTCCATCCCCTGGGATTCCTGAGGGAGCTCCAGTGGCTCGAAGGGCTCCAGGTGGGGATTCCTGGGATTCCTGAGGGAGCTCGAGCAGCTCTGGGTTGTCCAGGTGGGATTCCTGGGATTTCCGGAATTCCTGAGGGAGCTGGAGCAGCTCTGGGGTGTCCAGATGATTCCTGGGATTCATGAGGGAGCTGGAGGTGTCCAGGTGGGGATTCCCCCCATCCCCTGGGATTTCTGGGATCCCTGAGGGAGCTGGAGCAGCTCTGGGCTGTCCAGATGATTCCTGGGATTCCTGAGGGAGCTCCAGAGGTTCTCCAAGGTCCAGGTGGGGAATTCCCTCCTATCCCCTGAGGTTCCTGGGATTCCTGAGGGAGCTGGAACAGCTTTGGGGTGTCCAGGTGGGGATTCCCCCCTATCTTTTGGGATTCCTGGGATTCCTGAGGGAGCTGGAGAGGATCACAGGGATCCAGATGGGATTCCTGGGATTCCTGAGGGAGCTCCAGCGGTTCTGGGGGCTCCAGGTGTGGATTCCCCCATCCCCTGGGATTCCTGGGATCCCTGGATATCCCAGTGGATGTGTCCCTGCCTATGAGAATGGATGAGCTTCAATGTCACTCCCAAGCCAAGTCCTGGCATTCCATGATTCTGGGATCCCTGGATATTCCAGTGGGAGGAATTCCTGCCCATGGAATGGGATGAGCCCTTGGAATGGGATGAGTCCTGACCATTCCTGGCATTCCCTGATCCCTGGAGGGCAGGGATGGACGGGCCTGGCCTCGGAGTTTTGGATCCCAGGGGATGTCCCGGAAATCCCGGAGATTAGGAGCCCATCCTGATCCTGCTGCCCATCCCACAGCTCCTAAGCCGGGAGAGAGCCGATCCCGACTCGCTGATCCGTCCGCGCCGCCTACGGATACGTCCGGATCCGGTACGGGAATCCCGGATTGGGAGGGATGGAGCCCTGGGAATGGGGGATTGGGATGGGATGGATTGGGAGGGTGGGATCCAAGGGATGGGCCGGGAATGGGGGATTGGGATGGAATGGGTGGGATCCAGGGGATGGGCTGGGAATGACTGGGATTGGGATTGGGATGGGAATGGGTGGGATCCATGGGATGGGATGGGAATGGGTGGGATTGGGATTGGGATGTGAATGGTGGATGTCTGGGATTGGGATGGGAATGGTGGGATCCAGGGGATGGGATGGGAATGGGTGGGATTGGGATTGGGATGGGAATGGGTGGATCCAGGGATGGGCTGGGAATGGGTGGGATTGGGATTGGGATGGGAGTGTGTGGAATTGGGATGGGCTGGGAATGGGTGGGATTGGGATGTTCCGGCTGTCCTGGGAATGGATGGGATTGGGATGTCCTGGGAATGGGTGGGATCCAAGGATGGGTTGGGAATGGGTGGGATTGGGATGTGCTGGGAATGGGGGATCCAAGGGATGGGTTGGGAATGGGTGGGATTGGGATGCTGGGAATGGGGATCCAGGATGGGCTGGGAATGGGTGGGATTGGGATGTGCTGGGAATGGGGGATCCAAGGGATGGGCTGGGAATGGGTGAGATTGGGATGGGCTGGGAATGGGGGATCGGGATGTCCGCTGTCCTGGGAATGGGGATTAGGATGGGAATGGGGGATCCAAGGGATGGGCTGAAATGGTGGGATTGGGATGAATGGGAATGGTGATTGGGATGGGCTGGGAATGGTGGGATCCAGGATGGAGCTGGGAATGGGTGGGATTGGGATGGGCTGGGAATGGGGAGTTGTGGGATTGATGGAATGTGGGATTGGGATTGGGATGGGAGTGTGGATTGGGATGGGCTGGGAATGGGTGGGATTGGGATGGGCTGGGAATGGGGGGATCCAAGGGATGGGCTGGGAATGGGTGGGATTGGGATTGGGATGGGAATGGAGGATTGGGGTGTCCTGGGAATGGGGGATCCAAGGGATGGGCTGGGAATGGGGGATTGGGATGAGCTGGGAATGGTGGGATCCAAGGATGGCTGGGAATGTGAGGATTGGGATGAGCTGGGAATGGGGATCCAAGGGATGGGCTGGGAATGGGTGGGATTGGGATTGGGATGGGAGTGTCTGGGATTGGGATTGGGCTGGGAATGGTGGGATCAGGATGTGCTGGGAATGGGTGGGATTGGATGGGCTGGGAGTGTGTGGGATTGGACGAGTGGGAATGGGTGGGATTGGGATGTGCTGGGAATGGGTGGGATCCAAGGGATGGGCTGGGAATGGGTGGGATCCAAGGGATGGGCTGGGAATGGGTAGGATTGGGATGTCCTGGGAATGGGGGGGATCCAAGGGATGGTTGGCTCTGGAATGCCGGGATGGAAGGGGCTTGGTGGGCTCTGGAATTCTGGGCTGGAGCAGTGGTGGGCTCTGGAATGCTGGGATGGAAGGGAATGGCAGACCCTGGAATGCTGGGATAAAAGGGAGTGGTGGACCCTGGAATGCCAGGATAAAAGGGAGTTGGTGGACTCTGGAATGTTGGGATAAAAGGGAGTTGGTGGGCTCTGGAATGTTTGGATAAAAGGGAGTGGCAGACCCGGGAATGTTGGGATAAAAGGGAGTTGGTGGGCTCTGGAATTCCAGGCTGGAGAGGGTGGTGGGTTCAAAGGGGAGGAGGGCTGAGGAATTCCTGTCTGGAGGAGGCGTGGGCTCGGGAATTTCTGGCTGGAATTCCGGTGTGGTGCGGAATTCCCAGCGTTCCCGCGGCATTCATTCCTGTTCCCATTCCCGTTGTTCCCGTGGGCAGCCCGGGGTGCAGCTGCACTTCGTGGAGCTGGGCCAGGGCCCCCCCGTGCTGCTGTGCCACGGATTCCCGGAATCCTGGAGATCCTGGCGCTTCCAGGTGAGCTCTGGCACATCCCAGGGCCCTTCCCGGAGCTCCAACAAATCCCAGGGCCATTACCTGAGCTCCAGGAGATCCCGGGGCCCTTCCCGGAGCTCCAGGAGATCCCGGGGCTGTTCCCGGAGCTCCAGGAGATCCCAGGACCCTTCCCGGAGCTCCAGGAGATCCTGGGGCTGTTCCCGGAGCTCCAGGAGATCCCGGGGCTGTTCCCGGAGCTCCAGGAGATCCCAGGACCCTTCCCGGAGCTCTGGAAGATCCTGAGGGTGTTCCTGGAGCTCCAGGAGATCCTGGAACCCTTCTCGGAGCTCTGGCAGATCCCAGGGCCGTTCCTGGAGCTCCAGGAGATCCCAGAACCCTTTCTGGAGCTCTGGGAGATCCTGAGGCCATTCCTGGAGCTCCACGAGATCCTGGGACCCTTCCCAGAGCTCCAGGAAATCCCAGAACCCTTCCTGGAGCTCTGGGAGATCCCGGGACCATTCCCGGAACTCTGGCAGATCCCAGGGCTGTTCCCGGAGCTCCAGGAGATCCCAGGGCCATTCCCGGAACTCTGGCAGATCCTGGGGCTGTTCCTGGAACTCCAACAGATCCCAGGACCCTTCCTGGAGCTCTGGGAGATCCCAGGGCTGTTCCCGGAGCTCCAGGAGATCTCGGGGCTGTTCCCAGAGCTCTGGGAGATCGCAGGGCTCTTCCCAGGCCTCGGCACCCTTTGGAATCTGCTCTTTCCCTCCCAGATCCCGGCCCTGGCCAATGCCGGATTCCGGGTGACGCCCTGGAGATGAAGGGATACTGGAATCCACCGCTCTCTCCGGTGGGCTGGGAACGGGATGGGAATGGGGCTGGGAATGGCTGGGAACAGGCTAAGGGCTGATGGGGCTGGGAATAGGCTGGGAAGGGGCTGGGAATGGACTGGGAATGGACTGGGAAGGGGCTGGGAATGGGGCTGGGAATGGGGCTGGGAATGGGGCTGGGAATGGGCTGGGGACGGGCTGGGAATGGCTGGGAATGGGGCTGGGAATGCGCTGGGAATGGGTTGGGAACAGGCTGGGAAGGGGCTGGGATGGGGCTGGAAGGGGACTGGGAATGGGGCTGGAACAAGGCTGAATGGTGCTGGGAATGGACTGGGAACAGGCTGGGAATGGGGCTGGGAAGGCTGAGGGGCTGGGAAGGGGCTGGGAATGCCAAGCCCAGGAGGGGCTGGATGGGTGGCTGGAGGAGCCTTCTCCAGAGGGTGGGAATGTGCCCCAGGGTGGGAATGTTTCCCACCCCCGGGATGGGCCCGATCCCGTGGCCGTTCCGGGCTGGAGCCGCCGCCTCTCCCGCAGATATCCCGGAATATTCCCAGGAGCAGATCTGCAAGGTGAGCAGCTGCTGGGAATGGGAATGGGAATGGGAATGGGGAGGGATGATCCCATCTGGGATCTGACCCCCCCACTCTCCTCTCCTCTCCTTTTCCCAGGACCTGGCGGTTTTCCTGGATAAACTGGTGAGGAGATCCCCGGGATGGGGATGGGAAGTTTGGGATGTGTCCCCCCAACTGCCAATCCTGGGATTCCAGGATGATCCTGAGGGGGCTGGGATGGCCAGGGAAGGATTCCAGGATGATCCTGAGGAATCTGGGATGGCCAGGGAAGGATTCCAGGATGATCCTGAGAAGAAAAAAAGGGGGAAAAGGAGAAAGAAGAGGGAAGAGGAGGGTAAAAAAACAAGGAAAGGGGGAAAAGGAGGAAAAAACAAGGAAAGGGGGAAAAACAAGGAAAGGGGGAAAGGGGGGAAAATAGGAAAAAGGAGGAAAAAGGGGAAAAAAAACAAGGAAAGGGGGAAAAGGAGGAAAAAAGAAGGAAAGGAGGGAAAACAAGGAAAGGAGAAGGAAAACAAGGAAAGGGGAAGGAAAACAAGGAAAGGGGAAGGAAAACAAGGAAAGGAGAAGGAAAACAAGGAAAGGAGAAGGAAAACAAGGGAAAGGGAAGGAAAACAAGGAAAGGGGAAGGAAAACAAGGAAAGGGGAAGGAAAACAAGGAAAGGAGAAGGAAAACGAGGAAAGGAGAAGGAAAACAAGGAAAGGAGAAGGAAAACAAGGAAAGGGGGGGGGGGGAAAACAAGGAAAAAGGATGGAAAAGCAGGAAAGGCGAGGAGAAGGGGGAACAGGAGCAGCAGGAGGTCCCTGAGTGCCTTTCCCGCAGGGAATTGCCTGGTGGTGCCGGGGACACGAGCAGCGGGCCAATGGAACATGGCCCTGACACACCCGGAACGGGTCAGGTGGGATAATGGGATAACGGGATACGGGGATGATGGGACACGGAACATGGGTAGCTGGGATAATGTGAGATAGTGGGATAATGGGACAATGGATAATGGGACACTGGGATAGCAGGCAATGGATAATGGGATAACGACAAGGATACTGGGATAATGGGATAATGGGATAATGGGATAATGGGATACGGATAATGGGATACTGGGATAATGGGATAATGGGATGATGGGATACTGGGATACTGGGATAATGGGATACTGGGATACGGGGATAATGGATAATGGGATACTGGGACACTGGGATACAGGGATAATGGGATACTGGGATGATGGGATGATGGGATACGGGGACACGGGGATAATGGGATAATGGGATAACGGGATAACAGGATACTGGGATACTGGGATATAGGGATACAGGGATTCAGGGATGGGATACAGGGATGGGATACTGGGATGGGATACAGAGTTGGGATACTGGGATGGGATACAGGGATACTGGAATAATGGGATACTGGGATACAGGGATACTGGGATACAGGGATGGGATACAGGGATGGGATGGGATACAGGGATGGGATAATGGGATACTGGGATACAGGGATGGGATACAGGGATGGGATACTGGGATACAGAGATACTGGGATACAGGAATACCGGGATACTGGGATACTGGGATATTGGGATACAGGGATGGAATACTGGGGTACAGGGGTACAGGGATACTGGGATACAGGGATGGGATGAGATACTGGGATACATGGGATGGGATACAGGGATACTGGGATAATGGGATACAGGGATACTGGGATGGGATACAGGGATGGGATACAGGGATGGAAGGGGATACAGGGATGGGATGGGATGGGATGGGATGGGATAGGATAGGATATAGGGATGGGATGGGATGGGATGGGATGGGATGGGATGGGATGGGATGGGATGGGATGGGATGGATGGATGGGATGGGATGGGATACAGGGATGGGATGGGATGGGATGGGATGGGATGGGACAGCAATCCATTGGTATTCCCGTTGGGAATGCAGGGCTGTGGCCTCTCTGAACACCCTGGGGTGGGATGGGATGGGATGGGATGGGGACATGGGATGAGATGGGGACATGGGACTGGGGGACATGGGATGGGATGGGATGGGATGGGACAGCAATCCATTGGTATTCCCGTTGGGAATGCAGGGCTGTGGCCTCTCTGAACACTCCGTACCGGCCGGCCCGGCCCGGGGTGGATATCATGGAGAAGATGAAATCCCAGCCCACCCTGGAATATCAGCTCTACTTCCAGGAGCCTGTGAGGTTTTCACGGTTTTTTGGGATGTGGGAGGGGTGTGGAATTCCCGAGGGGTGGATCCCAGGTTTTCTGGGATGTGGGAGGGAGGTGTGAATACCAGGGAGATGGATCCCATTTTTTTGGGATGGGTGTGGATCGAGGTGTGGATGCCTTGAGCAGGGTGGATCCTGGTTTTTTGGAGGATGTGGGAGTGGATCCCATTTTGGGTGAGGGTGGGGAGTGGATTCTGGTGTTTTTGGGATGTGGGACAAGGTGTGGATGCCCGAGGTGGATCCTGGTGTTTTGGGGGATGTGAGGAGGGTGGATCCTGGAGGTGGATGCCGTTGTGGGAGGGATGTGGGATGGGGCTGGATCCCGGTGTTTTTGGGCTATGGGAGGGCTGGATCCCAGTGTTTTTGGGGATGGGGAGGTGTGTCTCGGTGTTTTTGGGGATGTGGGAGTGGTGTATCCCGGTGTTTTGGGGTATGGGAGGTGTATCCCGGTGTTTTTGGGGCTCTGGGAGGGGCTGTATCCCGGTGTTTTTGGGGATGTGTGGGGGTGTATCCCGGTGTTTTTGGGGCTATGGGAGGGGGTGGATCCCGGTGTTTTTGGGGATATGGGAGAGGCTGGATCCCGGGGGTGGATCCTGTTTTTGGGGATGTGTGTGGGGTGTATCCCAGGTTTTCTGGGCTGTGGGAGGGTGGATCCTGGTGTTTTTGGGATGGGGAGGGTGTATCCCGGTGTTTTTGGGATGTGGGAGGGTGTGTATCTAGCATGGAGGTGGATCCTGTTTGTGGGGATGGGGAAGGTGTATCCCGTGTTTTAGGGCTATGGGAGGGCTGTATCCCGGTGTTTTTTGGGGATGCTGGGGGGTGGATCCCGGTGTTTTTGGGGCTGTGTGGGGGTTGTATCCCGGTGTTTTTCTGGGCTCTGGGAGGGGGTGGATCCCGGTGTTTTTGGGATGTGTGTGGGGTGTATCCCGGTGTTTTGGGGGATGTGTGAAGGGCTGGATCCTGGTGTTTTTGGGGCTGTGGGAGGGGCTGGATCCCGGTGTTTTTGGGGCTGTGGGAGGGGGAGGATCCCAGGGGTGGATCCCGTTTTTGGGAGATGGGGGGTGTATCCCGGTGTTTTTGGGCTGTGTGGGGGGTGTATCCCGGTGTTTTGGGGGTGCTGGGGGTGTATCCCGGTGTTTTGGGGCTATGGGAGGGGCTGGATCCCAGTGTTTTTGGGGATGGGGAGGGGGTGTATCCCGGTGTTTTTTTGGATGCTGGGAGGTGTATCCCGGTGGTTTTTGGGCTGTGTGGAGGGTGTATCCCGGTGTTTTTGGGGGATGTGGGAGGGGTGTATCCCGGTGTTTTTGGGCGATGGGAGGGTGGATCCCGGTGTTTTGGGGGATGTGGGACGAGGTGTGGATGCCCGGGGGTTGTATCCCGGTGTTTTGGGGCTATGGGAGGGGCTGTATTCCAGTGTTTTTGGGCTGATGTGGGAGGTGTATCCCGGTGTTTTTGTGGATGGGGGGGGTGTATCCCGATCCCGGCGTGTCCCGGGCAGGGCGTGGCGGAGGCGGAGCTGGAGCGGGACATCGGCCGGACACTCAAAATCCTCATCCGCTCCGCGCGCCCGGAGGTAACGCCGGGATCGGCACGGGATCCGCACGGGATCGGCACGGGATCCGCACGGGATCGGCACGGGGGGGCGGGATGGGGGCTCGGGAATCCGGGAGAGGCTCCGGAGCGTCCCGGGGGTTCCCTCCTTCCTGCTCCATCCCGGCTGGTCGTCCCATCCCTGCCTTTTCCTGGGAAAGGCCGATCCCGGCTCGGGTGTCCAGTGCTTCCCAATTCCTTGGGATGCTCCCGGCTCTGGGATCCAGGGCTGTTCCATTGGATCCCAATTCCCCATTCCCTGCTCTGAATCCCATTCCATTGGACCCATTCCCCATTCTCTGTCCCCATTCCCTGTTCCCATCCCCTGTTCCCATTCCCATCCCCTGTCCCCATTCCCATTCCCTGTTCCCCATTCCCATTCCTGTTCCCATTCCCTGTTCCCATCCCAGTTCCCATTCCCTGTCCCCATTCCCATTCCCTGTTCCCATTCCCTGTCCCTATTCCCATCCCCTGTTCCCATTCCCTGTCCCCATTCTCATTCCCATTCCCATCGCTGTTCCCATTCTCATCCCCATTCCCATCCCCATTCCCTGTCCCCATTCCCTATTTCCTATTTCTTGTTCCCATTCCTATCCCAGTTCCCATTCCCTATCCCCATTCCCATTCCCATCCCATTCCCCATTCCCATCCCTGTCCCCATTCCCATCCCCTGTCCCCATTCCCATTCCCATTCCCATCGCTGTTCCCATTCTCTGTTCCCATTCCCTGTTCCCATTCCCATCCCCATTCCCATTCCCATTCCCTGTCCCCATTCCCATCCCTGTCCCCATTCCCATCCCTGTCCCCATTCCCATCCCTGTCCCCATCCCCTGTTCCCATCCCCTGTTCCCATCCCCATTCCCCATTCCCATTCCCATTCCCATGGCTGTTCCCACAGGATCGCCTGCCCTGTGACCTCAAATTCCAGGGGGTCCTGGAGAGAGGTGGGGGGACCCGGGGGTCGATGGGGGAGAGGGGGTGATGGATGTGGGTGGAGATGGGTGTTTGGGAATTCTGTGGGCTGGGAATGCTGGGATTTAGAGGGGTTGTTTTGGGCTGGGAATGCTGGGATTTGTGGAATTCTGTGGGCTGGGAATGCTGGGATTTGGGAATTCTATGGGATGAGCAGTACTGGGATTTGGGGAATTCTGTGGGATGGGCAGTGCTGGGATTTGGGGGTTGTTTTGGACTGGGAATGCAGGGATTTGGGAATTCTGTGGGATGGGCAGTGCTGGGAGTTGAGGGGTTGTTTTGGGCTGGGAATGCTGGGATTTGTGGAATTCTGTGGGCTGGGAATGCTGGGATTTGGGAATTCCATGGGCTGGGAATGCTGGGATTTGGGGAATTCTGTGGGCTGGGAATGCAGGGATTTGGGAATTCTGTGGGCTGGGAATGCTGGGATTTGGGGAATTCTGTGGGCTGGGCAGTGCAGGGATTTGGGAATTCTGTTCCTGCTCTCCCAGGGGGGCTCCTGGTGGGATTCCCGGAGGATCCCCCTCCCAGCCAGATCCTGCCGGGCCCCGAGCTGGAATTTTACATCCAGACCTTCCGGAAATCCGGATTCAGGTGGGGGAGGGGGGCAGGGGACCCTATTCCTATCACATTCCCAACCCATTCCCAGCCCAATCCCAATCCCATTCCCATCCCATTCCCAGCCCATTCCCATCCCATTCCCATCCCATTCCCAGCCCATTCCCAGTCCATTCCCATCCCATTCCCAGCCCAATCCCAATCCCATTCCCATCCCATTCCCATCCCATTCCCAGCCCCATTCCCATCCCATCCCCAACCATTCCCAGCCCCATTCCCATCCCATTCCCAGCCCCATTCCCAGCCCATTCCCAGCCCCTTCCCAGCCCATTCCCATCCCATTCCCAGCCCCATTCCCATCCCATTCCAAGCCATTCCCATCCCATTCCCAGCCCCATTCCCATCCCATTCCCAGCCCCATTCCCAGCCCCAGTCCCATTCCCAGTCCTATTCCCATCCCATTTCCAGCTATTCCCATCCCATTCCCATCCCATTCCCAGCCCCATTCCCAACCCATTCCCATCCCATTCCCAGCCCCATTCCCAGACCATTCCCATCCCATTCCTATCCCAATCCCAGCCCCAGTCCCATTCCCAGCCTATTCCCAACCCAATCCCAGCCCATTCCCAGCCCATTCCCAACCCCATTCCCAACCCCATTCCCAACTCCTTCCCAGCCCATTCCTATCCCAATCCCAGCCCCATTCCCATCCCATCCCATTCCCAGCCATTCCCAGCCATTCCTATCCCATTCCCAACCCCATTCCCAGCCCCATTCCCAGTCCATTCCCATCCCATTCTCCCCATTCCCAGCCCATTCCCATCCCATTCCCACCATTCCCACCCCATTCCCGTCCCATTCCCATCCCATTCCCGTCCCATTCCCGTCCCATTCCCATCCCATTCCCATCCCATTCCCATCCCCATTCCCATCCCCATTCCCATCCCCATTCCCATCCCATTCCCATCCCATTCCCAACCCCATTCCCAGCCCCATCCCAACCCATTCCCAACCCCATTCCCAGCCCCATTCCCATCCCATTCCCAGCCCCATTCCCACCCCATTCCCAACCCATTCCCAGCCATTCCCATCTCCCCCAGGGGTCCCCTGAACTGGTACAGGAACATCGTCCCCAACTGGCTCTGGGCTCTCTCCTTCAGGGACAGGAAGGTGGGCTCGGATCCCAATCCCCATCCCAATCCCCATCCCAATCCCAATCCCCATCCCACCCAGGGGTCTGGGACACCCCTGCTGCTCCACCCGATCCCTCTGGATCCCCCCTGTCCCTCTGGATCCCCCCTGGCCCCTCTGGATCCCCCTGGCCCCTCTGGATCCCCCCTGGCCCTCTGGATCCCAATGTCCACCCATGTCCCTAGATCCCTCTGGATACCCTTCATATCCCCTCCATTTTCCTTGGATCCTTCTTGATCTCTGGATCCCTCTGGATCCCCCCTGTCCCCTCCATGTCCCCTGGATCCCTCTGGATTCCCAGTGTCCCCTCCATGTCCCCTCTGGATCCCCCTGCCTACTCCATGTTCCCTGGATTTCTCTGGATCCCCTGTCCCTTCCACATTCCCTGATCCCTCTGGATCCACACCCCCCCCTTCCTCCATGTCCCTGGATCCCTGTGGATCCCTCTGGATCCCCCTGTCCCCTCCATGTCCCCTGGATCCCCTCTGGATTCCCAATGTCCCCTCCATGTCCCCTCCATTTTCCCTGGATCCCTCTGGATCCCCCTGTCCCCTCCATGTCCTTGGATCCCTCTGGATCCCCCTGATGTCCCCTGGATTCCCAATGTCCCCTCCATGTCCCTGGATCTCTCTGGATCCCTGGACCCCTCCCCAGATCCCTCTGTGTCCCTGGACCCCCCTGGACCCCCCTGAATCCCCTGGATCTCTCTGGATCCCTGGATCCCCCTGGACCCCCCCGGATCCCTCTGGATCCCCCTGTCCCCTCCATGTCCCTGGATCCCTCTGGATTCCCAATGTCCCCTCCATGACCCTGAATTCCCCCTGTCCCCTCCATGTCCCCTGGATCCCTCTGGACCCCCCTGTCCCCTCCATGTCCTTGGATCCCTCTGGATCCCTCTGGATCCCTGGATCCCCCCGGATCCCTGGATCCCTCTGCAGGTGTCGCAGCAGGCGCTGATGGTGACGGCCGGCAAGGACCCCGTCCTGCATCCCAAACTCAGCCAGGGCATGGAGACATGGGTGAGCTGGGAATGACAGGGGAATCAGGGAATTCCAGGGGAACAGCCGGGAATTCCAGGGGATCAGGGAATTCCAGGGGAATCAGGGGAACAGCCGGGAATTCCAGGGGATCAGGGGAACAGCCAGGAATCAGGGAATTCCAGGGGATCAGGGGAACAGCCAGGAATTCCAGGGGATCAGGGAATTCAAGGGGAATCAGGGGAACAGACAGGAATTCCAGGGAATCAGGGAATTCCAGGGGAGGAGGGTAACAACTGGGAATTCCAGGGGATCAAGGGAAGAGCCAGGAATCAGGGAATTCCAGGGAATCAGGGGAACAGCTGGGAATTCCAGGGGATCAGGGAATTCCAGGGGAAGCAGGGGAACAGCCAGGAATTCCAGGGGATAAGGGTAACAGCCGGGAATTCCAGGGAATCAAGGGAACAGCCGGGAATTCCAGGGAATCAGGGAATTCCAGGGGATCAGGGGAACAGCCGGGAATTCCAGGGAATCAGGGAATTCCGGGGGATCAGGGGAACAGCCGGGAATTCCAGGGAATCAGGGAATTCTGGGGGATCAGGGGAACAGCCGGGAATTCCAGGGGATCAGGGAATTCCAAGGGATTAGGGGAACAGCCAAGAATCAGGGGAACAGCTGGGAATTCCAGGGGATCAGGGAATTCCAGGGGATCAGGGTAACAACCAGGAATTCCAGGGGATCAGGGAATTCCAAGGGAATCAGGGGAACAGCAGGAATTCCAGGGAATCAGGGAATTCCAGGGGGTCAGGGGAACAGCTGGGAATTCCAGGGAAGCAGGGAATTCCAGGGGATCAGGGGAACAGCCAGGAATTCCAGGGGATCAGGGAATTCTAGGGGATCAGGGGAACAGCTGGGAATTCCAGGGAATCAGGGAATTCCAGGGGGTCAGGGGAACAGCTGGGAATGTCAGGGAATCAGGGAATTCCAGGGGATCAGGGGAACAGCCAGGAATTCCAGGGAATCAGGGGAACAGCCAGGAATCAGGGAATTCCAGGGGATCAGGGAATTCCAGGGAATCAGGGGAACAGCCAGGAATTCCAGGGGAGCAGGGAATTCCAGGGAATCAGGGGACAGCTGGGAATGTCAGAATCAGGGAATTCCAGGGGATCAGGGGAACAGCCAGGAATTCCAGGGGATCAGGGGAACAGCCTGGAATTCCAGGGGCTCCGGGGAAGGGCCGGGAATGCCGGGCTGGGCCGGGCTCCCCAATCCCCCTTTCCCCCCTTTCCCCCTTTCCCCCTTTTCCCCCTTTTCTCCCCTTTTCCCCCTCTTTTCCCCTCTTTTCCCCCTTTTTCCCCCTTTCCCCCCTTTTCCCTCCTCCCTTTTCCCCTCCTTTTCCCCCTTTTCCCCCTTTCCCCTTTTCCCCCCTTTCCCCCCTTTTCCCCCTTTCCGCCCCTTTCTCCCCTTTTTCCCCCTTTTCCCCCCCTTTTCCCCATTCCCACCCCCGCAGGTCCCGCGGCTGTGCCGGGAGCACCTGGAGCAGTGCGGGCACTGGACCCAGATGGAAAGGTCGGAGAGCCGGGATAATTCCCAATCCCCATCCCAAACCCCTCCCATTCCCGGGAATTCTGGCTCCTGGAATGCCAACATTCCCGACATTCCCAGCACTCCCGACATTCCCGACCCCCCAGGCCGGCGGAGGTGAACAGGATCCTGCTGGAGTGGCTGGAAGGGCTCCCCCCGGACACTCCTTTTCCCGGGAATTCCAGGCTCTGACCGGGAGAATTTTCCGGCTCCCGCTCCCCTCGGCCCTTCTGCCGGCACTGAGGGCTTGGATTGCGGCCTCTGGGATGGGATTTGTGCCTTTGGATTTGGATTTGGGCCTTTGGGATCGGAATTAGGGTGGGATTTGGGCCTTTGGGATCGGAATTAGGGTGGGATTTGTGCCTTTGGGATCGGAATTAGGGTGGGATTTGGGCCTTTGGGATCGGAATTAGGGTGGGATTTGGGCCTTTGGGATGGGATTTGTGCCTTTGGAATGGGATTTGTGCCTTTGGGTTGGGATTGGGTTTGGATTTGGGCCTTTGGGATGGGATTTGTGCCTTTGGAACTAAATTTGTGCCTCTGGAATTGGATTTGTGCCTCTGGGATCGGAATTAGGGTGGGATTTGGGCCTTTGGGGTTTGAATTTGGGTTGGATTTGTGCCTCTGGAATGGGATTTGTGCCTCTGGAATGGGATTGGTGCCTTTGGGGTTGGAATTGGGGTTGGATTTGTGCCTCTGGAATGGGATTGGTGCCTTTGGGGTTGGGATTGGGGTTGGATTTGTGCCTTTGGAATGGGATTGGTGCCTTTGGAATTTTATTTTCTCCTCTGGGGAGGAATTTTTTTCCTTTGGGGTTGGAATTTTTTCCTTGGGGGGTGGAATTTTTTTCTCCTCCAGACTTCGATTTCCTTCCTCCTTGGAGCCGAAATCTGGGAATTCTCGGGGGTTGGGAAGAAGTGGCCGGATGAGCCGGAGCCGGGAAGAGCTCCCTAAAAACAGAAAAGGGGGGGATTTGTGGGAATTTTGGGATTGGGGGGATGGTTTGGGGTTGGATCCATCCATCGCTCCATGATCCCATTCCTGCCCGGAATCTTCGGGAAATAAACCCAGAATTGTTCCAGAGCTTCCGGTCTCCCTGGGATTCCTTGGGAATTCAGCATTTCCCTTCTTTTCCCTGGGATTCCAGGGCTCATTCCCTGCCTGGAGCCACCTTTTCCCAAGCTTTTCCCATATTCCCATCTCCCTGCTTTTCCCTGGGATTCCAGGGCTCATTCACTGCCTGGAGCTGCCTTTTCCTGACCCTTCTCCCTGGGATTCCTTGGGTTGCAGCTTCTCCCTGACTTTTCCCTGGGATCCCAGGGCTCATTCCCTGCCTGCAGCCACCTTTTCCCAACCTTTTCCCAGCCCTGATCCCACATTCCTGGGGATGCAGCATTCCCTGCCTTTTCCCAGGGCTCATCCCCTGCCTGCAGCCCCCTTTTCCTGAGCTATTCCCACATTTCTTGGGATGCAGCATTCCCTGCTTTTCCCTAGGATTCCAGGGCTCATTCCCTGCCTGGAGCTGCCTTTTCCCAAGCTTTTCCCATATTCCCATCTCCCTACTTTCCCCTGGGATTCCAGGGCTCCTTCCCTGCCTGCAGCCACCTTTTCCCGAGCTTTTCCTGGCCCTTCTCCCAGGGATTCCTTGGGATGCAGCATTCCCTTCTTTTCCCTGGGATCCCAGGGCTCCTTCCCTGCTTGGAGCTGCCTTTTCCCAAGCTATTCCCATATTCCTTGGGATGCAGCATTCCCTACTTTTCCCTGTGATCCCAAGGCTCATTCCCTGCCTGGAGCCCCCTTTTCCCGAGGTTTTGAGCCCCAAAGGTCACCCCGGGATCTCCGGGATGGGAATGGGCCGGGAAGTGGGGAATGGGGGGTGGGAATGGGGGATGTGGGGGTGGAATGTGGGGTATGGGGGGTGGATATGGGGTCGGGGAGCACTTAGGGGGTCAGGGAGCACTTATGGGGTGTAGGAGGTGGATATGGGGTCAGGGAGCACCTATGGGGTCAGGGGTGGATATGGGGTCAGGGAGCACCTATGGGGTCAGGGGTGGATATGGGGTCAGGGAGCACATATGGGGTCAAGAAACACTTATGGGGTGCAGGTTGTGGATATGGGGTACCGGGGGCACTTATGGGGTCAGGGAGCACATATGGGGTGTAGGAGGTGGATGTGGGGTACAGGGGTGGATATGGGGTCAGGGAGCACTTTATGGGGTACAGGAGGTGGATGTGGGGTACAGGGAGCACATAGGGGGTGTGGCAGGTGGATATGGGGTCAGGGAGCTCTTATGGGGTACAGGGGTGGATATGGGGTCAGGGAGCACATATGGGGTCAAGAAACACTTATGGGGTGCAGGTTGTGCATATGGGGTACTGGGGGCACTTATGGGGTCAGGGAGCACATATGGGGTCAGGGAGCACTTATGGGGTACAGGGGTGGATATGGGGTCAGGGAGCACTTATGGGGTGTGGGAGGCACCTATGGGGTACAGGGAGCACATATGGGGTCAAGAAACACTTATGGGGTGCAGGTTGTGGATATGGGGTACAGGGGGAACTTATGGGGTCAGGGAGCACTTATGGGGTGTGGGAGGTGGATATGGGGTACAGGGAGCACCTATGTGGTCAGGGAGCACTTTATGGGGTACAGGGGTGGATATGGGGTACTGGGGGCACTTATGGGGTCAGGGAGCACTTATGGGGTACAGGGGTGGATATGGGGTCAGGGAGCACCTATGTGAGGTGTGGAGTCCAGGGGGCAACCTATGGGGTCAGGAGCACTTAGGGGGAGGCACGATATGGGGTACAGAGGAGCACCTTATGGTCGGGAGCATATGGGCACAGGGGTGGATATGGGGTACTGGGGGCACTTATGGGGTCAGGGAGCACATATGGGGTACAGGGGTGGATATGGGGTCAGGGAGCTCTTATGGGGTCAGGGGGCACCTATGGGGTACAGGGGGCACATATGGGGTCAGGGAGCACTTATGGGGTACAGGGGTGGATATGGGGTACTGGGGGCACTTATGGGGTGTGGGAGGCACATATGGGGTACAGGGGGCACATATGGGGTCAGTGGGCACCTATGGGGGCAGGGAGCACTTCATGGGATACAGGAGGTGGATGTGGGGTACAGGGAGCACCTATGGTGTAGAGGGGTTGATATGGGGCACTGGGGGCACATATGGGGTCAGGGAACTCTTATGGGGTGTGGGAGGTGGATATGGGGTGCAGGGAGCACATATGGGGTCAGGAAACACTTATGGGGTGCAGGGGGCACATATGGGGTCAGGGAGAACCTGTGGGGTGGAGGGGGCCCATATGGGGTGCAGGGAGCACATATGGGGTCAGGGTGTTGAGGTTGAATTTGGGACGACGCTGGAATTTGGGGGTGCCCTGAAACTTGGGAATGCCCTGGCATTGGGAATGCAGTGGGATTGGGAATGCCCTGGAATCTGGGAACTCTGCAGTCTGGGAGTGAGTTGTAACTTGGGAATGCCCTGGAACTGGGAACACACTGGGATTTGGGAACACCCTGGAACTGGGAATGCCCTGGAACTGGGAACACACCGGGATTTGGGAACGCACCGGGATTTGGGAACGCGGTGGAATCTGCACTAAAACTTCCATCTGTTCCCAAAAACATCCCCAAATGTCTTCACCACCACCCCCCCTCCCCCCTTTTCCCACTTTCCCGCTTTCCCCCTCCATCCTTCGGCTGCACAAATCCCTGGAATTGGGGGAGCTGCCCCTCCCCCCCCTCTGTCAATGGATAATCCCTGCAGGAATTTCCTCTGGGAGCATTCGGTGCCCTTTGGACCCGGAGCTGTTTTTTCTGGGAAGGCTTTGGAGGGATCTGATCCCGATCCAGGCCCTCCCTCCCCCCCAAGGAATGTGGGAAGATTATCCATTAATTTGGGGGGTAGGGGGAACTCCAGGAGGGTTTCCAATCCCACGGAGAAGCTGCTGGAATTCCATGATCCTGGTTGGATTCCACGGCCTCCAGGGCCTTTCCCAGCCTAAACAATTCCATCATTTCCAATCATTCCGGGCTGAGCAGCTCCTGCAGGAGCATCCCACGGGAGCAGCAGCTCCTGGAGGTGATTCCCTGCCCCAGGGGAGCTGGGAAATCCCATGGAAAAGCTGCTGGAAGGGCCTTGGGTCCAAATTCCATGATCCCTGTTGGACTCCGGGGCCTTTTCCAGCCTAAATAATTCCATCATTTCCAATAATTCCCGGCTGAGCAGCTCCTTAGAAAGGAATTCTCCTGCAGGATCCTGAGGATGCCACAAAAGCTGGATCTCCAGGAGCATCCCATGGGAGCACCTGCTCCCAAAGGAGCTGGGAAATCCCATGGAAAAGCTGCTGGAAGGGCCGTGGGTCCGAATTCCATGATCCCTCTTAGACTCCAGGGCCTTTTCCAGCCTAAACAATTCCCTGTTCCCATTCCCTGTTCCCATTCCCTGTTCCCATTCCCATTCCTATTCCTGTTTCCATTCCCTATTCCCCATTCCCTGTTCCTCATTCCCCATTCCCCGTTTCCCATTCCCCGTTCCCCATTCCCTATTCCCCATTCCCTGTTCCCATTCCCTGTTCCTGTTCCCATTCCCTGTTCCCATTCCCTGTTCCCATTCCCTGTTCCCATTCCCTGTTCCCCATTCCCCATTCCCTGTTTCCCATTCCCTGTTTCCCATTCCCTGTTCCCATTCCCTGTTCCTGTTCCCATTCCCTGTTCCCATTCCCTGTTCCCATTCCCTGTTCCCATTCCCTGTTCCCCATTCCCTGTTCCCCATTCCCTGTTCCCCATTCCCCATTCCCTGTTTCCCATTCCCTGTTTCCCATTCCCTGTTCCCATCCCCTGTTCGCATCCCTGTCCCCATTCCCTGTTCCCATCCCTGTTCCCCATTCCCTGTTCCCCATTCCCATTCCTATTCCTGTTTCCATTCCCCATTCCCTATTCCCCATTCCCTATTCCCCATTCCCTGTTCCCCATTCCTATCCCTGTTCCCATTCCCATTCCTATTCCTGTTTCCATTCCCCATTCCCTGTTCCCCATTCCTATCCCTGTTCCCCATTCCCCATTCCCTGTTCCCATTCCCTGTTCCCCATTCCCCATTCCCCACTCCCATCCCCCATTCCCCATTCCTATCCCCATTCCCACCCCCCATTCCCTGCAGGAACATCCCGTGGGATCCGCAGCTCCTGGGGGTGATTCCCAGGCCGGAGCCGCCGTCCCAGGGGTGACCTTGCTGGAGTTATCCAGGCTTTTATCCGGAGTTATCCAGGCTTTTATCCGGAGTTATCCGGCGTCATCCGGCTCAGGGCCTCGCCATCATCCCCCCTTTGATGCGGGAGCAGAGAATTCCTTATCTCCGGAGCAGAATTCCTTATCTCCCGAGCAGAATTCCTTATCTCCGGAGCGCAGCCGGAGCCTCTGGATGTTCCTGGTCCGACCTTCCCACCCTCCCCCTCTCCCGGCCCGGAGCTGCTCCCGCCGGGCAGGCACAGGGAATGTGGGGAGGGAACAATTCCCTGATCCCCCAGCTCCAAATCCATGCCCGGATCCTGCCCCAAATCCCACGGGAAGGATCTTTATTGATTATCCCCCCAAATTTAGCAGGATCTTTTCCCTACTCCCACCTTCTCCCGGTTTTCCCAGTGCAATGGAACCCGCTCCAGGCTGAGGGATCCCAAAGGGAAGCAGCTTCTCCCCAAAATCCTTGGAATTTGCAGCATCCCCGTGGGATCCCAGGTCCAAATCCATGCCTGGGCTTTTCCCTATTCCCACCTTCTCCCGGTTTTCCCAGTCCAAAGGCTGCAGGTCTAGGGGAGAGGAATCCCAAAGGGAAGCATTTTCTCCCCAAAACCCTTGGAACCTGCAGCATCCCTGTGGGATCCCAGATCCAAATCCATGCCCGGATCCTGCCCCAAATCCCAAGGGAAGGGCTGTTCCTCCTTATCCCCTTAAACCTGGGAGGATTTTTCCCTATTCCCACCTTCTCCCGGTTTTCCCGGGGCTGCGGGGCCAGGGGAGAGGAATCCCAAAGGGAAGCAGCTTCTCCCCAGAATCCTTGGAATCTGCAGCATCCTTGTGGGATCCCAGGTCCAAATCCATGCCTGGTCTTTTCCCTATTCCCACCTTCTCCCGATTTTCCCAGTGCAATGGAACCCACTCCAGGCTGAGGGATCCCAAAGGGAAGCAGCTTCTCCCCAAAACCTTTGGAATTCTGCAGCATCCCTCTGGGATCCCAGCTCCAAATCCATGCCCGGATCCTGCCCCAAATCCCACGGGAAGGGCTGTTCCTCCTTGTCCCCCCAAACCTGGGAGGATCTTTTCCCTATTCCCACCTTCTCCCCGTTTTCCCAGTGCTGCAGGTCCAGGGGAGAGGAATCCCAAAGGGAAGCAGCTTCTCCCCAGAATCCTTGGAATCTGCAACATCCCTGTGGGATCCCAGGTCCAAATCCATGCCTGGTCTTTTCCCTGCTCCCACCTTCTCCCGGTTTTCCCGGTGCTGCAGGTCCAGGGGAGAGGAATCCCAAAGGGAAGCAGCTTCTCCCCAGAATCCTTGGGATTTGAAGCATCCCCGTGGGATCCCAGCTCCAAATCCGTGCCTGGATCCTGCTGCTTCCCCCAGGAATCTGGCAAATCCCAAGGCTGATCTTTATTGATTATCCCCCCAAATTTAGGAGGATCTTTTCCCTATTCCCACCTTTTCCCGGTTTTCCCAGTCCAAAGGGAACCCGCTCCAGGCTGAGGAATCCCAAAACCGAACCATTTTTCCCCTCAAAACCCTTGGAATTCGCAGCCTCCCGGTGGGATCCGCGACCCCGGGCCCGACTCCATGCCTGGATCCTGCAATTCCAGGCGGGAGCGGAGGGTCCGGGCCCGTCCCCTCCCCCCGGGATATCCCACAAATCCCGTGGGAAGGGCTCTTATCCATCCCTCGCCCTTCCCGCCCCGCCGAGGAGCTCTTCGCTGTCCCACGGGTCGGGAGCGGGAGTTTTCCAGCCGGGATCTCCCTTTGGATCGGCCGGGATCGCCCCTCAATCCCTGCAAAGCGGAATTCCAGCGGCCTCTGGGATGGTGAGGAAAAGCCACCAGGGGGGATTTTCCAGGGGTGTTTTTTTTTGGGAGGTGGGAAAGGTGATTCGGGCAGCCCAGGTTAAGGATTTTATTCCCGGTTTTCCTCGTGGATTTAACGCCCAAACTCCGGGAAGTCTGCCGGGAAAAGGGGCAGGGAAGGAGAGCCGGGAGATTCCCTGGATAACTCGGGATGCCGCGGGAATTTTTTTTCCGGGCTTTAAAATTCCTTCCATTTTGTTATTTTGGGGGAGGGGGGGGATTTTTTTCCTCATTTTCCTGCCTTTTTCTCCTGGATCAGCTCCCGGTTTTCCCTTGGCTCCCGGGGACCTCTGGGATATCTGGGATACCGGGAATAGCTCCCTGATGGCCTCGGCTCCAGGGAGTGTCCCGGCCTTGGGAAGGGGGATGGGCCCGCCCTGATCCCGCGGGGGGAGGGGTTGGGATGGCGGGAACGGCCTGGGAATTTGGGAATCGACTCCATCGGTGGGAAGGAAACGAGCTGGAAGTGGAGCAGGGAGACTGGGAAGGAGGGAAGGGGGGGATTTGCCGTTGGAAAGGAGGGAAGGTTTGCGAAGGGAAGGTTTGGGAAGGGAAGGTTTGGGAAGGGAAGGTTTGGGAAGGGAAGGTTTGGGAAGGGAAGGTTTGGGAAGGGAAGGGAAGGTTTGGGAAGGTTTGGGAAGGGAAGGTTAGGGAAGGGAAGGTTTGGGAAGGTTTGGGAAGGTTTGGGAAGGGAAGGGAAGGTTTGGGAAGGGAAGGTTTGGGAAGGGAAGGTTTGGGAAGGGAAGGTTTGGGAAGGTTTGGGAAGGTTTGGGAAGGTTTGGGAAGGTTTGGGAAGGGAAGGTTAGGGAAGGGAAGGTTTGGGAAGGTTTGGGAAGGTTTGGGAAGGAAGGTTTGGGAAGGGAAGGTTTAGGGAAGGGAAGGTTTGGGAAGGTTTGGGAAGGTTTGGGAAGGTTTGGGAAGGTTTGGGAAGGGAAGGTTTGGGAAGGTTTGGGAAGGTTTGGGAAGGTTTGGGAAGGGAAGGGAAGGGAAGGGAAGGGAAGGGAAGGGAAGGTTTGGGAAGGGAAGGTTTGGGAAGGGAAGGGACTGTTTTTCTCTGCTTGGGATCATCCCAATCCTTTGGGATGGGATTCAGCCCCGCTGGGATAACCCCAATGCCTCGGGCTGGGATCCAGGATCCCCTGGGATGGATCCAGGATCCCCTGGGATGATCCCAATGTCCCGGTGCAGGTGCAGGGCGAGGCAGGAGTGACATTCCAGAACTGGGCCGGCACCTATGGATGCTCTCCCGAGCTTTTCTTCCGGCCCCGCTCGGTGCAGGAGATCCAAGAGGTGAGCCGGCAATTCCAGGGCCATTCCCAATGGGAATGAGCGGGAAGGGCCCTCAGGGGGGGTCAGGGAGGTCACCCCGTGATTCCAGAGGGGCTGGATCACCCCCCTGGGAATGAACACCTGGAATCTTTCCGGGATCTCTGCCGGTCCCGGTGCCGGGGGGGGGGAAATCCTGGGAAGGGGGGAGCGGATCCTTTGGGATCGTGGAATGGGGGGGGTTGGGAGGGACCCTGGAAGGGTCACCTGGGCCCACCCCAAGGATGATCCCAAGGAGGGCTCTGGGCTCCCTTCCCACCCCTAAGGATGATCCCAAGCCCAAGGATGATCCCATGGGTCTGGGCTCCATTCCAGTGGATGATCCCAAGGGTCTGGGCTCCATTCCCATGGGTGATCCCAAATATCTAGGCTTCATTCCCACCCCAAGGATGATCCCAAGGATCCCTATGGGCTCCATTCCCACCCCAAGGATGGTCCCAAAGATCCCTCCATGCTCCATTCCCATGGGTGATCCCAAGTCTCTGGGCTCCATTCCCACCTCAAGGATGATCCCAAGAAGGGATCAGGGCTCCATTCCCATCCCTAAGGATGATCCCAAGGAGGGATCAGGGCTCCATTCCCACCCCAAGGATGATCCCAGGGAGGGATCTGGGCTCCATTCCCATCCCTAAGGATGATCCCAAGGGTCTGGGCTCCATTCCCATGGGTGATCCCAAATATCTGGGCTCCATTCCCACCCCCAAGGATGATCCCAAGGATCCCTCTGTGCTCTGGGATCACATTTTCCCTGTGGGTGGGATCCCAGCCAGGGCTGTGGGGCTGGATGGGCGGGAATGGGGCTGGATGGGCGGGAATTGCGGGTGTTGTTCGGGCTGGGGGATGGGGCTGAGGGAATTGGGTGTTGTTGGGGCTGGGACTGGATGGGAATGGATGATGGCAGGGCTGTGGAGCTGGATGGGTGGGAATTGCGGGTGTTGTTTGGGGCTGGAAGGGCGGGAATGGGGCTGGAAGGGCGGGAATGGGGCTGGAAAGGTGGGAATGGCGTTGGAAGGGCAGGAATGGGGCTGGATGGGCGGGAATTGCGGGTGCTGTTTGGGGCTGGAAGGGCGGGAATGGGGCTGGAAGGGTGGGAATTTCGGGGCTGTGGGGCTGGAAGGGTGGGAATTGTGGGGCGCTGGGTCTGGATGGGCAGGAATTTCGGGGCGCCGGGTCTGGGAGGGTGGGAATTGCAGGGCTGGAAGGGTGGGAATTCCGGGGCCGGGGGTCTGGATAGGTGGGAATTTCAGGTTCATGGGGTTGGATGGGTGGTAATTTCATGATTCATGGGGTTGGATGGGTGGGAATTCCGTGGCGATGGTGCCGGATGAGCAGGAATTCCATGCATTCTTCCCGCAGATCCTGGACGTGGCTCGGCGGCGGGGCCGGCGGGTGAAGGTGGTCGGGGGCGGCCACTCCCCCTCCGACATCGCCTGCACCGAGGGCTTCCTCCTGCACCTCGGCCACATGAACAGCGTCCTCCAGGTCGGGAGGGGCTTCAGCCCTCGTTAGGGACACTTAACTAATTAATTAAGTGGCGGGGGGGGGCAAGGAGTTCGGTCCCCAGTGGGACCAACGGGGCGCTCCAGGTGGGAATGGGTTCTGGAATGTTCCCTGGCTCCAGCAGGAGGTTCTGGAGCATTCCCAGGAATTACAGCACTGGTTAATTAAGGACAGTTAATTAATTAAGGGAACTAATTAAAGGCAAGGAATTGGATCCCTGCTGGGATGAACAGGGTGCTCCAAATGGGAATGGGTTCTGGAATGTTCCCCAGCTCCAGCAGGAGGTTCTGCAGCATTCCCGGGAATTACAGCACTGGTTAATTAAGGACAGGTAATTAAGGGCAGTGAATTCAATTCCTAATGGGATGAACAGGGAGCTCCAGGTGGGAATGGATTAATCACTCATTAGAGACCAGTAATTCATTAATTAGGGGCAATGAATTTGATCCCTGCTGGGATGAACAGGGTGCTCCAGGTGAGAAGGGATCGGGAGTGATTAATGATTAATTAAGGACAGTTCATTAAGGATAGCTGATTAATTAATTAGGGGCAATGAATTGGATCCCCAGTGGGGTGAACAGGGTACTCCAGGTGGGAATGGGTTCTGGAATGATTAATGATTAATTAAGGACAGTTCATTAAGGATAGTTAATTAATTAATTAGGGGCAGTGAATTTAATCCCTGCTGGGATGAAGAGGGTTCTCCAGGTGGGAATGGGTTCTGGAATGTTCCCCGGCTCCTGCAGGAGGTTCTGGGGCATTCCCGGGAATTACAGCACTGGTTAATTAAGGACAATAATTAATTAATTAGGGGTGATGAATTCAATCCCCAGTGGGATGAACAGGGAGCTCCAGGTGAGAAAGGATTTGGGAATGATTAATGAGTAATTAAGGACAGTGAATTAAGGGCAATTAATTCAATCCCCATGGGATGAACAGGCTGATCCAGGTGAGAAAGGATTGGGAATGATTAATGAGCAATTAAGGACAGTTAATTAAGGGCAGTTAAGTCAATCTCCAGTGGGATGAACAGGGAGCTCCAGGTGAGAAAGGATTGGGAATGTCCCCGGGAATTACAGCACTCATTAATTAAGAACAGTTAATTAGGTGCAAGGAATTCAATCCCCATGGGAAGAACAGGGTGCTCCAGGTGAGAAGGGATCCGGAATGATTAATGAGTAATTAAGGACAGTTAATTAAGGACAGTTAATTAAGGGCAATGAAGTGGATCCCTGCTGGGATGAACAGGGTGCTCCGGGTCAGAGGGGGGATTAATCAGTCATTAAGGACCATTAATTAATTAATTAGTTAATTAGGTGCAAGGAATTCAATCCCCAGTGGGATGAACAGGGTGCTCCAGGTGGGAATGGGTTCTGGAATGATTAATGATTAATTAATGACAGTTCATTAAGGATAGTTAATTAATTAATTAGGGGCAGTGAATTTAATCCCTGCTGGGACGAACAGGGTGCTCCAGGTGGGAATGGGTTCTGGAATGTTCCCCGGCTCCAGCAGGAGGTTCTGGGGCATTCCCGGGAATTACAGCACTGTTAATTAAGGACAATAATTAATTAATTAGGGGCAATGAATTCAATCCCCAGTGGGGTGAACAGGGAGCTCCAGGTGAGAAAGGATTGGGAATGATTAATGAGTAATTAAGGACAGTTAATTAAGGACAGTTGATTAATTAATTAATTAGGGGCAATGAATTCCATCCCCATGGGATGAACAGGGTGATCCAGGTGGGAATGGATTTGGGAATGTCCCTTGGCTCTGGGGCACTCCCGGGAATTACAGCACTGGTTAATTAAGGACAATTAATTAATTAATTAGGGGCAAGGAATTGGATACCTGCTGGGATGAACAGGGTGCTCCAAATGGGAATGGGTTCTGGAATGTTCCCTGGCTCCAGCAGGAGGTTCTGGGTCATTCCTGCTAATTACCAGCACTGCTTAATTAAGGAAAGGCTCCTTTCCTGATGGGAATTCCCTGGGATTGGGCTCTACTTCCCCTGGGAGCTGGGGAGTGGAGCCCGTTTTTCCAGGGAATCTCTGACTCCTGGGGCCTGCAGAATTCCCAGGAGAGGTTCCAGAGCCCGGGATTGGGGACAGGGATGTCGGGATGGGGGTCGGGATCGGCCCAGGCCACCCCAATCCCGCAGGAGGAGCGCCGGGATTGGGGAATTCCGGGATTTCCTGGGGGAGGTGGTTGGGAAGAGCCCAGGGGTTTTCCAGGGGGTTTTCCAGAGGCTGTGAATCCCCCTTTTCCAGGTGGACCGGGAGAAGCGTCAGGTGACGGTGGAGGGCGGGATCCTCCTGTCCCACCTCAACGAGGCCCTGGACGAGCTCGGGATGGCCCTGCCCAAGTGAGGGCATGGAATGGGAACATCGGGAATGCCAGGCCAGGGATTGTCCGTGGGAACATCGGGAATGCCAGCCCTGGGATCCTCGGGATAGCCATTCCAGGGATTTTCCTGGGGATCTTTGGGATAGACAGCACCGGGATCCTCTGGATAGACAACCCTGGGATCCTCTGGATAGCCATTCCAGGGATTTTCCCTGGGACCCTGGGGATAGCCAGCCCTGGGATTTTTCCTGGGAACCTCGGGATGCCAGCCCCGGGATCCTCGGGATAGCCATTCCAGGGATTTTCCATGGGATCCTTGGGATAGACAGCCCTGGGATTTTCCCTGGGATCCTTGGGATAGAAATTCCAGGGGTTTTCCCTGGGAACCTCAGGATAGCCAACCCTGGGATCCTTGGGATAGCCATTCCAGGGATTTTTCCAGGGGATCCTTGGGATAGACAGCCCTGGGGTTGTCCCTGGGACCCTCAGGATAGCCATTCCAGGGATTTTCCCGGGGATCCTTGGGATAGACAGCCCTGGGATTTTCCCTGGGATCCTCGGGATAGCCAGCCCTGGGATCCTTGGGATAACCATCCTGTGGGATTTTCCCAGTGTCCAGCCCTGGGATCCTCTGGATAGCCAGCCCTGGGATTTTCCCTGGGATCCTCGGGATAGCCAGCCCTGGGATCCTCTGGGTGTCCATCCCTGGGATTTTCCCAATGTCTATCCCTGGAATTTTTCCCAGTGTCCCTCCCTTGGGATCCTCCCAGCATTGATCCCTGGGGATCCTCCTGGATGGCAGGACCCTTTTCCCTGGGTCCCATCCCATTCCCTGGATCCCATCCCATTCCCTGGATCCCATCCCATTCCCTGGATCCCATCCCTGTGGATGGAGGGACCCTTTTCCCTGGATCCCATCCCATTCCCTGGATCCCATCCCATTCCCTGGATCCCATCCCATTCCCTGGATCCCATCCCTGTGGATGGCAGGACCCTTTTCCCTGGATCCCATCCCATTCCCTGGATCCCATCCCTGGGGATGGAGGGACCCTTTTCCCTGGATCCCATCCCATTCCCTGGATCCCATCCTATTCCCTGGATCCCATCCCATTCCCTGGATCCCATCCCATTCCCTGGATCCCATCCCATTCCCTGGATCCCATCCCTGTGGAAGGCGGCTCCTCCTCCATTCCCGGAGCGGTGGGGCCGCCTCCTCCCTGGGAATTCCCGTCGGGAAGGGTCTGATCCGGGCTGAGGGATTGCGGGGTCTCTCCCGGGGGTGATTCCCGGTTCGGGGGCCGTCTCCTCCGTGGGAATTCCCGTTGGGAAGGGTCTGATCCGGGCTGAGGGATTGCGGGGTCTCTCCCGGGGGTGATTCCCGGTTCGGGGGCCGCCTCCTCCGCGGGAATTCCCTTTGGGAAGGGTGTGATCCCGGGTGATTCCCAGCCTAGGGGCGGTGTCGGAGGTGACGGCGGGCGGAGTGATCGGCACCGGCACCCACAACACCGGCATCGCCCACGGCATCCTGCCCACCACGGTGAGGAAATTCCCGGGAATTCCGGGCTCGCCGGGCAGCGGCAGCCTCGGGAATCGCGGCCGCGGCGGGAAAGGAGTCCCGGGAATGCGGGAAAAGCTTGGGAAGAGGGGGGCTGCAGGCAGGGAGTGAGCCTTGGAATGCCAGGGAAGAGGGAAAAGGGAGGGAGATGCTGCATCCCAAGGAATGTGGAGAAGGGTCTCAGGGAATGAGCTCAGGAAAAGGTGGCTGCAGGCAGGGAATGAGCCCTGGAATCCTCAGGAAAGAGGGGGAGATGCTGCATTCCCAAGGAATCCCTGGAGAAGGGCTGGGAAAAGGTTGGGAAAAGGTGGCTGCAGGCAGGGAATGAGTCTTGGAATGCCAGGGAAAAGGGAGGGAGATGCTGCATCCCAAGGAATCGACTCGGGAGAAGGGCTGAGGCAGAAGAGTTGGGACAGGAAGATGCAGGCAGGGAATGAGTCTTGGGAATGCAGGCAGGGAAGAGTTGGAATGCCAAGGGGAGGGAGATGCTGCATCCCAAGGAATCCCTGGAGAAGGGCTGGGAAAAAGTTGGGAAAAGGTGGCTGCAGGCAGGGAATGAGCCCTGGAGTGAAAGGGAAAAGGGAAGGCAATGCTGTATTCCCAAGGAATCCTGGGAGAAGGGCTGGGAAAAGTTCGGGAAAAGGTGGCTGCAGGCAGGGAATGAGTCTTGGGATCACAGGGAAGAGGGAAAAGGGAGGGAGACGCTGCATCCCAAGGAATCCTGGGAGAAGGGCTGGGAAAAGGTGGCTGCAGGCAGGGAATGAGCCTTGGGATCACAGGGAAGAGTGAAAAGGGAGGGAGATGCTGCATCCCAAGGAATCCCAGGAGAAGGGCTGGGAAAAGTTCGGGAAAAGGGGGCTGCAGGCAAGGAGTGAGCCTTCGGATCACAGGAAAGAGGGAAAAGGCATCCCAGGGAATGAGGGAATAGCTTGGGAAAAGGTGGCTGCAGGCAGGGAATGAGTCTTGGAATGCCAGGGAAGAGGGAAAAGGGAGGCAATGCTGCATCCCAAGGAATCCTGGGAGAAGGGCTGGGAAAAGGTGACTGCAGGCAAGGAAAGAGCCCTGGAATGCCAGGGAAGAGGGATAAGGCAGGGAGATGCTGCATCCCAAGGAATGTGGGAGTTTGGGAATAGGTGGCTGCAGGCAGGGAATGAGCCTTGGAATGCCAGGGAAGAGTGGGGAGATGCTGCATTCCCAAGGAATCCTGGGAGAAGGGCTGGGAAAAGGTTGGGAATAGGTGGCTGCAGGCAGGGAGTGAGCCTTGGGATCACAGGGAAGAGGGGAAAGACAGGGAAGACGGAAAAGGCATCCCAAAGAACGTGGGAGTTTGGGAAAAGGTGGGAATGAGCCCTGGAATGCCAGGGAAGAGGGAGGGAGATGCTGCATCCCAGGAAATGCGGGAAGAGCTCGGGAAAAGGGGGGCTGCAGGCAGGGAAGGAGCCCCGGGATCCCCTGGAAGAGCAGGGAACGCGGCATTCCCAAGGGATCCCTGGATGAGGGCAGGGCCGAGCCGTCCCCCCGCGGTGTCCCCGTGCAGGTGGTGGCCGTGACGCTCCTCACGGCCTCGGGGGACATCCTGGAATGCTCGGAATTGCGGAACTCGGAGCTTTTCCCGGCGGCGCGGCTGCACCTGGGCTGCCTGGGCGTGGTGCTGAGCGTCACCTTCCAGTGCGTGCCCGCCTTCCAGCTGCGAGAGCTCGCCTTTCCCGGCTCCCTGCCCCAGGTACCGCCGGGAATGACCCCCGGGAATGACCCCCGGGAAGGGAATGGGCCCCAGGAACACCCACCGGGAGCCGGGAAGGGCCCGGGGAGAAGGGAATGACCCCCGGGAGAAGGGAAGGGCAGTGGGAGAAGGGAATGCCCCCCGGGAATACCTCCTGGGAGCCAGGAATTCCCTCATCCTTATTCCCTCATCCCTTATTCCCTCATCCTTCTTCCCTCATTCCCTGATCCCTCATTCCTCATTCCCTCATCCCCTTATCCCTTCATCCCCTCATCCCCTCATCCCTCATTCCCTCATCCTCATCCCTCATTCCCTCATCCCCTCATCCCTCATTCCCTCATTCCCCCATTCCCTCATCCCTCATTCCCTCATCCCTCATTCCCTCATCCCTCATTCCCTCATCCCCCATCCCTCATTCCCTCATCCCTCATCCCTCATTCCCTTATCCCTTCATCCTTCTTCCCTCATTCCCTGATCCCTCATCCCTCATCCCTGATCCCTCATTCCCCCATCCCTCATTCCCCCATCCCTCATTCCCCCATCCCTCATTCCCTCATCCCTCATTCCCTCATCCCTCATTCCCTCATTCCCCCATTCCCTCATCCCTCATTCCCTCATCCCTCATTCCTCATCCTCATTCCCTCATTCCATCCTCATCCTTCATTCCCTCATTCCTCATCCCTCATTCCTCATCCCTCATTCCCTCATCCCTCATTCCCTCATCCCTCATTCCCTCATCCCTCATTCCCTCATTCCCCCATTCCCCCATCCCTCATTCCCTCATCCTCATTCCCTCATCCCTCATTCCCTCATTCCCTCATCCCTTATTCCCTCATCCCTTATTCCCTCATCCCTCATTCCCTCATCTCTCATTCCCTCATCCCTCATTCCCTCATCCCTCATTCCCTCATCTCTCATTCCTTCATCCCTCATTCCCTCATCCCCATCTATTCCTCATTCCTCATCCCTCATTCCTCATCCTCATTCCCTCATCTCTCTCATCCTCATCCCTCATCCTCATTCCTCATTCCTCATCCCTCATTCCTCATCCTCATTCCCTCATCCCTCATCCTCATCCTCATTCCCTCATCCCCTCATCCTCATTCCCTCATCCCTGTCTATCCCTCATCCCCTCATTCCCTCATTCCTCATCCTCCCTCATCCCTCATTCCTCATCCCTCATTCCTCATCCCTCATCCCTCATCCCTCATTCCCTCATCCCTCATTCCCTCATTCCCTCATTCCCTCATCCCTCATCCCTCATCCTCATCCCTCATCCCTCATTCCCTCATCCCTCATCTCCTCATTCCCTCATTCCTCATTCCCATCCTCATTCCCTCATCCCTCATTCCCTCATCCCCATTCCCTCATCCCTCATTCCTCATCCTCATTCCCTCATCCCTCTTCCCTGATTCCCTCATTCCCTCCTTCCCTCATCCCTCCTTCCCTCATCCCTCCTTCCCTCATCCCTCACTCCCTCATCCCTCCTTCCCTCATCCCTCACTCCCTCATCCCTCACTCCCTCATCCCTCACTCCCTCATCCCTCACTCCCTCATCCCTCATCCCCTCATTCCCTCATCCCCTCATTCCTCATTCCCTCACTCCCTCATCCTCATCCCCTCATTCCCTCATCCCTGATCCCTGATCCCTCATCCCTCATTCCCTGATCCCTCATTCCCCCATCCCTCATCCCCCATGCCCTCATTCCCTCATTCCGGAGCCTCTGGAAGGGCGTCGGGAGGCGCGAGCGCTCCATGAATATTCATTCCCTTTATCAATCCCCGGCCATCTCCGCTCCCGGATCCCGCTTTTCATGTGGATGCGGCGGGAGCGAGGCGGGAGCGAGGCCGAGGGGCGGGAGCGGCTCCTTTGAAAAGCGGGATCGGGGGGGTTATCTCATCTTCCCCCCGGGAATGCTGGGATGGGGTTGTGTAAGAGCCGCTCCCGGAGTGACTTTGGCAGGACGAGCCAGGGACGGGATCGGGACACGCTGGGAGAGGAGGAAAACCCGGGAATGGCGGGATGGGAGAGGGGCGGAAAGATCGACCGGTTCCACCCGGGACAGGGACAATTCCCGCTGTGCCAGGGGATCCAACCCGGCCTGGGACACTGCAGGGATCCAGGGGCAGCCACAGCTTCTCTGGGAATTCCAGCCCAGCCGGGAATCCCTTCCCAATCTCCCATCCCAGCTCCATTCCCATCCCAGCCCCATCCCATCCCAGCTCCATCCCCATCCCTATCCCAGCTCCATTCCCATCCCAGCTCCATTCCCATCCCAGCTCCATTCCCATCCCATTCCCATTCCCATCCCAGCTCCATTCCCATCCCAGCTCCATTCCCATGCCATCCCAGCTCCATTCCCATCCCATCCCAGCCCCATTCCCATCCCAGCTCCATTCCCATGCCATCCCAGCTCGATCCCCATTCCCATCCCAGCTCCATTCCCATCCCAGCTCCATTCCCATCCCAGCTCCATTCCCATCCCATCCCAGCTCCATTCCCATCCCATCCCAGCTCCATCCCCATCCCAGCTCCATTCCCATCCCATCCCAGCTCCATTCCCATCCCATCCCATCCCAGCTCCATTCCCATCCCAGCTCCATTCCCATCCCAGCTCCATTCCCATCCCAGCTCCATTCCCATCCCATCCCAGCTCCATTCCCATCCCAGCTCCATTCCCATCCCAGCCCCATTCCCATCCCAGCCCCATTCCCATCCCAGCTCCATTCCCATGCCATCCCAGCTCCATTCCCATGCCATCCCAGCTCCATTCCCATGCCATCCCAGCCCCATT